ATTGGCTGTCACCAATGCTCATTTGGAAATGGGAGAGGATTACTTGGGAATACCCGTAACGTTCCCAGATATCCTAACCCATCACCATGGGATATCTACGCAGCTGAGATTCCTTGCTTGAGCAACCACCGAGGGAAACTACTTGGCGCCGATTCTGGAAGTTACCAGCTCCGCGTTTGTGGTACCTACCCTTCGCATGGTTCTGAACACAAGGGATACGCTGAGCAGCACTTCGCATGCGCTGTTGTACTCAAGGCAATGTGAGTAGCAGACCGCGTGGTGGACAGGGTTACTACAAGTGATTCTGCTCTCCATTCCGCAGCACGACGATGCCGAATGGGTACGACTCGCGACAACACCAAGGCATGGACCTGCATTCGACAGAAGCTGCATGTAACGGATACAACACTGCTACAGAAGCCGTACTACGACACGTCTGCCATACCACCACCACTTGGTGATCTTCAGGCGTGGACGAGATGCAAGTGATCTTCAGGCATGCACAGAACAGACAACATAGCCATTCATCTGCACGTTACAGCACACTGTTCCAGCTTGCACCTGCCCATATATCACTGACGGCGATACACACCATCCTTCCTTGCTATGGACGGAGCCTGCTCACTCCGTAGCAACAGACAGTTCTTGCTACAGTCCAACTGGCTCTCGATTTCATCGCCATCGTCCACCATCTTGTACATCGACCACAGAAGCACCTCTTGGACATCCAACATCAGCAAAAGCACTTGGCAACTCATCACTACCCTTCTCGAGACCATAATCTCGACATCAGCCAACTTCCATCCAAGCTTCAACCTTGCTTCTGCAGGACTATCATCGTTGAAGCAAGGGCCACTTCAGTCAACTTCCGCTTCCGCCTACCAGCCACTTAGAAGATCCATACCGCCTTCCATACCAGCTTCTTAAACCCTATCAAGACCAAACACGCTCTACACCAAATGCCAACCACCGTCGCCGCCGGTGTTCATCCACGCCATGTGACAACTACGTGCTCGGACACCGTCATCGTCAGACTGGCACTCTGGAGCTTCTTCTTTGCTGGAAGGGTTATGATACTTCTGAGGCTTCGTCTGTGAACGCGACATGGGTAACGCCCGTCGTCCTCTTCGCGACTACCTTGTCAAGCAGGGTGTTACGTCTACCACCCAGCTTTGAGGGGGGGAAGTGTGAGAGTACGACCCCGTTACACTATTTTCCCCTTTCCATATTTCCTTTCTATTTCATTCCTCTTTTTATCCTCATTCATTTGGTCTTTATCTCATCTCCTTTGGTTTCCTATTCCTCCTTTTCCATTATCCTTTGGTTTATCCTGTTATTATAATTATATCACCGACCAGGCTTGGGATGTACTGGCGCGCTATATCTAGCGTAATCCTGCCGAAATCCCTTGTAGCCAATAGCCTCGCGTGGCTATACGCATGGTGATTCTATATTCTAGAAGGGTCTATTCCCTTTGGATAGGATAAACCTGGTTACCTGATGTAATCTGGAAGTATAAAAGCACCTTGTACTGATTGATAGTGCAACATTGAGCAAACCTTTCCTCGGGACATTCGATCCTGTGACAGACGCGGGCTAGGCCACAAACGTCCAGGTGCAGGGTCTGGAGTGGCGCAGTGGTAGGGCGAAGCGAGGAGGAGTGAGGAGCACGGCGCAGCCGGCCCTCGATGGCGGCGCAAGCGAGGGAGGGAGGGCAGGGAGCGACGCAGGGAGACCTAGGACAAGATCGTGTTGGGACATATGACGCAGACGAGGGAGTGCAGGGTGACCTAGACGGTGGTGCCATAGAAGCGACGGGTGAGGGAGCAACCGACACGAGCAGGCTGCAGCGATCTGAGTAAACGCAGGCACCTAGGGGGACGCCCTCACCAAGGGGGACTCAGTGTCGAGGGTAAACAGGCCAGACCAAGGGTTCTGGGGAAACGTGGTGAGGGGGGTACCTGTAGCGGCGTCGGTACAGACCACGTACCGCTCATGTCCAGAGAACGTAGTGGTGACGCCGAGGTCCTGAAGACAACCGACATCAACTAGGTTCCTGGAGAATGAGGGGATGTGCAGGCTCGTAAGGGAGCCTGAGGGAACCGCCGGACAAGGAAGGATAGTGGAGCTACGAGCAACTGCAGGGCCCGAGTTGGGGTCAGCAAGTGCGACAGCAGCAGATGCGGCAAGCGATGTGAGCTCAGTGTGGTCGCGAAAGAAGCAGGCAGACACGCTAGAGTCAAGCATGAATGAGAGCGATGCGGAAGCTGCAGCCGGCGAAGGAGAGAGCATGGAGCCTAGACTAAAAAAACAGAAGGTCCTACGCTTGACGCAACAGGGTGTCACACTTAAAGTAGGCAATACAGGGTAATAAGGTCCGGTCACATGAGAGGCATCAGCATACAGGGAATGCAAAGCAGAACAAATCTGATCCAAGTCTAACTCAAAAACAAACACACCACGGCGCACACGATTGAACCAGTCAGGGAGGTCCAAAGCGGCAGCAGCGGATGATAGGGTGCGGACGACCACACACACTGCCTTGGAAAAGGCCGCTCTAGAGTTGGTACTAGCAACCCCCAGTGCTAGAGCTGCCGCCCGACGCCGAGCTGCGAGGGCCGCCACCGTGGCCACCACCACCAGAGGTACTGGGCCACCCTAGCGGGAGGCGGCCCCACGACTACTACTGCTTCTGCGACTGCTGTTGTTGCGGTGGCTGCTGCTGCTGCTGCTCCGGGGCACCAGCCCCGGTCTCCTCGTCCGAACCGCTGTCCCCGCCCCCACCTCCACTACCCCCACCACCCTGACCTCCACCACGCCCCCCCTTGGGGCGGCGGCCCCTATGCGGACGTGGTTGTGCTGAGGCTGGTCTCAGCAGTAGGGGCTGTCTCGGCGACAGTGGCAGAAACGTCAGCATAAGTGCACGACGGTATCCTGAAAGATAGGGATTGCCGCAGTACCACTCGACTAAGCGATAGTACACTGGCGAGTCTCTATCTCCGATAGGATAGCGACAAAGGCGGAAAGGGTGAGGTCATCGAGGTGCTGACTAAGGAAGTGGTCGCGGGCAGTGGCTAAGCGGTCCGGAAGGCGCGTGGCTATGAGGTAAATGGTAGCACACAGTGGCGGCGTGAAGGCAGTGAGCTGGGCCTCAGTGCTAGCGGCGCGATAGCTAGCCTCGAGTGCACGGAGGTGAGTGGCTAGGTCAGCGATAGTGGGGAAGGCCGCTAGGTCAGGGAAAAACATGTGGAGGATCAGGCAGCCAGTGGAGGCGGAGGCGGGCGTGGAGTAGCGATCAACTACTACCTTTAAGAACGCCCGAGCGTTCGCTACACCGGTAAAGCGGGGACGCTCAGACAGGGGAAGGGCATAACTAATGGCAAGCTGCGCTACGGCGTCGCGCGAATCCCAGACAGCACGAGCAAGCGAAGCAACAGTAAAGGCCTCACGCTCAGCAGTGGTGGGGGCATCAGTGAGGGCAACATGTGCGGGGGGGGGCGGGGAAGCAAGCCATCGACATGAACAACCAGAGAGTGGCCATCATGGCATTGACCTGTCAGGTGTTGGCGAAGGTCGACAAGCCAGGCATCGAAGTCGATCGCGCGCCCCTCCGCGTCCAGGTGAAGCACAGCATTCGCGATCGCATGTCCTTAGCAACACGGCAGCACGGCGACACGATGGTACGTCGACACGGTGGCACGACGACACGGCTCCACGACGGCACTGCGGCATGGCTACACTACAGCGCAGCTCCACGGCGCCACGGCACGAGCCCTGCAGAAAGGCCTGTCGACGAAGGGCAGATTTTTCACGGCGAGCCTTTGAAGGAAATAGTGGCAGAACAGGAGCGCGTTTTCTGTATATGGCTTCTACAGCGACAGATGGTTTTGTAGAAGCCATTTCGGCAGAGTCGAGAGTGTACAAGACCCTCTGCCGAATTGTCACCAGGGACCATTCGCAGAACGGTTGTCCACTGCCGAAGGAACGCGCAGGACACACTATCTGCAGGTGATCGTTTCGGCGGAGTCGACTCTCGGAAATGTGTTCTGTCAGAACCTCGGGCAGACTGGCGCAAGGACCTATTCGCGCAGAATTGCGTTCTGCCGAAGTTTGGCAGAAAAGCAATTTGGCTATCTCTTCTGCAGTCGACCCCCTCCGCAGAGACAAACTTTGGCAGAAGCGCAGTAGAGAGTCATTTCGGACTTCACTTCGGCGAACAACCCCTTCGGCAGAAATCGGGGACTTCGTTTTCTGCTGAAGGTGGCGTTCCGAAATCGCGAGAAATTCGCGATTTCGTAAGTTAACCACTGAACCGATCTGGATCGAAAACGGCAATATCTACCTGAGACATTGAGAAATTGAACATGTGACGCGCATTTCGTAACTGCGGAGACGGCATAACATCTGACAGTTTCACACCTGGAACAGTTAACACAACTACTTCTGGGCGGGTAAAAAAAAAAACCAACTGAGCATGTGCTGTAATTTTCACCTGCCATTGCTGACTTGGATAAGCGCAGCTTAGAGTAGTTATGTAAACGTTCTCGTGCAAAAGTTCTCTCCGTATTCAATGAGGTTCAATGTGGTAGTACTAGTATTTGTCTTGTGTACCATAATTTGTAATCTTGATTCTAGTGAATTTCAGTGCCCAAGCTTTCTCAAGCTACTTAGTGAAACACACAATTCTGAAGGCAATCTCTCCTTAGAGGACTATAGAGCTAGAGTAGCTCTATCTGCGCCAGGCACTTCCGCATAAGCTCCCGTTATAGCAGAAAACTCTGCATGATGCGGTAAGTGTGGAATGAACACGCTAACGATAGAGGTTGAATCTGCTGCGTTAGGTCTCGCGGAAGGTCTTGATGGTCGATATGACGGACGGCGATACGGACGTTTGTGAGGCGGTCGATGATCTAGAGGTGCAGGAGGCTGCCCTCATAGCTCGCTATGAAGACCTCCCAAATAAGGAGCTAAACTTCATGCTGATGGGGTTATGAGCTCAGTGGGAGATGGATCATCCGCGGGCACATGCAGAGGAAGTCTCTCGAGACAAGGAGAACGTGGACGATTTGGCGAAAGGTGGAGAGAGAGTCGCGCGGTGTTCTATGACAAGGATAAACGCCGAACGGAGAAGGATCAAGCATGGGCGACAGAAAGGACCCTATGCAGAAGAAGGAGACGGGCTCGAAGATGAAGAGCGCTGCAGAAGGGGACCGTTCCGCTGGTCGTATCGGCCCTCAGAGCGCTGCTGGCCACTCTACCGTGTACTTCTCGACAGCCTCGAAGGATGGAGGGATTGCTCCCGAGTTCGGCTACTTCAAGTTTTCTCCTCACAAGATCGTTGTGCCTAGGCTCCTTGAGGGACGACTCGACTTGGCATCATGGGTCGAGTCAATCGAGCCCCAGTTGGAGATTGCACGGGTGAAGCGTTTTATCGATGGGTCGACGGAAGCCCCCCCTGTGGTAGATGCATCGCGGTACGCGTAGTTCCGCTCTGCCCAGATGTTGACATTCATGGTGATTTCGCACTGCTGTTTGCCCTCGGTGAAAAAGGCATTGAAGGCGAATCGTCTACGAGTGGACGCGGGTTTTTAGGCCAGGCGGTTCATCATGAAGACCTACAAGGCTACGGATGACCTTTACATCGTGCAGCTCGAGCAGAAGTTGGTGAGTCTGGAGATGGCAGAGCATGAAACTGCTACCGCCTACTGCACTCGTGCACAGTAGATTCTCGCCAACCTGCGGATGACTGGAGTGCAGTGCTCGATAACGTCCTACGTGATGCATGTCCTCAAAGGTCTGCCGGCACACTACAGCTGTGAGAGTACGACTCCGTTACACCACTTGGCCTTTTCCATATTTCATCTTCATTTCATTCCTCTTTTTATCTCATCTCCTTTTGCCTCATATTCCCCATTTTCCATTATCCTTTGGTTTCTTCCCTTATTATAATTATATCACCGACCAAGCATGGAATGTTCTAGACACGCTATCTAGCGTAATCCTGCTGTAATCCCTTAAAGCCAATAGCCTCGCGTGGCTATACGCAGGGTGATTCTATCTTCTAGAAGGGTCTATTCCCTTAGGATAAGATAAACCTGGTTACCTGATGTATTCTGGAAGTATAAAAGCGCCTTGTACCGATCGATAGTGCAACCTTTCCTCGACACATTCGATCCTGTGACACTTGGTAATCAGAGCTTTTCTCACTCGGCCGCGCTCAGCTAAGCAGCAGCAGCGGGGATCCTGCCTCGAAAAACCGCCGGGGGCGACTAATTCGACGCCGATTCTGGTAAGCACCAGCTCCGCGATTTTCGAATTACCCCCTCCGTGCGTGTTTTGAACAGGATGGCAACCTTCGACAACGCCGAGGTTACCCAGCAGCTCTTCGCGCGCATCGCAGCCCTTCAGGAGGAAATGCGAGCGGATCGCGAAGCGTGGCGAAACCAGTTCGAGCGAGTAACTCGACTCGCCGGAGCGCAGCACGAGACGACAACGGCGACGACGCAGCAGTCGCAGCAGTTTCTCGAGGCTCCGAAACCACGCCCACCTGAGCCGTTCGATCCGAGCGATCGAAACTCCGACGCCCGCAGATGGATCGCCGGGATGGAGATCTACTTCGCAGCCGTCGGATGGAGCTCGCCAGTCTGGGACGGTCAACGTGTACGACTCGCGGCGACACTGATGCGAGGGCCGGCACTCGAGTGGATTGGCGGCAACAGTACTTTCATCCACGGTGAAGCCACGTGGCAGCAGTTCCGCGCCGACCTGCTGAAACGCTTCGAACCGATAAATTCGAGTTTCCTTGCCCGGGAAAAAATTCATCGACACCGACAGTTCGGGAGTGTAGCACAGTACACGCAGCAGATGGAGGAATTTTATAACCGAATTCCCGACCTGACCGAAGGGGAAAAAGTACAATCGTACCTCGCCGGGCTGAAGACCGAAGTCAAACGACAAGTCGCAGCGTCAAACTACGCGAGCTACAGTGACGTCGTTTCGGCAGCGGAGCGCTTCGACATGGTCAACGCCGGAACACGACGGACGCACGTCGGCAGTACGCGACAGGGCGACCGCTCGGCTCACCCCACGTTCGCCGACCCGATGGAAGTCGACAGATTCGAGGGGCGGCCACGTCCGAAAAACACCAACTACACGTGTGATTTTTGCGGGGTGCCGGGCCACCGAATCTTCGACTGCAACAAAATGAAGGCCGCACGCGCAGAGTATCGGGCACGCAACAGTGGCGGAAATCTTTCGGCCAATCAGAAGACAAAAAACGGGAGTCGCCAGTGATTGCGGATCTAGCTGGCGAAAATAAAAAGATCCGAAAGCGGCCGCGGGATTCCGGAAAAATCAACTTCGACGAAGCTGATTCGACGCGAGAAGGAGGAAATGATGGGGGAAAATCTCCACCCCACGACCAGTCTTCGCCAGGGAAAATCGCCGAGGAAAAATACGACTCCGCGAAAAAAGACTCTGCCGAGACAGGGAAACTCCTTGAAGACCCAAGAAATTATAAGAATTCGTTAAAGTTATCTTATAAAGATGCTTTAATGAAAACTTATGATGTTCGAGGGGCTAGAGCCTTGGAGAAAATTCGGGAGGGACTCCAAAAGAAGCAGACAGCTGTGGAGATTATACCGGTACCGGACAACTTGGGGACCAAATTAAGGCGTGTGGAAAGAAGCCGACCTTTCCACGGAGTCAACGTCCTCTCCCGACACCAGCCCACAACGACTACCTGCTCCCCAGGGAAGACGTCGGTGGAGCTGAAGCAGCTCAAGAGGAAGCTGGGGGTCTACAAGAAGCTGCACAAACCCCGAACTCCTTCTACGGATGCATCCAGTTCTTCGGCATCAGTGACGCGCACAGTCGTCAAGGAAACTCCGGGCCCTGGAGAAGAGCCGTTCTCCAAGCAGCCTCGGCCAGCTGCCAGCTCAGGAGTAGACAACAACACAAAGGTGTGTACGGAATATTGGGATGTACCCTATGACCCAATCAATGAAACTATCTTTGGGTACTCCGAGCAACGACTGCCCCTCGTGCTCGAGGTCATCTGCAAAGGACGACGCCTCCAAGCACTCGTGGACAGCGGAGCGTCACACACCGTCTGCGACAAGGCAATGATCGACCGACTCCGGGAAGAGTACAAGCCTTCAGGATTCTCTGCAACGATGGTGGACGGCAGCAAGTTACCAGTACACGGCGAAGCAGTGCTACATCTACAAATCGGACCACTGCGCTGGAGACCTGCACTCCCCATCACCAACATCAAAGGGCTTGACTTGATCTTCGGGCGAGACTTCCTGAAAATATTCAACCCCGAGATCAACTGGGTGAACCGCACCGCAAGCATCTACAACAATGGACGGAGAGTACAGCTACCCAACTGGGACGATACAGGAGATATCCCAGTGGAGACACTCGCACGATTCGAGAAGGATGTGAAGCGGACCGACACCGGGTTCCTGGCGATAGCAACAGAGGTGGAGAATGACGGAGAGAAAGCCTCGGAAACTCCAGGAAAAATCAAGGAATTACTGAAGGAGTTCCAAGACATTCTTCCTGACGATCTTCCGAACGAGCTACCGCCATACCGAACGCATCAACACGAGATCGTGGAGGAACCGGGTTCGAAGCCGACCTTCCGAGCACCATACCGGCTCAGCCCTACGGAGCTGACCGACATGAAGAAGCAGATCGAGTATCTCCTAGCCAAAGGACTCATCCGACCATCTACTTCGCCATACGGTGCCCCAGTACTCTTCACACCGAAACCGGACGGAAGCCTGCGCATGTGCATCGACTACCGAGCTCTTAACAAGCAGACCATCAAGAATAAATATCCGATACCGCGAATCGATGACCTGCTTGACCAGCTTCGGGGAGCTACGGTATTTTCCAAACTGGATCTGCGGTCCGGATACTGGCAGATACGGATGGCGGACAACTCTATCCACAAAACTGCTTTTCGAACTCGGTACGGATCGTACGAGTATTTGGTCATGCCGTTCGGACTCACCAACGCGCCGGCAACGTTCCAAGCCGAAATGAACCACATTCTACGACCACTTCTGGACGAATGCGTGGTGGTGTACCTGGACGACATACTCATCTACTCGCGCGACATGAAGCAGCACGTCGAACACCTGCGACGCGTCTTCGAAATTCTTCGACGAGAACTATTCTACGTCAAACTGTCCAAGAGCGAATTCGCCCTGGAGAAAGTCCAATTTCTAGGACACTTGGTGAGCGCTCAAGGAGTTCACGTCGACCCCAAGAAAGTCGAAGCCGTACGTACGTGGAAGACACCCGAGAACGTGAAGGAGTTGCAGCAGTTCCTAGGCTTCGCTAATTACTACAACAGGTTCGTGCCACAATATGCGAAACTCGCGGCACCACTCACGAATCTGCTGAAGAAGAACACGCCCTACAAATGGGAGACGAAGCACCAGGAAGCCGTGGAGCAGCTGAAACAAGCACTAACGTCCGCACCGGTGCTCATCTTGCCAGATCCCGAACGCGACTACGTAATCGAAGCTGACGCCAGCGACCAGGCAGTGGGAGCAGTCTTAATGCAAGACCAGGGGAATGGACTGCAACCAATTGCCTACCTCAGCAAGAAACTGCACGGGGCAGAACTCAACTACCCGATACACGACAAAGAGGCTCTTGCTATCATCATCGCCTTCAAAGCGTGGAGATGCTATCTCGAAGGACGAAGAACGACCGTCTACACCGACCACTGCAGCCTGAAATATTTGAAGACACAACCCAACCTTTCCAGGCGGCAGGTCCGGTGGATCGACTTCCTCGAGACACACTTCCACTACGACATCGTGTACAAGCCCGGCCACAAGAACAAAGCAGACGCTCTCAGCCGGCCTGCACACGTTGCCGCGATTCAGGTCGAAGGGATGAATCCACTACTCAAGGGACTCTTCACCCACGGGTACGCCATCGACCCCGAAATTTCCCTGGCAGAAAAGCGACATCTGCTACAGTGGGACAGTGACATCGCGTACCGGAAAGGATCAACAAAAATCTGGGTACCCAATTACCCTCCTTTGCGCCAGTTACTACTCGAAGAATACCACGACGTCCTGTACGCCGGACACTTCGGTAGCAACAAGACGCTCACCGGTATCGCCAAACACTACTACTGGCCCCATATGGCAGACGACGTCCAGAAATTTGTCACCTCGTGTGATACATGTCAGCGGATGAAGAGCAGCAAGCAGAAAAAGGCGGGACTACTGCAGCCTCTTCCTGTCCCAGAACAACCATGGCAAGTGGTTAGCCTGGACTTCATTACCGGGTTACCACCTACCTCCAGCGGTCATGACGCCATCCTTGTCGTCATTGACAAGTTCTCCAAAATGGGACACTTCATCCCGACACACACGACGGCACGCACCGAGGAGACAGCACAGCTCTTCGTTCGTCACATCATCTCACAGCATGGCATCCCAACTACACTCATCTCCGACCGAGACCCCAAGTTCACTAGCAAGTTCTGGAAGGAACTTATGTCTCTGCTCGGCACCAAACTCGCCATGTCATCCGCATACCATCCGCAGACAGACGGACAGACCGAGCGCCTCAACCAAATTGTTGAGCAACTCCTCCGAGCAGCCTGCAAGGACGACATCTCCAAATGGGACTTGCACCTGCCCGTACTCGAGTTTGCTTACAACAATGCTACACATGCTGCTACTGGACAGACGCCGTTCTTCCTCTGCTACGGACGCCACCCACTCACACCACAGAAACCGACAACATCAGCAACAGTTCAACCTGCACACGACTTCATCACAACCATGCACCAACTTTGGGATCGGACCCATAAGCGCCTCCTTGACATTCAACAGCAACAGAAGCGCCAGGCTGATCGCCATCGCAACGACCACACCATTTCCGTGGGAGACCAGGTGCTCCTCGACACCCGCAACCTGGACATCAGCCATCTCCCATCTAAACTTCGACCTCGCTTCTGCGGGCCTTTCCTCGTTGAAGCACAGGTCACTCCTGTTACCTTCCGCTTACGCCTGCCAGCTACCTGGAAGATTCACAACGCCTTCCACGTCCAACTTCTGAAGCCCTATCGGGACCCGAACACAATTTTCGTCGGACGCCAACCGCCGCCGCCACCGCCCGTCCTCGTCCAGAATGAACCCGAGTACGAGGTCGAGTCCGTGCTCGCACACCGCCGTCGTCGGAATGGCACCGTGGAGCTTCTTATCCGTTGGAAGGGTTATGATCCTTCTGAAGACAGCTGGGTACCTGAGTCCGACATGGGTAACGCCCGTCGTCCTCTGCATGACTACCTTGTCAAGCAGGGTGTTCCTTCTACCACCCAGCTTTGAGGGGGGGAAGTGTGAGAGTACGACTCCGTTACACCACTTGGCCTTTTCCATATTTCATCTTCATTTCATTCCTCTTTTTATCTCATCTCCTTTTGCCTCATATTCCCCATTTTCCATTATCCTTTGGTTTCTTCCCTTATTATAATTATATCACCGACCAAGCATGGAATGTTCTAGACACGCTATCTAGCGTAATCCTGTCATAATCTCTTAAAGCCAATAGCCTCGCGTGGCTATACGCAGGGTGATTCTATCTTCTAGAAGGGTCTATTCCCTTAGGATAAGATAAACCTGGTTACCTGATGTACTCTGGAAGTATAAAAGCGCCTTGTACTGATCGATAGTGCAACCTTTCCTCGACACATTCGATCCTGTGACAACAGCTACCTTCGACGAATGCTGAAATTTCTGGACGTTCAGAAAACCCTAGACGAGCACACTCCGATGAGCTACATTTCGGAGGAAGAGTGCATCCTGGTGATCAAGCAGAGAAAGGAGTCTCCTCTGCCGCAATCCAATTGGGCGGCGACGGGACAAGCTCATCGGCAGCAGCACCAGCAGTAGAGGCGATGGACATCTCCCTCAAGAGACTCTGCCACAGAGTCCAAGGACAGCCGCTAGGAAAGGAAGAAATTTGCCAACAAGAAGAACAAGGGTAAAACTTGTTGGGAATGCGAGGAAGTTGGCCATTTTGCTGCTCAGTGCCCAAATCGCAAGGACAAGAAGAATGGTGATGCTGTGCAGAAGAGAACAGTGCTCTAGCATATGATGGGCAGAGTAGTAGCTCTTCTACCAACACTGGTTTTTTGGATCCCAAAGGACCATCGTGCTCGATGGTCGAGTCGATTCTGGAGCAGAAGAAGATGGAAACTCTGCCGATATTGTTGGATACAAAAGATGGCGAAGACTTTCAGGCAATTGCAGCTGCTGTAGAAGCTAATCCTGCGGTCATTTTGCTGAATTGTGGATGCTCGCACCACCTCATGGGCGATGACAAGGCTTTTGTCGAAATGCGCAAGGACGGCGAAATCCAGCAAGTGCGCGGATTTAAAGGCGCCATCCAAGTTGTTCGAGGACGAGAAACAATCGCTCTGCTTTGCGAGGCTGGGAAGAAGTTTTGGTTACAGATGTACTCTACGACCTTGGAATCCAAGCAAAACTTTTCTCTGCCGAGCAGCTGAAGGACTGCAGAGTGACGTTGAAGGACACTGGTGAGGAAACTATAATGCGCTCTTTTAATGACGTTGTATTCAGGCAAGCTCTGTCACATGATCAAATGGTTCGAGGAAAAGTTGCACCATCAATTCATACAAGATGCTTTTATACTTCCAAAGTACATCAGGTAACCTTGTTTATCATATCCAAAGGGAATAGACCCTTCTAGAAATAGAATCACCTTGCGTATAGCCACGCGAGGCTATTGGCTTTAAGGGATTATGGCAGGATTGCGCTAAATATAGCGCGCCAGTACATCCCGAGCCTGGTCGGTGATATAATCATAATAATAGGATAAACCAAAGGATAATGGAATAGGAGGAATAGGAAACCAAATGAGATGAGATAAAAAAAGAAATGAAATAGAAGGGAGAGATGGAAAGGGAAATTGGTGTAACAGGGTCGTACTCAGGAAATTGTGCAGGTGTTGGACGCACTGCTGCATGTCACGCGAGTAGATGAGGATGTCGTCCAGGTACACCACCACGCATTCGTCCAAGAGTGGGCGTAGAATATGGTTCATTTCAGCTTGGAATGTTGCTAGTGCGTTGGTGAGTCCGAACGGCATTACCAGATACTCGTACGACCCATACCGAGTGCAGAAAGCAGTTTTACGGATGGAATTGTCCGCCATTCATATCTGCCAGTATCCGTACCGCAGATCCAGTTTGGAAAATACCGTGGCTCCCCAAAGCTGGCCAAGGAGGTCATCGATTCGTGGGATTGGGTATTTGTTCTTGATGGTATGCTTGTTGAGAGCTCGGTAATCGATGCACATGCACAGGCTTCCATCTGGTTTCGGTGTGAAGAGTACTGGGGCACCGTATGGCAAAGTAGATGGTCGGATGAGTCATTTTCATTGAGATACTCGTTCTCTTTCTTCATGTCGGCTAGCTCCGTGGGGCTGAGCTGATATGGTGCTCGGAAGATCGGCTTCGAGCTTAGTTCTTCCACGATCTCGTGTTGGTGCGCTCGGTATGGCGGCAGCTCGTTCGGAAGGTCGTCGGGAAGAATGTCTTGGAACTCCTTCAGTAATTCCTTGATTTTTTGTGGAGGTTCCGAGGTTTCCTCTCCGTCCCTTTCCCTATCCGTCGCTATCACCAGGAACCCAGTGTCGGTTCGCTTTACGTCCTTCTCAGATCTTGCGAGTGTCTCCACTAGGATATCTCCTGTATCGTCCCAATTGGGTAGCTGGACTCTCCTTCCATTCTTGTAGATGCTTGCGGTACAATTTACCCAGTTGATCTCGCGGTTGAATCTTTTTAGGAAGTCTCGCTCGAAGATCAAGTCAAGCCCTTTTATGTTGGTGATGGGGAGTGCAGGTCTCCAGGGAGTGGTCCGATTTGTAGGTGTAACACTGCTTCGCCGTGTACTGGTAACTTGCTGCCGTCCACCATCATTGTAGAGAATGCTAAAGGCTTGTACTCTTCCCGATTTCGGTCGATTACTGCCTTGTCGCAGACTGTGTGCGATGCTTCGCTGTCCACGATGTTTATCCTATCCAAAGGGAATAGACCCTTCTAGAAATAGATTCACCCTACGTGTAGCCACGTGAGGCTATTGACTTTAAGGGATTACGGCAGGATTACGCTAGATACAGCGCGCCAGTACATCCCGAGCCGGGTCGGTGATATAATCATAATAATAGGATAAACCAAGGGATAATGGAATAGGAAACCAAATGAGATGAGATAGAAAGAGAAATGGAATAGAAAGGAGAGATGGAAAGGGAAATTGGTGTAATGGGGTCGTACTCTCACAAGCTCGATACAAAGGCCGGGTTCTTAGTACTAGTCTGCAGCTATGGCCGCGACAGAAGCTTGGGATGGGATGGTAGAACGTGAAATGCGGATTGTCGTAGAGGGCATGCAGACTATGCTTCTGCACATGGGTGCTCCTCATCATTGGTGGCTTCTTGCTGCTCTCCAAGCGGCCTGAGTACGGAACAGCCTCGAGCATTCTTCTCTGCCATCAGGCATCACACTGTACGAGATGCTTTTTGACGAAAAGCCTGATCTGAGAATGGCTCGTGTCTGGGGGTGTATTCCGCAGAACAAGCAAGGAGGGAAGCTGGCACCTAAGGCTCGCTGGGCTCTCCGCCTGGGGGTCTCACAGCAAAGCAAGGGATAGGTGGTGCTCGATCTTGTGACCAATCGATTGGTCACCATGGTGCAAGCAATCTTCTACGAGATGATGTTGCTCGACGGGTGGAAGGCGACGCAGCAGACTCCGACCGAAGTCGTAGACCCATCTGTCATCGACTAGGCAGTGTCATGGTCCGATCTGGTTGTAGAAGTGGTAGAGACGGCAGAGGAGGATGAAGAAGATGAGGAGGCTGTTCGAATTCCGCCATCTGTGCCGATTTCGACTCCTGGACCAACTCTGTCGCCGATGATGCCTTCCACTGTCGAAGTTACTCCGTCCTCAGCCGATCCAAATGCGGATGCTTTTGCCGATTCTCCGATGGTAGAAGAGCCTGATGCACCCTCTGCATAGCCAAACTCCCCCTCTCCCTCTGCTTCGTCCTCTGGCCAGGAGGGGAGTGAGGAGCCACTCAGCGTCATCCCCAGCGAACGACGCACGGCAGAGCGGCAGAAGAGTGTCGTAGAAAACCCGACCGTAGAGGAGTCGTCTTCCTCTGCCAGGGAGCACTCTGCCAAAGAATCGCATGCGGAGGTGCAACCCTTGCGGCGATCGCTGCGCTCTAACAAAGGTGTTCCATCGACTTGTTATCGTGCAGCGTTGACGGCATTCTCGATGACCGCCCTCGATGGCAGAGACGAAGATGTCACACTGATGGAGCTGGACTCTGCAGAAGATCGTGTGGCAGATCCAGAACGTCGTTGGGACATTTTGAAGATGCCTGTCCCAGCCGCTCTAAAGAGTTAAGGGCCATGCGGTTAAAGCCCCTGGCTATAATAGTAGACCTGGAAACCACTTGAATTTGGTGCTTTGAAACCCGTCTAAGTATAGAATGGAAGGTAGCTTTGAGTTCCAAGCCTGAACAAGAAAAGTGTGCAAAAACAAATTCTAGTCGAGCTTGCTGATTGGAGGAATGGCGAAAGAACACGTTTTGCTGTTTGTTGCGACACGATCATTTGGATGCGAATTGCGCAAAAACACTGTGTGCATCGTGCGGAGTTTCTACGATGGGTTTGGGCGAGCAGCTTGTGACGAGGAAATACAAGCGCATTATGAGTGGGGAATTCAAGTGATTTCCAGGTCTGCAATTCCGGAATCAGCTACTGTTCGCCAAAAAAACACTGTTCTTCTCGCATTTTCACTGTTCCCGGAACCACGAATTCGGTCGCACGACGCGTATTGTACTGTTCACTGAATGGTTTCGTGCAAAAACTGTCGCCAAACCGCCACGGTCAGATTCCGCTTTGCAAAACGAAATGTTTTTATTCTGTTTCGTTTACTCTAAAGATCAAGTCATGTGCCAAGTTCAAGAGCAAATTAAACAGCCCTCTTGATTGCTATTATTGCCACGGGCTTTAAGGTAGTGATGGACAAGGAGATGCAAACTTTGTGGGACCAAGACCTTGGGACTTGTTTTTTCCACCGCATGGAGTCAATGTGATGGGAAATCGATGAATTCTTGCCACCAAGTATCTCCCTGATGATACGGTAGACAGAGAGAAAGGGCGTCTCCTTGTACAAGGGTTTACACAGCTACCCAATCTCGACTACAACTTGACGTATGCTCCAATCGGCACCTATATAACTGCTCTTCTGCAGCTGCTCATAGCTGCGGCATTTGATTGGGAGCTGATGCAACTCGACATGACGAATGTGTTTCTCAATGCACCTATCGATCGTCCTCACTACATGAAGCAGCCGAAGTACTATGATGACGGCAGTGGCAGAGTTTGTCTTCTCAAGAAGAGTCCAAAGCTGTGGTACGAGGAATACGATGGATTTCTGCAGAGCGGGGGCTGGTCGAAAAGTCAGGTCGACGAAGCCTTCTACTTCCACGAAGTTAAGCACAATGACAAGTGCTACATGCTCGTCTACGTCGATGATCTGCTGGCTGCAAATCGGAGCAAGGCGCATTTGGCAGAGCTCAAAACTGTGCGTGAAAATGCATTCAAGCTTTGAGACATCACTCTTGTAAAGAAGTACTTGGGATTAGAGCTGGTCAGGGACTAATTGCTCGAAAGATCTGGCTCCACCATAGAGGCTACATCAAGAAGTTGCAGAGGCGTTTTCTGTTAGAGGGGCCTCCTCGACGAAGCCCCAAAACGTCGAATTCTGTCGATGCGTTCAAGGAGCTGACGTTCGACGATGCAGAGTTGCAGGGGCGTACAGAGGAAGAGTATCGCCAGAGAGTGGGATCTCTGCATTTCGCCACCTGCATGACACGTCCGGACATCGCTTTCGCCTGCAACAAGCTCGCGTCTGGGCAGACTGTTCGAAGTGATCGGCACTGGAAGGAGCTCGATCGTTGCATTACGTATCTCATTGGGACTCGCGATGTGGCTCTCGAGCTCGGCGGAGGAGCCACAGATCTGCGCCTCGTCGGTTTCGTAGATGCTGATGATGCTGGCGATAGGCAGAGTCGTAGCAGCACAAGTGGCTACATTTTCACACTTGGCGGAGCTGCAATTTCGTGGGCAAGCAAAAGGATCAAATGTGTCACTCTCTCGCCCACAGAATCTGAGTACATCTGTGTTGTGGAGGCTGGCAAAGAAGTTCGCAAGCTGCGCCTTTTGCTAGCAGAGTATGGGCTCCTCGACAAGGATGAGACCACAATGCTCGATGTCGACAATCAATCTACCATTGCTGTGTCTGAAGAGATGGCGCTCAAGGGGAGCCTTAGGCATATGGAACGGTGGTACATGTGGTTGCAGCAAATGGTCGAGCGTCGTAAGCTGAAATTGCAGTACAATTTGACGAACACGTTGCCGGCAAATTACTTGACCAAGGCCTTGCTTTTTCCTGAGTTTGACCGATGCTTTGTCAGAGTGGGTCAAGTACAATTGTTTGCGAAGGGGAGCATAGAAGAAGTCTCTTCTGAGGAAGAAAAGGTGCCATGACCCTTTTCATGGCTGGTGTAGTGATTCAAGTGTGCGAAGAAGTGCAGATTCTTGCAATTTCTTATGTGCTCATTTTGTGTGTTTTCCTTTCTTAGGATTTCCGCTAGATCGGTTCTCTGTTGGTTGGTAATTTCTTATGACCAATGCAGGGGAACGTTGAGCATAGCCATGATCCTGCAAAGGCTGCAGAATTCTGCTGAAGCGGCATATCAACGAAGTCTGCGGACACGAGCCCTGCAGAAAGGCCTGTCGACGAAGGGCAGATTTGTCATGGTGAGCCTCTGCGGGAAATGCTAGTGGCAGATGAGCAGTTTCGTTGAAGTGGCAGAAGAGCGTTTCCGTCAAAGTGGCAGAAAAGCGGTTCTGTCGAAGTGGCAGAACAGGAGCGCATTTTCTGCATATGGCTTCTACAGCGTCATATGGTTTTGTAGAAGCGATCTCGGCAGAGTTGAGAGTGTACAGGACCCTCTGTCGAATTGGCACCAGGGACCATTCGCAGAATGGTTGTCCTCTGCAGAAGGAACGCGCCGAACACACTTTCTGTAGGCGATCCTTTCGGCAGAGTCGACTCTCGGAAATGCGTTTCTATCAGGACCTCGGGCAGACTGGCGCAAGGACCTGTTTTCGCAGAATTGTGTTCTGCCGAAGTTCGGCAGAAAGGCAATTTGGCTATCTCTTCTGCATTCGACCCCCTCCGCAGAGACGAATTTCGGCAGAAGCGCGGCAGAGAGTCATCTCGGACTTCACTTCTGCGAACGACCGCTTCGACAGAAATCAAGGACTTCGTTTTCTGCCGAAGGTGGCTTTCTGAAATCGTGAAAATTTCGCGATTTCGTAAGTTAACCACTACGGCAAAATCTACCCGAGACATTGAGAAATTGAACACGTAGCACGCATTTCGTAACTGCCGAAATGTGCATAACATCTGACAGTTTTACACCTTAAACAGTTAACACAACTACTTCTGGGTGGGTAAAAAAAGAGCCACCTAAGCATGTGCTGTAATTTTTACCTGTCATTGCTGACTTGGCTAAGCGCAACTTAGGGTAGTTATGTACACGTTCTCGTGTGAACGATCTCTCCGTGTTCAATAAGGTTCAATATGGTAATACTAGTATTTGCCTTGTGTACCATGATTTGTAATCTTGATTTTAGTGAATTTCTGTGCCCAAGCTTTCTCAAGCTACTTAGTGAAACACATAATTCTGAAGGCAATCTCTCCTTAGAGGACTATAGAGATAGAGTAGCTCTATTTGTGTCAGCCACTTCCGCATAAGCTCCTGTTATAGCAGAAAACTCTGCACAAACACTGACCACAGCACTAGTCGGCAGCGAAGAGGGTTCTGCGTTATCTAGCAAGTATTTCGGGCATGAGGCTAGTGCTAGGAGGACACAGGCCAGTGGTCCTTAAAGGGCACACAGATGCTTCGTGGGCCGACGACACTGAGATGCTCGGGTCCTCTCAGGGCTACTACTTTAGCCTTGGTGCAAGCGCTGTCTCGTGGAAGTCCACTCGCTCGTCGTCTGTTGCACAGTTTAGCAACGGTGCTGAGATCTAGGCTGGTGCCATGGCGGCATAGGATCTCCGCTGGCGGATTTTCCTGCTCACAGACTTAGGTGAGCGACCTAGCTCTACCCCGGTCCTGTATTGCTGATAACAGGGCCATGATTCTCTTGTGTCAGGAGCCTCGACTAGAGGGCAGAGCGAAGCACTTCCAGTTGCGCTACGTCCTCCTACGCGAGCTGCAGTAGCGACGCCAGGCCCGCGTAGTTCACTTGGCCTCCGGTGCCTATACAGTTGATATCTTTACTAAGGCGCTTGCACCTAAAGATAATTAGCGGCACTTTGTACAGCTTAGTCTAATTCCAGTAGCTCCTCACTTGCTAGGACCTTGATTGTGTACTACTCTTATTTTACTCTCCTGACTGGCCTTGTGATTTTTGCTCCAGTGGCCGGACTAATAGTGCCTCCCTGGTTTGCTCTTGTCTTGTTTGTACTCTTCCGATTGGTCTTCAGACCCTTGCCTTACATGTTGGACTGGTACTGCCACCATGAACTGCGTGTCTCTTGCCAGGCACCGCCCCTTGTCTAGCATAGGGAGTGCGTCAACATATTTTTGTATATTTTATAGGCTAGATAGGTGTATGCCCATAGAGGGTACAGTGCCATAGCACAAAACCTCCCTGCATGGGACAATCTAATTCATTGCGTTATTTTAACAGAGTATACTTCAACAATATGGAAGTGCAAGGGCTTGGGGGTGTAGCGTGTGTGGTGTGCTAGCGCCCACCAAGCCTAGGGGATGTCTCAACATATATATGATATATATAATTGTGTAGGCTTGGTAGGTGTTCTACAAAGTACTTGTGCTTACAGTAGAGGGGCATCTCTACTCTTCTTCCCCCTCTCTCTTCTCTAGCCTTCTCTTTTCTCTCACCACTTTTCTCCTACCTAGCTAAATTCTCTTTTAAGACTGTGTTCTTAGCTACTGGTGGGATTGGCTCCTTCTGGATAATCTTGGGTTTGATGCAGCTACCATGTTCAGAAGCGAATGTGACACAACAAAGGCTAGTTGTGGGTAAAACATCGTAAGATCGATTCGCTGGGTTAGCATGCCAGAGTGTACGACTCATGTTTAGTCGACCCTCCACTATTGGAAAGCTGTCAGAAATCCGCCCGTCACAAGAAACAGTCAGCCAATTTTCGGGTGTCTGGTTGTTTGGTTGGGAGTCGGGGACCACCTCTGCAATGCGGGGTCAAAACGAGCAGTTGCGAATTGTGACTGCCTTGCCTGGTTGCATAAGGGCGCGGTAGTCCCAAGCTTTCAGGACAATACTGCCCGCGTCCTGTCATCCGCGAATGTCACGAGAATATTGCCTGTGCGTTCGGCTTGGCGGAACCTCGGTCGCAAGCAAATTTCAATGACATTTCAGATGACACGGATGCAGGAATCAGTCCTCAGACAGGCTTTGGGCCCACAGCTCGGGTTGCGGTTCGCAACTGAATGCTTCCTGGAGATCGTGCCGCGCGCGCGGATCTTGTGCCTCTGTGGTATCGTTCTCTCCTATCACTGGTCGGTGATAAGGGCGTGACTGACAAGGTCTGTGACGTGTCGCATTGCATGCGAACTCCACGGTTCAAAAAAGTTTTCTCGTACACCCAAAGCGGTGATAGCAAGCAAAAAATCCGCCTCCAGACCGCACGTCTGACAGTTCCATCTGACACATCATAATCTCGACCGTACTGCACCGTATTTAAACGTATTGTTGACGCTCTCAACCTAGAGATCCATCTCACCTTTCGTTCTGTAATGGCCCGCAGCCCGGAACCAGCGAGCCTCGTAAATATCAAACTGCTCTCATTCTCAGATGACTTCGATTGTATTTCCAGCAGACTTCGATTAGAATCGCTCCTGCAGCAGAGAGCGATTACAGCTTCTCCACAACTCAAGAGGCCCATCTTCCCTCGAGTCGACGCAAGGTCACGTGTATTCCTGAGTCTCCATATCTTATCGAGTCATCACAATGGTCGTGGCAAAGGAACGAATGGCGAAAGTGGTGAACTGGCAGCAGACAGCAACGTCGGCAGCTGTCATCTTTCTCACCGTTTTAGTCACAAGCCAATGCTGTAAGTCCCGACGCACGCGTCGCTCTTCTTTCCATTCACATTTATTCCGGATGTTCCTGTCGAGCTATCCCCAGATTGCATTTCCACTCCCCGTTAAAACCGTAGTCTCATCTCTTAAATCTTCACCATTCCGTTATCCATTTTTCCCATTTTGTTTTCCCGCTAGATTTTGTGCTTGTTTTCTCGTTTAATTTCCCCGTTGTTTTCTCGCACAGACACTTCTTGGAGCAGCGCGGCTCTGCGACCATATGACACCTGCATCACCAGTGGAGTCGTTTTTTTAGATCCCAAAATTGACGTCATCATCTTCACCTTTCCCGTCTGTTTTCCTCCCGTTTTTTTTGTTTTTCCTCCCATTTTTTTTCCCCCGTTTTTTTTCTCCCCGTTTGCTTTCCCGCGCAGACCCCTACTGGATTAGCAGTGCGGCTCCGGGGCCAGCAGATCTCTGCATCACCACTGACAACCAAGACGCCCAGAAACCCTCGAGATTCCACATTCCGGACTACGGCCTCCAGGGACCCATCCCCTGGACGTACATCCGACCATCCGTCCGCGATCAATTCACCGTCAACGGCTCGATCCGGGCCGTCGAAAATTTCCGCGGAATGGATGCGACCGACTCCGGAGCGAAGCCGTTTGTGTGGCCGAGCGCTAGGATAGACCTGATGCGGCGAAGGGCGGAAGGGCGATCTCCTGCTGTGTCTAGCTACGGCGAAAATACCACGCTGACTTTCTACGAGGCGTTTGATAAGTACCCGGTCAAAGGGAAGTCTGTCCTTGTGATCGGGAGTCAGGTCCCTTGGCTTGAAGGGATGCTGCTGGCGTTTAACGCCGGATCGATCACGACCGTCGATTTCAACAAGCCAATCGCGGACTACCCTGGCTTGCGGCAGTGGGATATCGCTGAGCTGGACGCTACCGATGAGACGTTTGACGTGGCGGTTTCGTATTCGTCGCTGGAGCATGATGGACTGGGGAGATACGGCGACCCGCTGAATCCGGATGGGGACATGCATCGAATGGCAAAGGTGAGCCCGCTGAGTTGAAAGATGTCCCTAGCGCTCATCCCAGCCGTCGAATGGCCAAGGCTTTGGCGATCCGCTGAACGCAGACGGGGGCATGCAGCGAATGGCAAAGGTAATGCCGCTGAGCTGGTTAGCCGCCTCGTTTCTGCCTAGACTCGAACGTTGCGAAAGAAAGAAAGAAAGAAAAAGAATCAAGAAACAAAAAAACAAAGAGAAAGAGGAAGAAAAGCGAACAGTGGTACAGTGATTCCACTCCTACCTGTCACTTACCCTCATTTGCTATTTCCTCCCCCCCCACCCCAACCCCCTCCACCCCCTCCCCCCTAACCCCCCACCCCATCCCATCTCCCCCCCCTCCTCCCCAAATTCGGTTGCTCTACCTCGAGCAGCTGTATACTGTCTTCGGTATACGTTTTCATGTCACTTGTAAACTGCCATTCACATCCCACGCCCTGGCATTTCCTGCCCCTGCTGCTGCTGCACAGATCAGAGGCCTGCTCAACCCAGGAGGGCTCTTCCTGCTGGGCGTCCCAGTGGGCAACGACACGCTGGTGTTCAACGCGCATCGAGTGTACGGGCCCATCCGCATGCCGCTGCTGCTCAAGGGGTGGCAGATGCTGGACGTGTTTGGGGTGTCCAGCCTCGAAGCGGCTTACAGGGAGAACCTGAATGCTGTGCTTATCCAGCCAGTCATAGTGCTCAAGTAGACTCACTACAGCTATACTCGAAGCAGCTTATAGGGAGACCCTGAATGATGCGCTTATCTAGCCATAGTGCTGAAGTAGAGGCTATATTGCCAGCCTTGTTTGGGGTGTCCAGCCGCGAAGCAGCTTATAGGGAGAACCTGAGAGCTCTCATTCTTCAGCCGATTATCGTGCGGAAGTAGGCTCCCTAGAGGTAGAAGCCATTCGCGTTAGTTTGTTGTTTTATAGCCACGGTGAAGGGACCCATCCAACGCCTTGGTTTTTTCCCACTGGGTCCCGTGGGCAGCGACAGCATGCTTGATTTCGCCACATGCCGCGACTGCTAGAGATATGGAAGATGTTGGACATGTTCGGGTGTCCAGTCCAAGCTTGAAGCAGCTTACAGGGTGAACTTGAACCCGAACGATCTCATCTCATCATCCAACCTATCAAGTGCTGAAATAGACCCCTGTCCCACCACGCTAGTGGCCAGTACCAATGGGAGACCTAAGACAGCAGCCATACATACAGGGGGGTTGACCCTACTGAGAAAGGACAACCTGGAAAATGAAGTGTACCATCCATTTCATAACAGTCCAGCATTTGTAACTGGATTAGTTTGATTTAAGTGTAGAGTAAAATTCTGCTCTTTGATGCGTATCGAGGATCATGCTCTGCTTGAAAGAGACTGTTTCGTGTATAACTGATGGTTGCCTGATGGTGCTCTCCTAAATGCACCCTATCATAAGCTCTCCCCCGCATAAACCACCCGCGGAGTGACTATTTCGGCGGGTGTAGGGGGGATTACGGTATTAGTGGGTGGGTGGCACTCTTGTCCACGAGTTGGTAGAGCTCGGCTCATCTCTGCACGTCGATGAGCATATCCGCCTACAATTCGCGAAGGTGCATGTGAAAACATGTTGGTTGACTGTGGCTATTGGTCGGTCGTCTTGTCCACGAGTTGGTAGAGGTCGGCTCGCCTCTGCATGTCGATGGGCATGTTCTGCCTGCCATGGTGGTAGTGAACGCACAGAGAATGTTGCATCCATGAGTACATGGGCATACAGACATGCATCATCCATGAGTACATATGCAGATTAGGTACATTCGCATGCATGTGAACATACACACAACCATTGGTGGGTGTGCGCATGCCGTATGTTTCCATGTTTCCACACTTATCTACACATCAGGGCAGAAGAAACTTAAAACCCAGCAATGTTTCCTGCCCTGCATCCAGGCCATGTCATAATCTGCTTCTAGTCATGCGACACGACAAATCACACGACGAATGATGCGACAAACAAAAACCGGAGGTGTTAGAATGTATGGGGCGAGGAAGGGAAAGGGCACGAGCGAGCAAGATGGAAGCTTGGTAGACCATGCGTGCTTCAATCTGCGGCAAGTTCACTGCAGCCAGCACCAGCGCCTTCTCCTGACTCCTCATGCCATACCAACCATGCTACCAGCACCATGCCATGCCATGCCATGCTGGCATGGCATGGCATTAAGGCTACCTCTCTCCACTCACCTGCGTGCGTCAATCTGATGAAAGTCAACCAGCACCAGATCCTCCTCCTGCCTTGTCCAAAACACAGCACCTGTTCCACTTGTCCAAAACACAGCACCTGTTCCACTTGTCCAAAACACATCACCTGTTCCACTTGTCCAAAACACATCACCTGTTCCACTTGTCCAAAACACATCACCTGTTCCACTTGTCCAAAACACAGCACCTGCTCCACTTATCCAAAACACAGCACCTGTTCCACTTGTCCAAAACACAGCACCTGTTCCACTTGTCCAAAACACAGCACCTGCTCCACTTGTCCCATGCCATAACATCAAGACAGGTCCGACAGGTCCCCTCCACTCACCTGCGTGTGTCAATCTGAGACAAGTCCACTTCAGCCAGCACTAGATCCTCCTCATGCTCCGTGGTGGCAATTATCTCTCCAAACTGTCAATGGAGACAGTAAGAAAGGGTTGGGCAGGTTCAATCTGAGACAGGTCCGCTGCAGGCTGCAGCCAGCACTAGGGCCTCCTCATGCTCCGTGGTGGCAATGATCTCTCCAAACTGATGGCTTGCACAGGCCGAGGGGCTTCAATAGAAGGAAGAAAGAAAGAAAAAGAACAGGCTCAGCTATTAAGCCTTTCCAATCTGAGACAAGCCCACTTGTGCCAACATTAGTGACTCCTCATGCCCTGACTGTTCTCTCTCTCATCAGCAGCTTCCACTCCAGTCTGGAGCAGACGGAGAAGCAGACAGAGCAGATGGAGCAAACGGAGCAGATGGAGAAGCAGATGGAGCACACCCTTGCCTGATGAAGGTTCAGTTATGCATGAAGGAATGAAAACAGATGCACATGCATTCAAGAACTCAAGTGTTGTCCACTCCTCTGTCCTCTCAACCCCCCTCCCCCCCCCCCTAGCTCCCACCTCACCTCCCCCCCCCCCTCCTTTTCCCTTTCTTACCGGCCCAACCAGGGTGGAGTGACCCCAAGCCGGATATGAAGCTGAGTCAATTTTTGAGGCGCCTAAAAAATCGCCCGATATGAACCTGAGTCGTCGCGGCGCGGGCAGGCGAGCACGTGGCAACTCAGCCTGTTCAAACTTGGGTGTTTCGGCCAGCCCCCATCTCTCCTCCCCCTCCCCCCCCCCTCCCCTCTCCTCCTCTTCCCTTTCTCACCGGCCCAACCAGGGTGGAGTGACCCCATGCACGATACGATGCTGAGTCATCCCGGGCAGGTGAACACGTGGCGACGAACAACTGGTCAACAGAAACGGCAGGAGGGAAAAAAACAGAGGGGGGGAGAGGGGGGGAGAGAGTTTGTGCATGCCAGCACAGGGGTGTACAAAAGAAGCTCTTGGCTTAAGCCCTCGATAGAATAGCTATAATTAACATAAAAAATAATCAGCACTCATTCAGTCACAACACCACTAACCTGATTATCCACGACCCTGCCAGTACAAAGCGAGAAGACGACGCCAGTCCAGATGGTTAAAAAAAAAATCGTAGTAGTGTTTTCTTTCTCTCTTTCTTTTCTTTTCTTTAACGAACAAAGCTAACCTGATTGTCAACGGCCCTGCCGGTATAAGGCGCGAAGACGCATGGCGGCAGCAGCGCAGCGGCAGCAGCAGCACCAGTAATAAAAAATGCGAACACATGTAGTTGCGGGGGAGACAGAACATGGGGAACATGGGGGAACAGAAATGGGAATTGATTTTGCGGAACGCTTCGAGCTTTTATTGAGCCACTCAAAATACGCCCACTGACCATGTTGCACGCTCCAAACTTTTTTGAAAATTCCAAGAAAACCCGTTCAAAACACCAGCTCGAATGCCAGCATGCATTCAGCCCCATTGATCCTAGAAAGACCCCACCCGCTCCCCTAAAACCGAGACCAACCCCTCGACTCCTCCTACCTACCTCGCCTGCAGCAGCAGCGGCCAGTGCAGTGGCCATGTGGTCATGTTGGGAGCATAAAGAGGCTTTACAGCTAACAGTAAGAGTTGAGCCCTAAGCACACAGGTACACTCGAGCCCTAACTCGCCTCCTGCTGCAGCAGCTGCCAGTGCAGCGACTCTATGGTCATGGTGAATGCTGTGATATAGCAGATAGAAAGGGCGGCGGTGGTGGCGGCGGCGGCGGCAGCAGCAGAAGATGCTCTAGTGAGGTATGGCCTCAACTCTAGAGTGTGTAACTCACTCCTCCTCACCTCGCCTGCTGCAGCAGCTGCCAGTGCAGCGGCCCTGTGGTCATGTTGAAAGCACCAGGGTAGCAGATGAGCTGGGCACCTGAGATAAAGCGACAAGGCGTGGGGATGGGAAGGGGGAGGAGGGACGGGAGTGGGCAAGGAAAAGGCCACATGAGCCAAGTGGTCATGTTGGAAGCACCAGGGTAGCAGATGAGCTGCGCGCCTGAGATGGGGAGAAGGAAGCGGAGGTGGGGAAGGGAATGGGCACGGAGGGAGCCAGATGAGCACTGTGGCCCGTGGGCATGCTGATTGCACCAGGGTAGCAGGTGAAGTGCGTGCCTGAAAGAAGAAGAGAGGAGTGGGGATGGGAAGGGGGAAAGGAGAAGGAATGGGCAGGGAGGGAACCAGATGAGCTCTTGTGGGCATGCTGAAAGCACCAGGGAGGAGTCTATTCTTTTAGGCGGCTCAAAAATAGGATGGCCACGGAGGGAACCAGATGAGCCCGGAAGTCATGTTGGAAGCACCAGGGTAGCAGTATCAGATGAGCTGCATGCCTGAAAGACGAGGAGCGAGGGAAAGGGTGGAGTGGAGAATGAAGGGGGAGAGAGAATTACGATGCGAAACAGAGACACAAAGAAGCAACGGCACCATACCTCGGGGGCGGTGTAATCAATCCATCCATCCATCCGTCCGTCCGTCCGTCCGTCCATCCATCCATCCATCCATCCATCCATCCGTCCATCCATCCATCCATCCGTCCATCCATCCACCCATCCGTCCATCCATCCATCCATCCGTCCATCCATCCATCCATCCGTCCATCCATCCGTCCATCCGTCCATCCATCCGTCCATCCATCCATCCATGGCCGGTGCTTCATCGCTCGCCCTGGAAAGCGAATGTCGTAGCAGCCAGGCAGAGATGAATGGCTTCAGCAGCCAAAGGGGCAGACGAGAGGAAGGCATGAAGAGGAGAGGAAGGAGCGGGACCGAGAACATACCTCGGGCAGCGTAAAGCATTGCGAGCTCAGGGAAGCGAATGTCGTAGCAAATGCCGACGGCCACTCGAGCGACCTCTGTTGGGGGAACGGGAAGGGGGGGGGGGAAGGGGGGGGAAGGGGGAGGGGAAGGGGGAGGGGAAGGGGGAGGGGAAGGGGGAGGGGAAGGGGGAGGGGAAGGGGGAGGGGAAGGAAGGCAGGGGGGAGTGGGAAAAAAGGCAGGAGGTGGGGGGAAGGGGGTTGTGTAGAAGGTAGGGGGGTAGGGAACTTGTCAGCTGGTGGGAAGAGAAAAAGCCACAGCTGGTGGGGTGATCATGCCACATCAGCGGCGACGAGGACAATGGGAGGGGGAGGGGGGAAAGGGGAAGAGGGGTGGCAGGGAGGGAGGGGAGGGAGGGGAGGGAGGGGAGGGAAGTCTGGATCGTTGTATAAAAGCCCGCTGAACCACGTCTGGAGAGGTGACTTTGAATTCACACTGGGAGCCCAGCCCACCCACCCACCTGTGTCCACCACCAATGGCTGCTCGCCACGTGTCAGGGTGTCAGACTCCTTGAATGTGATCTTCCCAGGGATGTCGATGTCAAACAGATGCAGCTGTTGGGGGGAGGAAGAGGAGAGGGAAAGTTGGAGGGGTCGTTGGGGGGGGGTTAAAGAGTAAGCAGAGAAGGAGAGTCAGGGTGTCAGACTCAATAGAACTGATCTTCCCAGTCCAGGGGATGTCGATGCCAAACAGATGCAGCTGTTGGAGAGGAAGAACGGGGGGAGGAAGAGGAGAGGGAAAGTTGGAGGGAAAGTTGGGGGGGAGGATAACGAGTAAGCAGAGAAGGAGAGTCAGGGTGTCACACTCCATAGAACTGATCTTCCCAGTCCAGGGGATGTGGATGTCGATGTCAAAGAGATGCAGCTGACGGGGGAAACGCGGAAGGGGGGGGGGAGGAGGAGGGCAGAAAGGCACGTGTTGTACAGCCAGCCAGCCAGCAGGCACCCTGACTCTCTCACCTTACTCTCACCTTGACGCCCCTTCAGTTCCCCCTGGCTGCCAAATCCCAGGGACGTGTTGTACAACCGACCCTCCCTCCTCTCCACCACCGACCCTCTCTTAACATCCCCCTCCCCTCCATTCTGCCTTTCTGCCTACCTTGCTGAACCGTCCCTTCCATCCCGCCATGCTTCCAACCACAAGACACGTGTTGCTGTACGGCCGTGCCTCTTCCTCTCGGGAATAGATCATACAACCACCCCACCCTACACCCTGGCTACCTGCTATCCTCTTACCTTGCTAAACCGTTCCTTCAGTTCCCCCTGGCTGCCAAGCACCAGGCACGCGTTGTACAACCCCCCCTCCCTACCTCCCCTCCCCTCTACTGCCCCCTCCCCTCCCCTGTGCCTTTCAACCCATCTTGCTAAACCGTCCCTTCCGCTCCCCCATGCTGCCAAGCACCAGGCACGGGTTGTACTTGAGAATTCTCAAAAACAAAATACAGTCCCCCCCTCACTCCTCGTCACACCCTCCCCTCCCCTCTCATACCCCCTCCCCCCTCCATCCTGCCTTTCAACTCACCTTACTGAACTTTCCTTTCAGCTCCCCCTTGCTGCCAAACACCAGGCACGTGTTGTACAGCCGCCCCTCCCTCTTCTCAGGGATAGACCCCCCCACTATAGTCACGCCACGCCGCCCAGCCACGTCAGCGAGCATGGCAGCAGATGGGGAGGAGGCGAAGGAATCTTCCGGGGAAATTTCCTCGGCGTAGGTGGGGAAGTTGTCGTTGGAATAAGGGCAGTTCCACATCTCCTGAAAACGGGGTGGCGGCGGCGGGGGAGGGCGGGGGAGGGCGGGGGGAGGGCGGGGGGAGGGCGGGGGGGAGGGGTGGGGAAAGCAGACACAAGGAGTGGGAAGTTGTCGTTGGAATAAGGGCAGTTCCACAATTCCCGGGGGGTGGGGACGGGGGGTAGGAAGGGAGAGGGGGGAGAGGGGAAGAGGGGGATGGAGGGGGAGGCAGGGGAGGGTGGAGTGGGGGGTGGGGGGGTGGAAGGGCGGGGAGAGAAAAGGAGATTGTCGGCGTAGGTGGGGAAGTTGTCGTTGGAATAAGGGCAGCTCCGCATTTCCTGGGGGGTGGGGACGGGGGTTAGGAAGGGAGAGGGGGGGGGAGGGGAAGAGGGGGAGGGGAAGAGGGGGAGGAGAGGGGGAGGCAGGGGAGGGTGGAGTGGGGGGGGGGGGGAGAGGAGGGGGGGGGAGAGGAAGTGGGGGGGGGGTGGAGGAGGAAGAGAAAGGAGATTGTCCGTGTAGGTGGGGAAGTTGTCGTTGAAATGAGGGCAGTTCCACATTTCCTGAGGGGCCAGGACGGGGGTAGGAAAGGAGAGGGGTGAAAGGGGGGAAGGTGGAAACGGGGGAAGGTGGAAACGGGGGAAGGTGGAAACGAGGGAAGGTGGAAAGGGGGAAGGGAGGGGAGGTGAGGCCTACATCAGTGTGCTGATTCAACACAACAGTCTTTCTTCGACTCAGTTTCCCTCCATGCTGTCCTTCCTAGCTCTACCGTTTTCTAGGATTGGCGAAGTTGCAGTCAAAGCTGACAGTAAAAAAAAAAGTTTTACTGTCAATCTTTTTTTTCCTAGCTCTAGCGTTTTCTAGGATTGACGGAGTCGTCGTTAAGGCATGCTGCAATCGATCGACACAATCCAAGCAACAAATGGAGGGGGAAGGGGGAGGGGAGGGGAAGAAGGGGGGGGGGGGGGGGGTGGCTATTTCTGAGGCGCCTGAGAAATAAGGACAGTTCCACTTCTGCCTCCCCATCTCCCCATTCCTGTATTTCCCTCCGCCCTCCCCCCCACTCTCCCCCCCCCCAATACTGGCAGCGGAATGACGCCAACTGGATCTCTCCCCTTCCCCTTCCTTCCCCTCCCCCTCCCCCTCCCCCTCCCCCTCCCCCTTCCCCCTCCCCTTCCCCCTTCCCTTCCCCTTCCCCCTCCCCTTCCCCTTCCCCTTCCACTTCCCCACACCCCCTCACCGGTAGCAGCACGAGCCGCGCCCCCTGGTCCGCAGCTCGGCCAATCACGTCCCTCGCATGCGCGATGTTGTGCGCCTTGTCAGCAGTCACTGCCAGCTGGCAGAGCGCGATCTTGAACTGAGATTGTCGGGTTTTGAGTGAGGAAGGTTCGGGGGGGGAAGGGGAGAGTGGGGGGGAGTGGGAGAACACCGGTGGCCATCAAGTGTCAGCAGTCACTGCCAGCTGGCAGAGCGCGATCTTGAACTGACATGTCGGGTTTTGAGTAAGAGGAGGGTTCCGGGGGGGGGGAGAGGAGTGGGGGGGAGTGAGGGAGGGGGGGGGGGGTGGGGGGGGGAGGGGGAGAGGAGGGAGAGAGAAAACCTGTGGTCATGAAGTGTCAGCAGTCACTGCCAGCTGGCACAGTGTGATCTTGAAGTAGGAATGCCAACGCGGGGGAGAGGGGGGAGGAGGGGGAGGGGGGTGAGGGGAGAGGAGAGGAGAGGAGAGGAGAGGAGAGGGGAGGAGAGGGGAGGAGTGGGAAGGAGTTGCAGGGAGCAGGTAGGTGGAAAGCCTGCGTGCTTCAGGTGTAAGCAGTTACCACCAGCTGGAGTCGATTTTAGAGGCGCCTGAAAAAAATACTGTTTCAGGTGTAAGCAGTGCCTGCCAGCTGGCGCAGCGCGATCTTGAAGTGTGAATACTAAGAAAAAGGGTCAGCGAGTTGGAGAGAAAAAAGGCGGCGGTCTACGAGGATATGGCGACAGCTGAGGACGGCTTTAAATCTACAGCTGGTTCAGCTTGCCATGCTTCGGGCGATCCTCTTGGGCTATCTTCGTTTGCAAGCAGCTCAAGCCACCGTTGCCAGCGAAGATAGAAACGATCCCCGGCGTCAACGGCAAACTCGGACGCTCACTTTCCCTGACGCGTCGCTTGCAGTCGCATTCGTCGCAGTCGCCATCGCTCGCACGGAAACGAGTCGCCTGGACGAAGCGGCTGGAGAGGGGAGAGAGGGGATGATTTGAGCGAGTGCGAGGGGGAATGCGACGATTCGTCGGGGAAGGGGACGGCGCAGCAGCGGAGACGCGCGATTTGGCAGTCTAGACTTGAGGCAGCCAAGGCCCGATGACAGTCGTAGCGGCGACGCGGCGTGAACGGCGCGGAAGGCGAGCGCTGCGGCCATGCACTTCTAGGACGCGGTGCAGATGACTCTAGAGACGTCTAAAAAGAGCGCTCGGATCATGCAGTTAGAAGGCGGGCAATTCTAAGCATTGAGGGCGCTTCCAAAGTGGAATTTTTGAAATTTGTACCGTACTTGAAACAGCTGCGAAGTACCAAAACTATAGCAAGCTGCAGCACGCCGAGCAGCACCGGAAACCAAAAACGAAGATGAAGTCACTTTGGAAGCGCTTGACTCTTGAGAGTCCCAGTCTGAGGGCGTGTTTTTAGTTGGTCTCATCCCCAGTTGGTGTCATCCGAGATAGCTGGAAACCAATCGTATACTGTAAATTTTCAGAAAAAACGCATATGATTGGTTTTCCAACTTGAGATGACACCAACTTGGGACGACACCGACTAGAAACTCTCCCTGATTCGAAGAAAACCCCTCCGTATATCTAGTAGTACGCTGCAGCTGGCAATTAGAGGAACCGCTTTCTATATATATGGAGTTTGGCATCCATGCCTAATACAACCAACCAACTATCCTCCTTCATTGGCTACTCTTTCGCTTTGGAATAATCGAACATGCGAAGTCACGAATGGTCCAGAGCAGAACAGAAAAAGTGGGAATTCTAGGACAACTATCACATGGATATCCTGGACTTGAACACGCAGATACAATTTTTTTCTTGAATACACTGCACCTCCTATATTGCTTGAACAATACGGAGGGTGCTGTTACTGGAGACAACTGCCACGTTGATGCTGATGGCGGCTGGGACGCCGTTAGCCGAAAGACAGCTGCAGCCACGTCATTCCACGTCAGGTGATTACGTGGAATGACTAGGTGCTACCACTTTTGTTGAATTTCCCTCTTCGGTGCGACCCAAGCAGGAATGCTTGCCCCCTGGGCTTCGATATGGTCACGCTGCACCCAAAAACCTGGAGCTGCTGGCAAGGACGTGGGAATGGGATCTCAACATTGTAACCCAGGGGTAGTATTCCGTCTCGTGTCGGTCAGTATTGGACGAATCTGTGCACAGCGTCATGCGAACCACGTGCGAGATCGACACCGACTTCGTGTCAAGTTTAGGTGTTCGAGCTTGACCGGGCAAACGCGGGAATTCCAAGCAATGTCAATTTCCAGTGCGTTTTGTTGTCACACCCGTCCCACTTTGGTCCCTATCTCCGTACATGCACGAGGCCCACAGCCGTTGTCGGGTTTTGTGTCGCTCCCTCCATCCCAGCGACGATCATGGCAGGCACACTGGAATCGAACCGTCCCCAGCATTCTCCACTGTGTGGAATCGAACGGTTCTCAAGAAACCAGGAAATCAACCGACCAATCACCTGGATAAGCGCTGCATCCTACTTCGTCGCACAGGTCGTAAGGTGAACTTTTCGGCATTCTCCCACCCTCTGGGAGTACACCCCTTCCAAGAACTTTTTGGAGGGCGACTTTTGACTCGACATCCCCCACGTTTCAGGAATCAGGGACTTGAAATGAAACTTTCGCCCCTCGAGTTCTCCGTCACTTTTCCCCGAGTCTGAGCCCAGGCATTCCCATCCCAGCCTGGGAATCCCAAGGCTCGTTGGAGCCAACACCAGGCACTATCATCAGACTGTCTCTCCCCTCGCCAGCACCAGTCCCAAGGGACATCAGGGGAGGAGGGCATCACTTAAGGGGGTGTATCAAGTAGGTCGAAAAGCACGACATCACGGTTTGACGTCGAGTCATCGCTTCTGAACGCACAGCCAACTTCTCAATCGCGCGAAAACGTACTGTACTCTGTTGGAACGTCGGGTGACGTCATTTTCCTTGCTCACTCAGACCCTCTTACAAAACCCCCCTGCACCCATCACATCGCAGGAGTCCTCTCGGCCTTGGGCATGTCACGCTCCCTCTGGCTTCTGCCACTGAGCCTGCTGGTTCAGTTAGGTGGACCTTCGGAGTTCGAACGAACGGACCAAGCCTAAGACCATAGCTGGCCCTGTTTTTAGGAGACAAACCAGACCCGAAGTATGGCGAGTCGTGACCCTAAGTCGTGATCTCGGACAATCTTAGAATCTGATCTACGTTCACTCATGACATGTAGTCCCTTCCTAGGCATCTCAATGTAGTGGTAGTACAAACGAGTGCGCTTCGTCTTGGGTTCAACGGCATTGTAATAGATTGTTCCTAACATTCCAGCTAACTGCATATATCTACATTATTTTCCCCTATTCGTTCGGGTATAGTTAGTTTTCTCACTCGTTATAACGCCTCCCCGCTTCGAACATCACCACGTAGCTCAATCTTCAACCCAAATCGCGTAAATAATCGCTCGTCACGAATAATCGTTTCGCGAATGTTCGCCCTTCGCGAAAGCTTTTCGCCGCGGCGAGGCTCGTGTTGATGGAGGCTCGTCGATGGCCAATGGAGAAGCTCCTACCTCCAACGGCTACATGCAAGCGACCGCCGCTCCTCCCGCTCCCCCCGCTCCCCGACCCAAGCTCCACTCTTCCACCCCTCCCCCATCGGCTAAAGCGCAGCTTGCTTCCGCCAAGCCGCAACCCGCTTCCGCCAAAGCGCAACCTGCTTCCGCCAAACCGCAGCCTGCTTCGGGCAAAGCGCAGCCTGCTTCGGGCAAAGCGCAGCCTTCTTCAGGCAAAGCGCAGCCTGCTTCCGCCAAAGCGCAACTTTCTTCCGCCAAAACGCAAACCCCTCCCGCCGCCATCACAGCCGCCGTTGCCGCCGCTGCAGCCGCCTGCGCCAGTGCTAGCGCCGCCGCCGCAGCGGCGCCAGACGCAGCTTGCGCAGCACCCGCGCCTTCTGCCGCCGCCTTTTCTGAGCCGCCTCGAGAGTCGCCTTCTGCCGCCGCCGTTTCCGAAGCGCCTAAAGATTCGCCTTCTGCAGCCGCCGCTGCTGCAACGGCGGCACCGACGCGGGCGGCGACGCCACCTTTGCCGCCGCCGCCGGCTCTTCCGCCGTCGCCCGCTCTTCCGCCGCTGCATGTGCAGCTGCAGCTGCTGCACTTCCCTTGCTTGTCGGAAGCATGGACGGCTGAGGAGCAGCGGCTGCTGGATCAAGGGCTCGCAAGGTGGGCACGGAGTGGGTTGGTTCTGTGCGACAAAGTCGTTCGCGATGGAGTCGTGCGCGGGTGCGACGTCGCACAGCCCACCTGTAGTCGCACAGGTGTCGCGTCTCTTCGTTAGCGGACACCTCCCTCTGGTAGCATCGGATGACGGGATTGCGTAGGACTGTCACAGACCCTTTCCCGTCCCACGCGAGTCAGCGATCGGGCTACATCATTATCGCTTATCGCTCGTTGCTAGTCGCCACCGGGTCACAACAGTACCGCGTTTCGCTCGTTGTTAGTCAGCCATCGGGTTACAACATTATCGCTTTCCGCTCGTTGCGAGTCAGACATCGGGTTACATGGGGTCACATGACAACCTCGTCGCACGCGCGCGCCGTCAATGAGAGCCGTTGACGCGTCTCTTCGTTCTTGGCGAAACCGACGGTCATGATGCCTCCTCCTGCGTTGGATGTGGTTGTCGAGAACCCTAAACCCCGCCAGTGTATAGGGTCCTGCGTTCATTTTGCGATGGTACGGAGTCTCTACTGCCGCAGAGTGAAAGGTGTTGGGTCTACTATGTGATACTATTTTTGAGGCGCCTCAAAAAAAGGGTCTACTATGGGATAGCCTTGGCGCGTCATCACCGTTGCTGCTACATCTAGCTGCCGCCCTATCTCTCCCAACCAACTCACACCGTACCGTACCCTCGAACAGACCCTTCGTCTCCCCCCTCCCCCCACGAACGGTGCCTCTAGATCGCAACGTCCCTTCAAGAAAACACCCCCCGGTTGGTGGCCCTGTGCTGCACAGCACCTCGCAATCGCCGCTTACAAGTACATCAGGCGCATTTGCAATTGCCGTCTCTCCCCTCCCTTCCCCTTCCCCTCCTTTCCCCTTCCCCCTCGCCCTTCCTCCCCTTCTCCCCCTTCCCCCCCTTCCCCAACCCCCCCTACTTGTTCTTCCCCAGGTTCCCCCCTGACCAGTTCCCACCTGCCCAGCGCTACCTCAAGATCGCAGCGTCGCTGCCAGAGAAGACAGCCCGGGAGGTGGCCCTGCGCTGCAAATGGCTGCAGGTGAGGCAGCACCTGGGGGAGGTGACATCTGGGGTGATTATATGGGGAGGTGGGTTGTGTCTCACTTACTCCATGTCCTGCTGCCAGAGAATACAGCCCGCGAGGTGGCTCTGCGCTGCAAATGGCTGCAGGGGATGCCGCACCTGGGGGAGGTGACATCTGGTGTGGCTTTATGAAGATGTAGGTTGTGCTGCTGGATAAGGCAGCCCGAGAAGTAGCTCTACGCTGCAAATGGCTACAGGGGAGGTTGCACTTGGGGGAGGTGACACTGGTCGGGGTGGGTTGAGATAGCGAGTTTTTGCTGTTCTTAGCTGCTATACTTAGCAGAATTGGCTGCAGGTGAGGTCGTATGTGAGGGGGGGCAACCTCCGTCCTCTTTCCCACCCCCTTCCTTTCGTCCTTCTACTCCGTTTCTCCTGCTCCCCTCTCTCTGCCACCCAGAGGAAGGAGATGGGGAAGAGGCGGAGGGCGGAGGAGACAACAGCAGCCAAGAAGCCAAAGGAGCCTTAGGGCAAGAGGCCAAGGCATCGTCCGCTCCTTTACTTTCTGTCCGCTGTCTCCCCCTCCCTCCCCCTCTCTCCCGCTCCCCCCTTCCGCTCCCTCTTTTCTCTCCGTTTCTCCTGCCTTCACCATTTTTCCCACCCAGAGGAAGGAGATGGGGAAGAGGCGGAGGGCGGAGGAGACATCAGCAGCCAAGAAGCCAAAGGACAAGAAGGCAAGCCATCTCTATTAGCCACCCTTCGATAGGCGGGCAAGCCACAACGGTTGAATTCTTCATTGTGCAGATCAGCGGCCAGTAGATTCTCAGTAGCCGTCCCGTTTTCTGGAGGTACCTTATGTTCTCAGTAGCTTTTGCTACCTTATGCGGTAGGATTTTTGAGGCGCCTCAAAAACCGTTTTCTGCTACCCAATGCGGCAGGTTAGCGCTGAACTGTTGCTTGAAGAGAGCTCGAGATGACTTTTGAGTCGGCTCAAAAGTTCTTGCGCAGATCAGAGGCCAGCCATCTTTAGCAGGCGTCCCCGTTGTCTGGCTCTCACGCGGAGATTAGTGCTGCCCACCGCTGTTGCTTGAGGGTTCGATCGCAGCAAGCGGGTTAGTCGACTCAAAAGCGGTTTTTGAGTCGACTCAAAAAAAGAGTAGCGCTGTCCAGAACTGCTGCTTGAGGAGAGTAGCGCTGTCCAGAACTGCTGCTTGAGGAGGGTTCGATTGCTGCAAGCCGGCCGAGGGATCTCGTCTCGCCCGAGGCTAAGCTAAGCACGAGTCTTGTATATCGTGGAGAAATAGCGCCATCATACATTCTCGTCTTCTTCCTTCCAAACTGCCGATTCCGCCCCACCCCTGCTCAGGAACAGGATCAGCGAGGGGACACTGCAGCAGGCGGAGGGGGGACAGGGGGGGCGGGGGGGGGAGGGGGCCACGGCTCGATTAAACAAGAAGCAGCAGGTGCTGGGGATGCTGCTGGGACAAGAGGAGGGGGGACAGGTGCAGCTGGTGCAGGTGTATCTAGTGCGGCAGGTGCAGGTGGGGGTGATGGCTGTGCTGCTGCCGATACGCAGACAGATGGAGCCGACCACAGTGGCAGCCTGCTATCGGGTACGTGTGCTATGCTATCTGGTGCAGGTGGATCTGGTGCATGTGCATTCAATGCAGGTGCAGCCGGTGCAGGTGCAGCTGGTGCAGGTGCAGCTGGTGCAGGTGCAGCTGGTGCATGCAAGTATATCTGGTGCGGCTGGTGCAGGTGGTGGTGATGGCTGTGCTGCTGCTGACACGCATACAGATGGTGCCGACCGACCACAGTGGCAGCCTGCTACCGCGTACGTGAACTGTGACCACTACTTGTAGAGGCAGGTATATATACCCGTTTTACACGTACAAGTACAAGTACAAGTATATCTGTAGATTACACGTTTTATGTTGCTGCTTTTCGTCGTGTCCTGTTTGGGGACGTCCCCAACCTCCAAACCAATGCTTTTCCTGCTATTCGGCCGGTGCGTCACCTGCCATTCAGTTCAGACTGTCTCCATCCGTGCTGTGATCTATAATGCACGGTCACTTGTGCTGCTGCCTTGCCTTGCCAATCCACGGCTCCAACCAAACTTGATAGCTTCATGCTAGCTTGCTGCTGCGCCTTGGCAACTCCTCTCCTTTGCATTCAGGGGACCTGTCGCCAGACAGGCTGCTGGAACACAATGTGGAGATCATCTCGCACATCAAGGCAGCGCTTGCAGCAAACAAGGTAAGGGTAATGGTTTTGAGGGTAACCGGGTAACCATTATGATGCCAATCACCGCAAGGCCTGTGGCCAGACAGGCTGCTGGATCACAACGGGGAGATCATCTCGCACATCAAGGCAGCGCTTGCAGAAAACAAGGTACGGAAGCCGTGTCTATCTACGAGGGTAACCAGGTAACTATCAGAGTATCTATCAATCACCTCAAGCCCCCCTCCTCATCTGATCTTCCGCTTGAACACAACGCGGAGATCATAACATATATCAAGCCAGTTGTGGCAGCCAACAAGGTACGAAAGCCGCGGTTACGAGAGTAACAGGGTTACCGTCATGATGTCAGGCACCTCAAGGCCTCTCATCCGATGGACCGCTTGAAGAAGACAATTTGAGAGATTGTTGTCCCGGATCAAGGCGCCACTGGCAATTTTGGAGGCGCCTTAAAAATTGACCCAGATCAAGGCGGCACTGGCAGCAAACATGGTGACAGTTGGAGTTATTAGAGTGACAAGGTTAGCCACCTGAGCGCATCATAGCCACCTGGCAGAAGTGCAACGACGTCCTGATTCGGCTGAGAGACAAGGTCGTTCTCAGGAACTCCTTCTGCTGCCCTCTTGCCGTCCCCTCCCCCCTTCCCTTCCCTTCCCTTCCCTCCCCTCCCCCACCCCATCCCACTCCCCAGTCCCAGGAGTGCAACGACCTCCTGGTTCGGCTAAGAGACAACATTCTCTCGGTCTTTCACAGGTACGTGTGCCACCCCAGTTTCCAACCACCTCCTTACACATCCACTTTCCCACCTCTACAACCGAATATCCCAACTTGCCACTCCCATTCACTCTCCCTCCCCTGCTTCTCTCTCTCCCCTCCACACACACTCACACCACACGAGATAACCCCAGTTCATCCACCTCCACCTCCTCTCCTCCCTTCCACCCTCTTTGTCCTCGTTACAGGATGACCTCAGTGCCCGGCGCAATGAGCCAGATGCCGCCTCTCCCAGTCAAGCCTAACCTAGACCTCGCCTGCCAAGTCCTCTCTCCCTCCCCATCCTCCTCCCTCATCCCCATCTCCATGCCTCCTGGCCTCTCTGCTACAGCCATCCCCACTACAGCCGGCCTGCCAGCAGCAACTGGACCAGCGGCTACAGCTGTGCCAGCTGCTGCAGGCTTGCCCGCTACAGCCGGCCCAGCCTCAGCCATGGGGGGCATGCCTGTCACAGCAGGCGTGCCTACTACAGCCGTCCATGCTACAGCCATGCCGGGCCTGCCTGCTACAGCCATGGGTGCTGCAGGAATGGGGGGGATGGGGGGAATGGGGGGGATGGGAGGCATGGGGGGAATGGGGGGCATGGGGGGAATGGGGGGGATGGGGCCCATGGGGGCCATGAGGGGAGCGCCTGGTTTGCCCATGGGTATGCCCATGCCCATGGCTATGATGCCTGCCATGGGGCCACCGCCCGGGGCAGGAGCCATGTCGCAATGACTGCAAGTACATATCGAGGTTCAGTACCTGCAATCGAACCCTCGACATAGCTGGTCACCTGTCGCCATGCATAAATTCTTGCATCTCATACATTCTGCCTCCTCCCTTCTCACGGCATCTCTTCCCCCCCTCCATCGCGCTAACTTCCCCCCTCCGTCCTTCTCACTAACCCGCTCCAGCCCCACCTCCTCTCATTCCCCTCCCTCTCCTCCCCCTCCCGCTTGCTCCCTGCTTCGGACGCATGTCTCTGCACAATAGCCACAGTCACAGAGAGGCTCAGAAATCTGGCCTTTACCCTGCTAGCTGCCTCCTACGCTGCATGCTGCAGCAGTCATGGCTCAGGCAGGGCCGCACGCCAGTGTCCCCAGAACCGGGGTTCGGGTTGGGGTCAGGGTCGGGTCGGGGTCTGCCAACAGTGTAGACTGTAGCGGGCTTATGTTCTCCATCATTCTCCATGCCTGCAAGAGGCAGCTGGAATAGATGGATGGCTGGTGCTGCTGTGTGCTGCTTGCTGCGTGCTGCAGCTATCTCATCAGCGCAGGGCCACTTGATGCGGTTTAGTCTGGTCTGGTCATACTGGCACTTCTGGTGCGGTGTTTTAGTTGATGGTGCTTCAGCTGCTAGCAGTCTAGCTGTTGATGCTGCTGCTTCTCCTGGATTTAGACAGCTTGCGAAGAATGCTTTATATTCTATTGGCGAATGCCATAGGGGGAATTGGAGCTATTTTGTCAGAATATCATAAATGCCCTTATTCTTCTACTCATGGAAATGGTGGCACCTACATTGATGACTTACAATAACGACTAACGGAGACTCCAGTGTAAGTTTTTTTTTTTTTCTGTACAGCTGCCGTGGCGCCTGAGCTGCTGTGAGGCAGAAAAATCTGCCCGCCCGTCATCTCGGCTTCCAGCACGGCACGCGCGCGTCAGCACGGCAGGCTCGGCAACTGGGATGACGTGGAGCGCGGCTGACCAGGCAGATTTGAGATCTGATGAGCCCAGGCGCGTAAGATGCGGAAGAGGAACGATGCATCACCCCAAAATCGCAACCATACGTTCCGTGCATCCTACGGTAAAACGGAGAAGAAGCCGCGTTATCGGACGGTGTGTATCGTGTCACCTGCCATGCATGTTTTGTCTTGAACTCTTTTTCACCCCTTTCAAGCCCCTTGTAAACCTCCCCAAACCTCTCCTTTTCCGTTATTTTCCTCAGCCCCCCACTTCACCCTTCCCACATCTCAGTTAACCTCCCCTCGCCATTCACTATCCTACACCGTTGCTCTCGGGGTTGCTCTGCCGAGGGCTGCTGGTCACCGCCATTCACATGGCCACCACGCTGCAAGTCTCATCTTTCACGTTTCCGTATTCACATGGCCGTTTCACTGAACTTAGCCAGCACGCTTGCCAGCACGTTACCCATTACCTCCAGGAAGCACATCCGATATCCAAAACCGCAGCAGCGGCAGTAACCATTTCTGTTCACCGGCTGAAACAAGTTGTTTCAGCAGCACGGACCTAGGGAGACTCGTGCGTGTGAGAATCCCGCCCACCCAGAGCCTTTCCTGAAACGTACGAAATATTTTCACGCGTCGAATCTCTCGTCCTATCCGTACGACGCTGGTCGAGACCAGCCGATCAAAAAGCAACCTTTGAAATTCAGGTATCAGTTTCCCGACGAATACCGCGAGAATACTAGTTCCGACTGCAGGTGATATTTGAGAACCCTCAAAAAGCACTCCGGGAGGAACAAGAGATCCGATTAGCTTCCTGACATTTGTTCTGCCAGCTTTCTGACGCCAACTCTAGTGGGGACAGCGATCGTGTAAGGAGTGTCGTCGAATTGTCCAAGGGGGTTTCTTGTCTGCCAAACGGCAAACTCTACCGAGTTTCACGTCCTCATCCCGCGGCTCGGAGCCACAATGCCAGGAACAATCTGCATTCAGGGTACGTCGTCCACGTTGCGGGTGCGCTGTTCTTTCACTTCCCGCCACGTCGTTTTCGCGGCTTCAAGTATTCTCAATGGATGCTACTCGTCCTCACCGGCCTTATCGCTTTAGCCTCGAGCATGCCGAGGGTCGTGTAGCTTGTATCCCGTAGGTTTGAGAATGGTCGATAACGGTTGAGAGCGGTTGAGCACGCGAGAAAGAAGGATTGCGCATGTGCAATCACTATGGTGCACACTCACGTCCAGAATCATGACCACGACCACGAGGAGTGCGTCACCAGCGCTTTCCATCGCTCACCTCACTTCTTCCATCGCCCCTCGTTCTCCCACCGCCCCTTCGCCTCCCATATGTGCAGTTCTGGAGTGCACCAACGTGCCAGGAAACCAAGGTAAACGGCTCCACAACTCACCTCACCAACGTTCTGAAGAGAACGAGTAATTTCCCTCCTACATTGTCTCCTCCTTCACTGTCTCCTCCTTCATTGTCACCTCCTTCACTGTCACCTCCTTCACTGTCTCCTCCTCGATCGTGCCGAAATGGCTTTCAGTTCTCAAGATTGACGTTTTACTCTCCTCTGCGGAATGTGCGTGTGGCGTGGAGTGTTGGTGGCTCTGATGTGCATGTGTGCGTGTTGCATGCACGGCTGTGTTGGAGCCTGCATGCATGTGGTGCGTGGGGTGCATGTGGTGCATGAGATGCATGGGGTGCATGAGATGCATGTGGTGCATGAGATGCATGGGGTGCATGAGATGCATGGGGTGCATGAGATGCATGGGGTGCATGAGATGCATGGGGTGCATGTGCTGCATTGCTGGCGTGGTGCGTGGTTGGGATGGTGTGTGGCATGCTGGATGCTGAGGTTGTGTATGGCATGCCGCATGGGTGGGTGGGGTGGTGCATGGCATGGTGGGTGGGGTGAGGTATGGCATGGTGCATGGTTGCCATATTCCACGGCTCTCCTGGTGCATGGCTCGGATTCTGCAGGCGATCAGCTCTCAGTACAAGGTGAGCCGCCTCAATACCCAGCTCACACACAGAAAAACAAACATGCCATCCTCCTCCATACGTGAACCGCCCTTGTCAACCAACCCGTCCCCCCCATTCCCCCCCCTGCCGCCCTCCTCCACCGCCTGTTCTTGCCACTTCACATTCACTCACTCATGTCGTTTGACTGCATCCTCAACCTCACAGCCCAATTCTCTCTCACAAAGCCCGGCCCGAGTTTACATCTCAATTCCTCTCTCACACAGCCGAATTCCCTTCGTGGGATGCTATGCAAGCAACCATTCTCTCCTTTACCCCCGCCCTCCAGTCTCGGTGGGGTCGAAAGTCTTCTCCACTTGCCATCAATCGTCTGTCAAAGCGTCGCTGGGAAATGTTCTCCTACTACCCGCCTACAATGCAGAGTTCTCCTTGTACGTGCCCCACTCCACCACACTCCACTGCACTCCACAGCACTCCACCGCACTCCAACGCACTCAACTTGAGCACAATCCGTTTCACACAGTCACCAGACGCAAGTAGGGATTGGAGGAATCGATGCTGCTGCCTTGTTCACTTCTGTGTGTCTACCATGCTGCCTTAATTCACACAGACTCCATTCCACTCCATTCTCCACATATCCGTGCAGTCCGGTGCTCAACCTGGTTGACCCAGTGGTCGTCTCTCTCCTTGACTCTCAAGGAAACGTACTCAGTCAGACGTGTAAGCATGGCGTACCATGATCCACTCTTGCGGTTCCCACCCACACCATTCACACACTGGTCACGCACATGTCATCCAAATGTCATGCGCGTGTCATCCACATGTCATGCACGTGTCATCCACATGTCGTGCACATGTCATCCACATGTCGTGCACATGTCATCCACATGTCGTGCACGTGTCATCCACATGTCGTGCACGTGTCATCCACATGTCATCCACATGTCATCCAACCTTTGTGTTTGCAGAGTGTTTGCTCATACAGTCGTTCAATAAGTGCCTGCCACGTCACCCATCGTGTATGTCAACATGCTGCTGCTTCTTGCTGCCACGTCATCCCCATCCTGTGCCACAGCCCTCAGGGTACCTGCTATAGTGGAGAAGCGGTTCCGAGATGAGATGCTGACGTGGACCAATGGCGCACGAGTGCATGTGAAGTCGAGCTTCATGCTGACAGGGACGGAGAAGGCCAGGATCGCATCCATGGTATGGTGTGGGGCCCGCATCCATTGTAAGTCGAGGATGGTTGAGGAGTGCAAAGGGGAGGAGTGCAAAGGGGAGGAGTGCAGAGTTGGGGAGCGCCAACTCATCCGCCCGTTTGCCTTGCACTCTCCGCTCCGCCCTTCATTGCAGGTGCGCAAGCAGGTCGAGTCGACCCAGCAAGCCATGGGCGCACGAGGCAATACGGATGGTGTCACGGCAAAGTCAGAGGAACAGGCAGGGGAGGGAAGTGTGAAGAGAGAGGAGCAGGACGCCCGGGAGCAACAGGAGGAGGAGGAGGAGGGGAATGAGGGGGTGAAGCAACAGAAAAGAGGGGAGGAGGAAGTGGGGTTGGAGGTGATGTGCGCATCTGACTCTGCTGCGCCTGAAAGAGGCACTTCTGAGACGCCTCAAAAAGGGGAAGTGGAGCAGGAAGAAGGGGAGGAGGTGGAGGCGGAATTGAAGCGTAGGTCTGCCTCTGTCGCCACCTCTACCTCTGCCTCTGCCTCTGCCTCTGCCTCTGCCACACCGCCCACCATTGTCACTCCTACCCTGCCTTCCCCTAACCGCTCCTCTCATGCAGCTACCTCCATGGCATCACCATCAGCATCGTTATTATCAGCATCACCATCCGCACTTCGACAAGTCACGTCATCGCCATCATCACCATCGCCATCAGCAGCATCATCATCAGCATCAGCGCGTGCACGAATCTCGTTGTCCACGCTGGCACAAGTGGCCCAGGAGGACGGCTTTGTGGTTGATAACGAGGCGCCTTGTAAGCGGGTCAGACGGCCTCGGGGTGCAACCCTCGGTGCACGGCACCTGGTGCTAGAGTGCTCATCCGGAGGAGGTTTAGCAACGGGTGCTGCTGGTAATGATGGTTCTGCTGCTGGTGATAGTGGCGGTGTCTCTCGTGCTGGCGAATTCTGTCTTGGTCCGGGGGGTGAGGAGAGTGGAAGGGCAGGGGTAGGAGGAGCACACAGGCAGAGCTTGTTTATGAGGAGAGCTGGAAGCAGCAGAGGGAGTCACTTGGGCCAGCACGAATGGCTGAGGGAGGGGCTTACACAGGCACAAGCACGAGCACACCCCTCCACCTCCGCCTTCGAATCGACTCAAAAGGGGGGGCGAACGCAAACACAAGCTCAGGTGTACCCTTCCCCATCCACCACCAGTGCCAGCAGCAGCCCTTCCTGCAGCAGCCGCTGGCTCAGAGAACCCAGCAGCACTGGAGGCAGCATATTCGGAACCAGCAGCACTGGAGGCAGCATATTCGGAACCAGCAGCACTGGAGGCAGCATATTCGGCTCCCATAACAGCTCTGGCATTGGGAGTGCGGGCTCGCACTCTCCCAGCAAGGCAGGTACTGGCCCAACAAGGCCTGCACCTTGGGAGTGCAGGCTCGCACTCCCTCCCACTGCAGACTTGAAGTCCCAAGGCAAGGCAGGTTTGGAGACGGAGGATGGAGGCAGTTCAGGCAGCAGAGGTGGTTCAGCCTTGGCCACAAGCCAGGATGTGTTATTTTCAAGCAGCAATTGCGGCAGTGCTAGCAGCAGCCTGGGCGATTTCCTCTTTGGTGCAACGCGCGAGGAGGCCCCCTCCTTCCCGCCCCGTAGGTTCAGTGACGTGGGGTCGCTGACTCAGCTGATGAACACGTGGCAGCAGCACAGCGCTTCAGCGGCCAACTCAGCTGCCAGATCAGCTGTCCGCCCATCTGTCAGTGGCAGTGGCAACGGCTGTGGCAGCAGTAGTGCCTGTGCGGTGGCCGCCGCAAGTGCAGCTGCCAGTGGCATTGGCAGTGGCAGTGGCCAAGGAGACGGCAGTGCTGCACCGACCTTGGGAAAGGAAGGAAATATCGAGAGCAATGGGCGGAGACCCTCCACGTTCCCAGTGCCTGGTCGGTACAGCGATGCCATTGGGTGGCGGAGAGGCGTGGGAAGGGGCGTGTTGGGAGAGCAAGGAGTGGCTATGGGAAGGAGGGAAGCCGCGGGGAGGGGGGAGAACCTGGGGAGGGGGGAGCACCTGGGGAGGGGGGAGCACCTGGGGAGGGGGGAGCACCTGGGGAGGGGGGAGCACCTGGGGAGGGGGGAGCACCTGGGGCAGCTGCTGCAGCGGTGGGCAGAGGACGATAAGTTCTGGGAGGAGGTGCGGCGGCAGCGAGTCTTGGAGAAAGGCAAGGGGGCAGCGGCAGTTTCAGGAGAGTTAAATGCACAAGCGGCACGGCCAGCAGGGACGGCAGGGACAGCAAGGCCAGCAGGGACGACAGGGACAGTAAGGCCGGCTAGGTCTGCAGGAGAGCTAGTGACAGCAGCAGCAGCAGCAGCAGCAGTGACGTCATCACCAGTGACCATGACACTAGAAGCCAAGCGAGCTGCCCCGTCAGCGTCTTTGTTGCCATCATTCTCACATGGAGGGATGCCATCAGAACCCTCAGGTGGACGTTCAGATGCACCCTCAGGTGCTCCCTCAGGTGCTCCCTCAGGTGCTCCCTCAGGTGCTCCCCCAGGTGCTTCCTCCGATGCATCGGCTTTGCGTGGTTACTGCATGCAGAAGGGCCGAGGCATGCAGAGCAGCAGCAACAGGAGTGACGGTAGTGTCAGTCACCCCAGCAGCAGCATTGCCACTGATGCTGCAACTTCCGGCCAGAGAGGGTCCCCTTATAAGCAGTCTCATTGTAGGAGCTCCCCTCTGAAGCGACGGCCGCGTGTGGAGCATGGTGATGGGAAACACAGCCCTCAAAGTAGCGGTGGCACTGGCAGTGGCTGGACCAGTGGTGGTAGGAACAGTGGTACCTTTGAGGAGACTCGGATGCAGAACCGTCAAAATAGTAGTGGCAGTGGTGGTGATAGGTCTAGCAGTGGCAGGTTCAAAGGAGAGAGGAGAGAGGAGGGAGGAAAGGTGGAGAGAGAGGGGGAGGGGGGGCAGAGGAAGCAGCCGCAGGGGCATCAGAAGGTGGTGAGGCGGGTGAGGAGGACAGCAGTCGCTGACAGGGTCGGAGTGGTGGGGCAGGTGCAGCGATGGATGCATGGGCTGGGGCCTATTGCCAAACATGTGAGTGTGAGGGTGTTGGGCAATTGCAAAGCATGTGAGTATAATGATGGGCATTTGTGAGGAGGAGGAGAACAGTTGCGGACAGGGTCGGAGTGGTGGGGTAGGAGCAGCGCTGGATGCATGGGCTGGGGCCTGTTGCTAAACACGTGAGTGTGAGTGTGTTGGGCAGTTGCAGAGCATGTGAGTGCGATGATGGCACTCGTGAACATGGTTAGCAGAAGGGAGTTGCACACAAGGTTGGGGTGGTGGGGCAGGTGCAGCAGTGGCTTTTGAGTCGACTCAAAAAGTCACCTCGGTTTATGAGGGCACTTGTGAACATGTTAGGTGGAGGGGAGTTGCACACAAGGTTGGGGTGGCGGGGCAGGTGCAGCGGTGGGGCATGGGCTGGGGCATGCATGAGATGAGTGGGGCATGCATGAGATGAGTGGGGCATGCATGAGATGAGTGGGGCATGCATGGGATGAGTGGGGAATGCATGAGATGAGAGCATGGGAATGCATGGGATGAGAGCGTGGGGATGCATGAAAGTGTGGGGACTGGCTCGAATGCCTTGCTCTACCACCACTTTATTTTTTTCCCTCTCAGGTGCTTGCCATTCGAGGGGTAGCATTGCTGGCAGCATTGGCGCTCATGCCTCGACCTGCTCCTTCGCTTTCATCCTTCCCGAAATCATCTCTCTCACAACCATCTTGCTCCTACCTTATCCCACTCAGGTGCTTGCCATCGGAGGGGTAGTGTTGCAGGCAGCAGTGGCGCTCGTGCCTCACCCTACTCCTGCTCTTGCATCCTTCCCAAAATCATCTCTCTCACTACCACCTCTCCATCCGTGCCACTCCTACCTTCCATATCCCGCTACTCCTACACCGCGCCCACCCTTCCCCCCCACTCCGGTGCTGGCCATCGGAGGGGCAGCATTCCTGGCAGCAGTGGGCCAGTGGCGCTCGTGCTTCGCCCTGCTCCCTGCCTCGTGTGGTTCCCAAAACGCATCATCTCTCTCCCTACAACAACCTCTCTATCTGGCCCTCGCCCACCCTTCCCTCCACTCAGGTGCTTGCCATAGGAGGGGTGGCATTGCTGGCAGCAGTGGCGCTTGTGCCCCACCGTCCCAGGCAGCAGAGAGAGGCACTGACGCCACTACAGGTGGCGGAGCGAATGAGGTCGGTGGTGGGTCGGTAGGTTGGCGGGTGGGGGGTTTGGTGTTTAAAGCTCTTTTTCAACTATCCAACCAACCGGTTTTTTTTCCAGTTTTTATCCTTCAGGCGCGTTTCCAGTGTTCTCAATCCAGGCTTCGGAGCGGGGTGCTTTTATCCTTTAGCGCGCCGATTCACTTCGCCAGCTTCCAGCTCCGCCTGCCTGCCTGCCTGCCTGCCTCCCTCCCTCCCTCCCTCCCTCCCCACTCTTCCCTCCTTGTGTCTCTCTGCTTCTTCTTTGCTGCTTTTGTGAATGGGATGTCTCTCCTTCGCTTCGCATGCTGATTCCCATACAGATTTTACCCACCCGATTGCGATAAGATTCTTATGCCTTTGTCCCTACCCTCTCTTCCCTAAATTCCTCCTCTTCCCTTTCTACCACCCCCCTCCCTCCTCTTCCATCTTTCCCTGTCCGCACTCCCCCTCTACCGTCTCTCCGTACATCTCTTGTTCTCTTCCTCTCATCTCCCTGAAACCCACTCTGCATGTGGTATGGTTTGCGCGCTGAAACGGACTGTTCCTGGCCATTCGCTGAAATGGACCACCGCTCCACTCGCCCGGTCGCTGGTTTGATGCTGGAACGCGCTGTTTCAAACGCGTGTGGGTGGCGCTGTGGGATGCATCTTGCCGCGGCGCTACACTTGGGTCTCTCCAGGAATGGGAGCGCCAGGGAACTGGACGGAAAGTAAGGACACAAGTCAAGTCCCTCAAAGGTATCGGGGCTGCAATGCTCCTTATCATGTCACAAGAATGTGAGAATGTTGTGAGGTCATGTCACAAGAGTATGACCATGTTGTGAATGTGAAGCGGCTGATCATTGAGTGAACCAGCTCTCAGCATTCTATGAGCACAGTGTGAGTATTGTTCCGCTCTTGCCTTTTCCCATTACTAATGGAAACCCGAGCAGGGGGCTTGAATGATGTCAAATTAGATGGGGGCTTGACACCCATTTAGTGAAATCAAATGCGATGAGTCTTTTTTTTAGTCGACTCTAAAATAGAGACTCATTACACCCAGAGCAGGGGGCTTGAGAAATGTCATTATATTGACACCTAATTAGTGAAATCAGATTCTGAATTCTGTTGGATTTTGGTGAATTCTGTTGGATTTGGTTGCATCTGCTGTGGCTGCAGGATTTGGATTGAGCGGACCGGTGACACCCTCTCACTCTCTCTCTCTCTCTCTCTCTCTCTCTCTCTCTCTCTCTCTCTCTCTCTCTCTCTCTCTCTCTCTCTCTCTCTCTCTCTCTCTTTGCCTTGGCTGTGGCTGCAGGATCTGGATCGTGAGGCCTGGAGACACCCTGTGCTCTCTCGTGCCTCGAGGTGACTTGTGCGATCCAAACTCCGACTTCTTCAAGCTGAACCCCGAGGTGAGTTATGCACTATCACTTGTTGATCACCCGGTGAGGCCTGGTGACACCCTGTGCTCTCTCGTGCCTCGAGATGACTTGTGCAATCCAAACTCCGACTTCTTCAGGCTGAACCCCGAGGTGAGATACTTTTTGCCGCGGCATGGCATTGTCACAAGGCGAGAGGATGGTGCTGATGAGATCTCGCTTGTGAACTGAACCAAGTAATTTAGTTTTTTGCCATCTTTAAACTAGACCACCTACACGCGGAGATACTTTTTGCTGTGGCATTGTTACAAAGCGAGAGGATGGTGCTGATGAGATCCCGTGTGCAATCCAAACTCCGAGCTCTTTTGGCTGAACCCAGAGGTGAGATGGGTGGTGCTGTTTTTCTGCATGCCTTGTCGTAACGTGAGAGGCGCAAGTTGGTGCCTTCTTTAATGTTCTGGCGCTGAGAGCACAGTTGTTCTGCAGAGATAGAGGTTTCAATTTCAAACTGATATTCTCGTGCTGATTCATAGTATTTTTGTGCTGAGGTATAAGTTGTTCACGCATTTGATTTTGATAACATTGAGATTCTAAATTTGTGCCCCATACCATTCAGGTGTGTGATGTCAACAAGATCTACTCGGGACAGTGCCTGCGCCTGCCGTAGAAGAATCACAGCCGTCACTTGGGCTGCATGGCTGCATGGCTGTTGCATGGCCACATCCGCTGCAGGCTGCATGGCTGCATGGCTGCATGGCTGGCTAGTTGGGACAACAGGATACATTCCGGGCAATGCTTGTCGCTGCCGAAATGCCTTACAGGTCACATCGTCCCCGGCGCGCCCCCACACCCATCACATGTGCTCCATGCCACACCCATCACATGTGCTCCATGCCACACCCATCACATGTGCTCCATGCCACACCCATCACATGTGCTCCATGCCACACCCATCACATGTGCTCCATGCCACACCATGGTATGATGTCACCCCACAGCCACCAACTGATTCCGGCAACCCACCTTCACACAGCTGTGAACGATTCAACCTCCAGTGACACCGTCTCTTTCGTGACACGGTTCTATAGTGACACGGTCTCTACAGTGACACCAACTCTATAGTGGCACCATCTCTATAGTGACACTTTCTGCAGTCTTCATGCCGCGCGCACCCTCACACTGTCTCGCACGGTGGGACTTTTCTTTCCGCACTGGGGAGGTGACATTTGAGTCGACTCAAAAGGCACTGGGGTGGGGAGGTTTCATTGGTGACCAAAGAGACGGCATCAGCGAGGCACACTGGGTTGCAATTAGGGCCAGTGATTTGAGGCATTTCACCCTGATTACCCTTGCCAGCGGCCACTTTTTGGAGTAAACCCTGATTTTGTAAGGGTAAATAAGTGTTTTGAGGCTGAATTTGCCCCTGGCACCCTTACAAATCAGGGTGACATCGTCATGCTACCCTGATTCCTAAGGGTGCCCCAAAACCAATATTGGCGGCACTGTGGAATAGTTATATAAAACAGGCCTGGGATTCCTCTAGGTTTTGCTTAGCCACCAGGTTGCTCTCAAACCCGCACTCTCATGCGGAAGAGTCGTCTAGTGTTCGTGCAAGTGTTGCCAACTTGCCAGCCAGCAGATTTGCTGCTGTTCAACCTACGCTTCAAGTGAATGGAGCCAACCACCCAACCTGCTTGCTGCATCCCTGTAGCCTGACTATCAAAAGCACTACCAAGTTACAGAACACAACGCCAGCAAACCTACAGCTACAACCCTACTAGAGCATAACTGCTGTATATTTGATGTGTATGTCAAACATATTTGTGTATGTTTAGTAGACTACATAGGGTCTTGCCATAGTGAGTACAACCCACTAGCTATATACCCCTGTATACTCTCATTCTATTCAACACTTCTAACTCTGAGATGGTATCATGAGTAGGTTAGGTCCCCCCCGCCCACCCGCGCTTCCGCCTTAGGTCCTGGCCTGCCCCGTCGCCTAGCGCCTAGCCGCCCAAAGGGCCCCGCTGCCCCGTTGCCTTTCTGGCCCCGTGGCCCCGTTCTCTAGCACCTAGCCGCCCGTGGCCCCGCGGCACCGTCACCTAGCACCTAGCCCCCGCGGCCCCGTCACCTAGCGCCTAGCCGCCCGTGGCCCCGTGGCACCGTCACCGAGCGCCTAGCCGCCGCTGGCCCCGCGGCCCCGTCACCTAGCGCCTAGCCGCCCGCGGCCCCGTTGCCCCGCCACCTAGCGCCTAGCCGCCCCGCTGGCCCCGCAGCCCCGTCACCTAGCGCCTAGCCCCCACGGCCCCGTCACCTAGCGCCTAGCCGCCCGTGGCCCGTCGCCCCATCGCCCAGCGCCTAGCCGGCCTGCTGGCCTAGCGGCCGCGTCGTCCCTAGCATAGCCGCCCTGCCGCCCCGTCGCCTAGCCGCCCCGTCGACCAGCCGCCCCGCGGCCCCGTCGCCCCGCTGCTCCGCAGCCCCGTCGCCCAGCCGCACCGCGGCCCCGTCGCCCAGCCGCCCCGCGGACTCGTCGCCCCGCTGCTTCGTGGCCCCGTCGCCCAGCCGCACCGCGGCCCCGTCGCCCAGCCGCCCCGCGGCCCCGTCTCCCAGCTGCTCAGCCGCCGTGTTTCCCGGTCCCCGCCCGCTTCATCGGCCCTCTCCACGGTCCTACACCGCGCCCCACCGTGCTGCACCGCTCAGCACCGCATTGCACCGCGCTCCACCTCACTACACCGCACTGCACTGCTCCCCACCGCACTGCACCGCTCTGCAACGTGTGGCACCGCACTGCACAGTGCCCCACCGCACTCCACCGCATTGCACCGTACAACACTCCTCCCCACTGCTCCTCGTCGCTCCATCCCGCCCTTCACCGCCTGTTCGCGGCTGCAGCGGCCTTCATGGCGGACTCGGTGTTGCGCTTTGACGCGGAGGGTCAGCCGGTTGAGTTCGACTCATGGCTCGTCGACCTCCGCCGTCACCTCACTGGTCAGCGGCAGGACGGCCACTCCCTGGCCGTCCACATTGACGGTACGCTCCCTTGCCCTGACCCCCCTGTTGCTCTCCCCGCTGACCCCACGTCTGCTGACCATGAGTCCGCCGCCGCTGCTGCCCTTGCCCGTGCTATCTGGCTGTCGCGTAACGTTGTCGCTCAGCTCGCAATTAGCCATGCCCTCCCCCTGTCTGGGCGCTCCCGCTTTAAGTCGGTCAGGACTGCGCAGGAGTTTCTAGAGGCTGTTATCGAGCGTTATTCCATCTCGTCCTCTGCCTCTGCTTGCCACCTGATCCTTCCCATGCTCTTCCCTAATCTCGGGTCTTTCCCCACTGTCGCTGACCTGGCCACGCACATGTGCACGCTCGATGCTAGCTGGCCCGCAGCCTGCACTGGGGCCCAGCTTCGTGTGTTCCAGCCCCCTATCTGCTCTACCCTTTACCTGCTTGCCACCCGCCTCCCCGACCGCCTTGCCACTGCCCGCGACCACTTTCTTAGTCTGCACCCCACTGACCTCACCCTCTTCGACTTTGTCGACACCCTGTCTGCCATAGAGACCCGTTAGCGCTCTATTGCCTAGTCTAGCGGTACTGCGCCGGTCCCTATCTTTCAGGGTTGTGCTCCCGCCCAATGCACTTACTATGACGGTTCTGCGGCTGTAGCTGAGACAGCCCCTGCTGCTGAGACCGCTGCCGCGGTGGCCGCAACGCAGTCCCGTTATGGTAAGGCTCGCCGCCCCAAGGCTGGGCGCGGCGGGGGTAATGGAGGAGGGGGTGGAGGGGGTGGAGGTGGTGGTGGCAGTGGTTCATCCGTTGGCGGTAGTACCGACGAGGGGGCTGGGGCTGGTGCCTCGGAGCAGCAGCCCTAGCGGGAGCAGCAGCAGGCACCACAGCTTGACTAGCAGCAGGAGCAGCAGCAGCCGCGGCAGCAGCAGCAGTAGCAGCAACAGCAGCAACCGTCGCAGAGGAGGGTCGGTCGTCTCCTGCCTGGGTGGCCTAGCGCTGATGGTGGTGGTGTTGGTCGCGGAGGTCGTGCGCGTAGCTCATCGTCGGGTGGTGGTGCGAGTGACGGGCGCTGCCAGTACCAGCTCCATACCGGTCCTCGCCGCGGCCTCGTGTGCAGTAAGACCAGTCATACCCCCACTCGCTGTTTCAGTCGCCTGGACGACCTGTTTCATCTCCGCTTCGGCCTCGCGTCGGACCTCCCCGACTGGCACAGTCTCCTCCGCCGTAGTGTTAGGATCTTTGATATAGACATGGATGAGATTAGCTCTGCATTGTATGTACTGTATGTCGATGACTCTAGTGTGACTGGTTCCTATTACTGCGTGTTGCCTAGTGTAGGTCTGTCCAGTGTGCCTAGTTTAGGCTCCCCTGCTGCGTCAGGCATAGGACCCTTTGCTTTGTTTAGCCTTGGCTCCACCCTAGCTCCTCCGCCCCCAGCTGCCACTGCCATGCTCTCCTTCACTCTCGACTCTCGGAACCACACTACGCTTACGCCGCTTGCTGTCCCTGCCGCAGTTACCCTTGCAGACCTTTCCTAGGTCCGATAGTCGCCCGTAGTTCCACCACTCTCCCCTGTCCGGCAGTTCCTTCGGTCTCTCTTACAGGCCTGCACATCCCCTCATTCTTTCAAAATCTAGTTGGTGTCGGCTGTCTTCAGGACCTCGGCGTCACCACTACGTTCCCTGATCACGAGAGGTACGCTGTCTGTACCGAGGCCGCCACTGGTGCCCCCCTCACCACATTCCCCCGGGACCTGGTGTCTGGCCTGTTCACGCTGGACATCGCATCCCCCCCGGTTGGCAGTGTCTACCCAGGTTGCTGCGGCTTGCTCGTGTCGGTCGCTTACTCACCCGTCGCTTCATAGGCACCACTGCCTAGGTCACCCCGCTCTCACCCGTCTCCGTCACATGTCTCAGCACGGTCTTGTCTTAGGTCTCCCTGCGTCGTTCCCTGCGCTCCCCTCCTCGGCAGCGCCTTCGTGCACCCCCTGCGTCGAGGGCCGGCTCCGCCGTGCCCCTCACTCCTGCTTGTTCCCCCCCCCCACCGCACCGTTACAGACTCTGCAGATGGATGTCTGGGGCCCCACCCCCGTCCATGGGCCACGTCGTGAGCGTTACTTCCTAGTGCTTGTCGACTACTACACTCGCTACACCACCGTGTTTCCCCTGGAGCGGAAGGCCGACGTGCCCGATGTTCTTATCCCATGGCTTGTCTCTGCGCGTGTGCACCAAGGTCTCCCTGTGTTGCGTCTTCACTCCGACCGTGGTGGCGAGTTTGCCTCTGGCTGCCTTGGTCGCTTCTGTTGTGCGGAGGGCATCACCCAGACGTACACCCTGCTGAACTCCCGGCAGCAGAATGAGGTCGCTGAGCTACGCATCGGTTTGGTTATGGAGGTGGCTCGTACCTCCATGATCCATGCCAGTGCACCCCATTTTCTGTGGCCGTTCGCTGTTCGCTACGCCGCCCACCAGCTTAACCTGTGGCAGCACCCTCAGCAGCCGCAGGTTTCACCGACTCTCCTCTGGACCGGGTCTCCTGGTGACGTGTCTGTGTTCCACGTCTAGGGCTGCCTTGCTCACGTTCGTGCCTCTGGCACGGACAAGCTCACTGCCCGCACCGTCCCCTGTGTCTTTCTAGGTTTTCCCCTCGACTCGTCAGACTGGCACTTCTACCACCCGTCGTCTCACAGTTTCTTTCACTCTCGCGACATCACTTTTGACGAGTCCATCTCCTTCTACCACCGCTTTCCCCACCGTGGTCCCCCGGTCACTCCCCCCTAGTTCCTGGTTCCCCCCCCTCCCCCGGTCGCCCCTGCTGCTCCCCCTCCCCACCCTGCCTCGTCTGGTGTGTCTCACGTTACCCCCCTCCCGTCGGTTGTCCCTGTCGAGGGGTCTGCTAACTCTCGCGGCTCGGCGGAGTCCCTTCCCCCGCCTGTCCCCGCCCCAGTCTCTCCTCCCCCGTCGCCGCCGTTGCTTTCACAGCCGCAGCTGCCGTCGCCGCCGCAGCCGCAGCCGCCGTCGTCACCCCCGCTGGGGTTTGTGCGTTCTGGGGGTTCTGGGGAGCGTGCCGGAGCGGGTACTGGAGCGGGTTCCCGTTCTGGGGGTGGTGGCGTGGGGCTTCACGGAGGGAGCCGTGGTCCTGCTGGAGGTTCTGGTGTTGGCGTCCGGCAGCAGTCGTCGCCGTCGCCTCCGGTGTCCGCTCTTCGCCTCCTCGGTCTTCCTTTTCCTGACCGCCCGCCGGTGCCTCCTCGGTCGCCACCGCCTCCTCCTCTGCCAGTCTACGGCCCTGTGTTTCCTCCAGTGGACTCTTCTCCAACTCGTTTCCCTCCTCGTTCTCCTCCAGTGTCTCCTCCCGTCTCTCCTGACCCGAATCCTCCGTCTCAAGTCTGGGCTCGTCGTCCGTCTCGTGTTCGTCCTACCTCCCCTGTTCCGCATTCTCACCCTATGTTGCTTCGCTCTCACGCGTCTCGTGCTCCTCAGCTCCTCCCGTTTCCTCCTCCGTCGTCGCTCGCTGTGGCCCCGCCTCCGTTTTCCGACTTCCTCCATGCCGCGCGTCCCCTTCTTCCTCGTGTCCTTGCCTCTCTCGTTACTGACCCGTCTATTCCTGTCTCAAGCCTTAACGCTTTTGTCGCTGCTATCGTTAACTTCGCCGCTACCCGCCGCCTTTACTACACCACCGCTCTGGGCTCTGACCCTGCCTGCCCTCCGTCCATCGGGGGTGTGGCTGCCCATGGCAGTGACGTCCTAAGGGACAGACATACGAGCTTGCTTTCCTGTCAGAGGCCGCTCCCCATCTCTGTTCCATGCTGCTAGCCCCTGTGGGTGACCCAGACGCCCTTGACATCCCGACCCCTCGCACCTACGCTGATGCCACCTCGGGACCCTGTACCTCTTAGTGGATAGCTGCCATGGAGCAGGAGATGGCATCTTGGAGATCCACCAGTACCTTTGTCGACGCAGCTCCCCCTCCTTGGATGAACGTAATCGATGGCCGATGGCTCTTCAAGGTGAAGCGCCCTCCTAGAGCGGCGCCTGTCTTCAAGGCGTGCTATGTTGCTCCTGGCTTCAGTCAGCGTGAGGGGGTTGACTTCTTTCAGACCTCCGTCCGGACCCCGAAGATGACTACTCTTCGGGCACTGCTACACGTAGCAGCACAGCTTGACTACGAGCTGCACTCACTCGACTTCTCCACAACTTTCCTCCAGGGCAGTCTACACGAGCAGGTCTACTTGCGCCGCCCCTAAGGCTTCTCCGGTACCTTTCCGCCTGGTACCGAGTGGCTCCTCCGGCGCCCCGTCTGCGGCCTGCGGCAGGCGCCCCGTGAGTGTCACGACACGCAGTGTGCTACACTTGCTGACCTGCAGTTCTTCCCTTCGTCTGCAGACCCCTCGCTCTTCGTCTGTTCCGTCCAGTCACCGTTCTACATCCTTGTTTACGTAGACGACCTGGTCTTTGCTACTGCAGACAGAGACGCGCTGGCCTCCGTGAAGGCCGAGCTGCTGAGGAGACACACCTGCACTGACCTAGGAGAGCTGCGTCGCTACCTTGGCTTGCAGACCTCCAGGGACAGAGAAGCGCGCACCATCACTCTCACACAGTCACACTTGGTGCGCCAGGTCCTTCAGAGGTTCGGCCTTCATTTCTCTTCCGCACAGCCCACCCCTCTGCCAGTAGACCACAGACTCTCTGCTCCAGTCCAAGAGGAGACTGGAGAGCCTAGTGGTCCTTACGCATAGCTAGTGGGTTGCCTCATGTACCTGATGAATTGCACTCGTCCAGATCTCGTATACCCTCCCAGCATCCTGGCCCGCTTTGTGGCCTCCGGCAGACACAGACCTCAGCATTGGTTTGCAGCTAAGAGGGTTTTGCTTCATCTAGCAAGTACATCGGGCATGGGGCTAGTGCTAGGAGGACGAAGACCATATGTCCTTAGCGGGCACACAGACGCTTCTTGGGCAGACGACGCCGAGACTCTCAGGTCCTCCCAGGGCTACTGGTTTAGCCTTTGTGCAGGTGCTGTCTCGTGGAGGTCCACCCGCTTGTCGTCTGTTGCCCAGTCTAGCTGTGAGGCTGAGATCTACGCCAGTGCCATGGCGGCACAGGAGCTCCGTTGGCTGACTTTCTTGCTCACGGACTTAGGTGAGCGGCCTAGCTCTGCCCCGGTCCTGTACGCTGACAACAGGGCCATGATCCTCCTGTGTCAAGAGCCCAGACTCGAGGGCAGAGCGAAGCACATCCTGCTGCGGTACTTCCTCCTACGCGAGCTAGAGCAGCGTCGCCAAGCCTCCGGTGCCAACACAGCCGATATCTTTTCGAAGGCGCTTGCACCTAAAGATCATCAGCGTCACTGTGTACAGCTTGGTCTCGTTCCTGTAGCACCTCATTTGCTAGGACCTTGACTGTGTATAACTCTTTATATATTATCCTGACTGGCCGTGTGGCTCTCCCAGTGGCTGGACTAGTAGTGCCGCCCCGGTCTTGTTCTTGCCTTGTTTGTACTCTTTTGGCTGGTCTTTAGACCCTTGCCTCGAAGGTTGGACTAGTAGTGCCGCCCTGAACTGTTTGTCTCTCACCAGGCTCTGCCTTGATCAAGTCTAGGGGGTGTGTCAAACATATTTGTGTATGTTTAGTAGACCACGTAGGGTCTTGCCATAGAGAGTACAACCCACTAGCTATGTACCCCTATATACTCTCATTCTATTCAACATTTCTAACTCTGAGACTGTATTGCCTACCAATATTCCATCAGGGTCAAGCATCAGACAGCCAATGAACTTCCTGAGCTCTTTTCTTACCGCAGCATAATTAAACATCCATGCTGCTTGCGCTGCGCCTCCCAACTTGTTTCCTTCGCTCCCACCCGTGGCACGCCTGCTTCTCTCCTTCGCCTCGTCCCCCCATCCATCCTCAAAGTAGTAGGGCTTGCCACGACTCTACCCCCCCCCCCACTCTTTCCTTCCCTCTTCCCTCCTCTATGCACATCCGTCGGCCTTGCATTCATACCACCAAACACATTGGTCTCCCAAGTCCCGCCAACGTGGCCTACTATGACCGCACTCCCTTCGCTATGAACCATGTCTGCGCCCCAATTCCCTTCACTATAATCACATCTGCGCGCACTTGCCCTCGCTGAGCTTGTTCACCGCCCAGAAGAGACGGAAGCTGCCGTCCAGCTCGCCAGCTGGCAGGCCCTTATAGGTCACCTCGACCCGGAAACTGACTGGCTGGGAGGACTGCTCCCACGTGGCCTTGACCAGATCGGCCAATGGGATCGCAGCAAAACCTGGCGGGAGGAATTCAGTAGGGAGGGAGGGCATGTCACATGTGCTTCTTATATCACTTTTTTTCTCCAACATGGGAGTTAAGAGGGAGGGAGAGGAGGCTATGTGATTGGACAACAGATGTCATAGGGTAACCCCATGATTTTGCAGGGTGTTTTTGAGAATTCTCAAAAACACCCTGCACAATTTGACAACAGATGTCATAGGGTAACCCCACGCGGACCTAGCGGGTCGTCCTTGTTCTTATCATGGCCGAACGTAGTCCTATTCATTAGTAGTGCAGTCACTGGTGCTCCAACACTAAAGCAGATACATCCTATAGCAGGTGCAGAATGCCACACATGGGTAGATAGAGCAACAACATACCTAGAGGGTCGTCCTTGTTGGTCTTATCATGGTCGAACACGGCTGCTAGTAGATAGTCCTTCTCATAGTAGTGCAGCGACTGGTGCTCCAACACTATAGCGGGTACGTCCTGTAGCGAAGGAGTGAGGCAGAGGAAATAGCGGCAGGGACAGGGGGAGGGGGCAAAGGAAGGGGGAAGGAGATGAGGGAGGGAGGGACGAAGAGAGGTGGGCTAGAAATATGAAGGGCAAAATAAGAGAAAGTGATAAGTGCCAGTCCCATTCCCCACATCCCCACCCTTCCCCCCCCTCCACCACTCAGATTGCGCCACCACATCAGCTATCTTTCTTAGTAGTTAAAAATAGGTGATTTTTGAGTCGACTCAAACATCAGCTAAAATTCTTAGTAGAGATAAAAATAGCTCTCACGAGAGCTGCTTTTGACATTCACGAGAGCTGCTATTGGCTTGCACTCCCTGAACTCACATCAGCGCCCCACACAGGGTTGAGCGTCTTGTAGCACTTGTTGGTCCGAAAGCCCTACTCCTAGCGCATCAGCACTCCCAGCACTCAGATAGGAACTCACATCAGCGCCCCACACAGGGTTGAGCGTCTTGTAGCACTTCTTGGTCTGGAAGGACTTGAAGAGATTGGGTCCCACAAAGCGGATGTAGCTGCGGGGAGGCGTGTGAAAGAGAGGGCAGAGAGATGATAGGAGATGGGTATGTGACGGTTGGAACCAGCTTTTGAGCCGACTCAAAAGAAGAGAGAGCAGAGAGATGATAGGAGGTGGGTATGTGACGGCTGGAACCAGGACAGATAGGTCAGGTGGATCAGGAAGAAAAGAAAGTGGGGCATGCGGTGGCTGCGTGAGGTATGGAAGAGGAGGCGAGAAGTATTTGTTTGACTCACGGGTCTGACAAGCCGTTGGCGTCTGCTGAGAGGAGATTGTGGCCCTTGAGGTCTGTGAACTGGGGGAGAGGGAGGGGGCAGGGCAGGGTGAGGCAGGACAGTGTGGGGCAGGACAGGGTGGGCAGGGTGGGCATGCGCAATGAGTGGGGGATCAGAGCTGGGTTGGTGAGGGAGGACAAGCCGTCGGGTTTAGGGTTTAGGGCTTAGAGGAGATTGTGGCCCTTGAGGTCTGGGAACCCTTGAGATTGTTGGGGGAGGAGATTGGGTTGATGAGACGGCAGGGTGACGGTGGGAAGGTTTGAGTCGCAGCTGCTGGCGTCGCCTGAGGGGAGATTGTGGCCTCGTTGCTGTCCTTGTCGCTGTGCCCATTGCTCACTGTATGGCCCATTGCTCACGGTAAGGCCCTGCAACATGCCACATGAATGCATCCTGTCACGCTTACCAATCAAGTTCAGAAGCACCAGCATCATGTATGCATGGAATACAAGCACGTATGCTTGTGTACTCATACATGCAATGCAGGTGCCAGCGCATGTCGTCCTTGTCGCTGTGCCCCTTGCTCAGCGGCAGCAGATGTCACGCTTACCAATCAAGCATACAGGTAGGTATCCACACCACCATCCGTGCATGCAAGCAACCATCACTCACATGCAGGTGCCAGCGCATGTCGTCCTTGTCGCTGTGTCCCTTGCTCAGCTGCAGCAGCTGCACCGCCTCCTCACTGGGATCCATGGTCACTGGGAGAGCATACGTGGTCACATCAAACTCAGCCAGTACTGGCTTGTGGTCCCTGCGAAGGGGGAGGTGAGATAGAGGAGGGGAAGTAGAGGCTCTTGCTCAGCTGCAGCAGCTGCACCGCCTCCTCACTGGGGTCCATGGTCACTGGGAGAGCATACGTGGTCACATCGAATTCCGCCAACACAGGCTTGTGGTCGCTGCGAGGAGCCGGGGGAAGGAGGGGCAGAAAGAAGGAGAGGGGGGGGGGGGGAAGTTCAACCCCTTGCTCAGCTGCAGCAGCTGCACCGCGTCCTCTCTGGGGTCCATGGTGGTGACCGCCGGTAGAGCATACGTGGTCACATCAAATTCAGCCAGCACTGGCTTGTGGTCGCTGCGAGGGGAGAGGGGGGCAGCAGAGCACAAGAGGGGGGGGAGTAGAGGCTCATGCTGGTGATAGCTGGTGTACCTCACCCAAGCATACCCAGTGAGAATGGTGATTGCAGCCGGAGTGAGCGACAGAGGTGCACTATGTGTTTAAGACGCGTCTTTCTAATCACCCTGTGAGCCAAGGGGTAGCTGGTGCCTCAACCAAGCATAACCGGTGGTGAGAATGGTCGGTGCAGAGGTATATCTGGTACCGGTGAGATCACAGCCAGGCAAGAAGGTACATTGGTGTTTTGAACATCTCCACTCACCTGGAAAACAACCTACCCGGTGAGAATGTTTGGTGCAGAGGTGTATCTGGTGCAGGTGAGATCACAGCCGGGCAGGGAGCGCCAGAGCACCCGGTCGCACCACGCAGGCAGGCGCTTGGGGTTGTACTGTCGCAGCTCGTCCCTTAGCACCTGGCGGGGGAGGTGAAAAACGGGGTGGTGGTGTATTTAGACACAAGGTTTAGGGTTTGAACTTCTGCGTGTATGTTCTGGCAGCAGGCAGGCGCTTGGGGTTGTACTGCCGCACCTCGTCCCGTAGCACCTGGGGAGGTTACGGAGGGGGGAGGGGGGATATAAATAGACACATGCGTTTATGGACTGGCAGCAGGCAGGTGCTTGGGGTTGTACTGCCGCACCTCGTCCCGTAGCACCTAGCAGGGGGGTGAACAGGGAGGAGGGGAGGGGGGGGCACATTTAGACACATATTTTATGAGCAGGTGTGACGACAGGAAGCACGCCGCCTGTAGGGCTGTACCGGCAGTACAGTACTGCCTTGGCTGGCCCCTTAGCACCTGGTAGGGGCAGAGTAGAGGGATGAAGGGGCAGGAAAGCACACAGCTAGAAGAGACAAGATAGCACAAGAGACAAGATAGCCAACTCACCTTCAAGGTGGGACGAAAATCAAAGGGCGCTACACAATTTTTGAAACCCCGACCCTCTTGGATTTCCCTTTCCAGCTGATTGTGGCGCTGAAGGCCTTCAGCTAGAAGGGAAAAGCGAGCCAACTCACCTTGAACGTGGGCGCAAAGTCAATGGGCGCTTCACAGAACTTGTAGAACGCCCGGCCCTCCCGGATCTCCCGTTGCAGCTGAGAGTGAGAGCAAGGCAGGAAGGAGAGAGAAGTGTGCTCTGAATGGGGGAAGAGAAGCAATGGGTGTTGCTCTGGGGGTGCCTCAAAAGAAGAACTACAAAGAGCCCCGCCCTCCCGGATCTCCCGTTGCAGCTGAGTGGCGGCACGGAAGGACAGAGCACGGAAGAGAAAAGACAGGGCAAGGCAAGGAGAAGAGAAAAGGCAGGTGCGCTTCGAATGTGGGAGCACACTCGGCAAGGCAAGGTGAATTCTTGTAGGCGACCAAAAGAAATAAACTTGTCGAAAGGCCAACCCTCCCAGATCTTCCTTTTCGATGTCTGGGCGATCTGGGAGCAGGGAAGGGATCAGGCAAAGGATCATGAGGGAGGAGAGGAGGGCAAAGATGAAGGAACTAGCTTGGAAGAGAAAAGATTAAATTGAGTAGGGAGCCAAGAGGCTCTTTTGTACAAAACAAGGAGCAAGGAAGAGTTGGAAGGGAAGCTCTCCTTTTGGCCACAATGTGGACCAATGAGAGAGATTGATTGGAAGGCAAGCAACCACAAAGTGTGGTGCTTGGTGATTGGTTGGTTCCTAGGACCAAGGACCATTTGGTTGGAATAGTGCCAACCAAATGTCTAGGGCCAAATCCAATCTTGACCAACCCAAATGTGGGGTTGGTCAACCCAACCAACAACCCCCCAATAATTATAATGACTACACCTCCTAATCTAGGCATGCATGTTGTATAGATATATATTTTACAACAGAAGACTCAATTCTGTTTTGATTCTGATTTGCAAGGCATCAGGGAGGATCAGAGAAGTGAGGACTTTAGGTGCATAAGAGAGCACATGGAGCAAGAACCAACTTACCTCAGGGAGGATCAGAGAAGTGCGGATTCTAGGCGCATCAGAAATATATGGAACGAATTACGATTAGATAGAAAGAACGGCAACGCTCGTAGACAAGGGAAGAGAAAAGAAGGGTGAGAAGGCTTTGAAAAGGTATCCGTAACGGCTAGACGAAAGGTTGGACGAGGAGCGAAGAAGTTGGGAATGGGAGAAACCTCACCTAAGAAACCGTACAATAATAATAGAATATCTACATATAGGTACCTAGTAATCATATATATGTATACATGCAGTGCAGTCTCACCTCATCATTCTTCAGAAGCTCTGTGAAGTCCCCTTGGTCTATCTTCTCGACTATGCTCTGGTGTAGAGCCATGCGGCTGCTTGGGGGGGGACAGGGAACGGGTGATACGTGGGGGACAGGAAGCAACAGGGAGGAAGTGGGGGTGGGGTTGGGTGAGAGGAGGGTAATTCCCCTTGGTCATTCTTCTCGACTATGCTCCGGTGTAGAGCCATGCGGCTGGGTCACACACGCAAACTTGTGCGCACGCACGCGGGCGCGCGCGCGCACACACACACACACTCAAGTCTTTCTGCACTCACACTGCTTTTTCCGCCTCCTTCCTCTCCTTGGCACTCCCCCCCATGGATATCATCTTCCGATCCATCTCATTCAGCTTCCGCCCACTGCAACGCCCACACATTCATGCAAGCTCAACCCACATGCACACCCACATCTCACTCACACTGCCTTCTCTGACTCCTTCCTCTCCTTGCTGCTCCCCCCCATGGACACCATCGTCCGATCCATCTCATTCAGCTTCTTTCCCCACAACACACACACACACACACACACACTCAAGTCTTTCTGCACTCACACAGCTTTTTCCGCCTCCTTCCTCTCCTTGGCACTTCCCCCCATGGAAACCATCTTGCGGTCCATCTCATTCAGCTTCCGCCCACTGCCACTCCGCGACCCGCCCCCGCTCCCCCCACTCCCACTTGAAGACACCGACCGATGCATCACTCGAGCGCCCTTGCTCCCACTCCCATTAGTGCCCCCCTCCTCGTTCAAACTCTCTAGCCTGCTGCTGCTGCCGAGGCCGCTGCCGTTGCTGCTGCTGTCTTCGTCCCCTGAGCTGTCGTCGTCACCGTCCATCGGGCCGCCTTGCCCCGCGTGGGCGGATCCCGGAAAGGCGAGGCGGTAGTTAAGGTCACCCATCCAGAACACGTGGCGGAACTGAGAGAGCAGGTCGATGCTTGAGAGGCCAGGATGCATGTTGCGCACCACCTCTGTGGGTGGGGGCGGTTGGGGGGAGGACAGGGAGTAAAGGAAGGCGGGGCGGTAGTTGAGGTCGCTCATCCAAAACACGTGGCGGAACTGAGAGAGCAGGTCGATGCTGGACAGCCCGGGGGGGGGTGCATGTTGCGCACCACCTCTGTTTGTGGGGGGTTGGGGGGAAGGGGAAGACAGGGAGATCGGGTGAGAGTGAGAGGGGAATGGAGAGGTACAGATGGGAACGAGGGGGATAGGGAGAGGTCCGCGTTCTGTAGTCCGGGATGCCTGTTGCACACCACATCATGCCCTTGGGCAAGAGAGACAGTAACCAACTCACCTCGGTAATTATCATTGCGTGTCTGGCAGTGCCCCTCATGTGCTGCCAGGTGCGAGTTGACGAAGCAGAAGGAGGTGTCCCAGAACTGTTAGTGGACGAGGATGGTGTGAGGGGAAAGGGGTGGAGGGCGATGGGAAGAGGAAAGGAGGGAGGACGAAGAATGAAGGGGGACTTATCTACTGAAAGGCGATAGTTGTCCAAAGCATGAGGATGTGTGGGTTGTCTATGAGCAATGGGTTTTTGAGGCTCTTCCAAAACTGTGACAAATTTTCAGGCGGCTCAAGACGATAGTTGACAAAGGATGAGGATAAGTGGTTGTCTGCGGCAATGGGGGGAAACCCAATGGGCGGCCACGGGGCAAGCGGAAAGGAGACACAGAAAAATTGGGGATATAACAGTGAGGGAGGAGAATATCTAGTTTTGAGGCACGTCAAAACTAACAGAGCGGGAGGGGTATATCTTGGAAGTTGGGAGGGACACGGAGAGACGAGAGTGGAAAGAGAGAAACGGGAGGAGCCCAGGGAGCTGGGGACGGGGAAACCATTTTTGAGGCGCCTCAAAAAGGGAGCTGGGGACGTTGAAACCATCTTTGAGGCGCCTCAAAAAGGGAGCTGGGGAAGGGGAAACCATTTTTGAGGCGCATCAAAAAGGGAGCTGGGGAAGGGGAAACCATTGGGGTGAGGACGAGGAGGGAGGGGGAGAAGGAAAGGGAGAACGGAAGAAAAGAGAAGAGAGCAGGGAGGAGTGTACCTTAAGGGATACGCTGACAGCACCCTTGTTGGCGATGACATGGCCAATGCCAGTGGCCTCGCTAGTTGACGTCACGTCGGTAATTGCTTTCTGCAGCAGAGGCAGTGCAGGGAACGGGAGAAGGGGGTGGGAACGGGATGATTTTTGAGTCGACTCAAAAATCACTCAAGGGGGTGGGAACGGGATGTGTTGAGCCCTTGTTAGCAATGACATGGCCGGTGCCGGTGGCCTCGCTTGTTGACTTCATGTCGGTAATTGCTTTCTGCAGCACAGGCAGGGCAAGGGGAAGGAGGTAGAGGACGAGGGAGGGAGGGGGAGGGAGGGTAGTGGCAAGGTGTTTTTGAGAATTCTCAAAAACACCCTGCAAAATCGGGGAGGGAGGGCAGTGGCAAGGGGAAATGGAAATGAGGAAGGCAGTGGAAATAGGCGAGGAGAGAGAGGGGAGAAGTGAAGAAGGTGGAGGGAGGGGGAAGGGTGGCGAGCTACGCCTGCCTGATTCCACATGCACTGTGCATGGGGCATCAGGTGGCACCACTGACTGATCACACCTGGACGAGTTAGTTCTTTTAGAATTCTCAAAATACTTCCACATGCACTGTGCATGGGGCATCAGGCAGGACCACTGATCACACCTGGAAAATGGCACATACACCTTCCCGTTTACCTGCCTTCTCCATGCACGTTGACTTACCCATTTCGACCAATCTCACCTGAGACCGTTTCACCACCACCACCAGCAGCACCAGCATTGGCACCAGCACCAGCACCAGCAATCGCATTTGACAAACAAACGCGCCCCATACACCTGCCATTTCACAGCTCTACCAATTGCATCTGTCAAATCACCCCGCCACAAGAGCTTTCACCAGCACCGCCAATCGCACCTGGGATGTTTCCAGCACCAGCACCACCAATCGCATTTGGCCACGTGTTGTGCCCTTCACCACCTTGTAGTGCGGCGCGAAGTGCGCTCTGGAGGGGAATGAGGGAGAGAGGACGTGAGGGAGTGTTCAAGCTCCAACACTTGCGTCTGGCCACGTGCCCTTCACCATCTTGTTGTGCGGGGCAAAGTGCACTCTGGAAGGGAATGAGGGAGTGAGAAAATGAGGAGTAAACGAGTGGCAAAAAAAAAAGAAAAAAAGGAGGGTAACAAAAGGAGTGGGGGGGTGTTATTAAGTCAGAAAAGGGCATGTGTTGGGATGAAAAAAATCATGGATGGCTGAAGGTGGAGGGGCTTAGATATGCATGGTAAGAGGTGTCTGAAGAACCCTAAGCTGGCATTTGCTCAAAAGCTGAACAGGCACTTAATAGCAGCAACCCAGTCCTCCATACAAGTGGGGAGTCTATTTTTTAGGCGCCTCAAAAAAAGCTGAACAGGCACTTACTTAATAGCAGCAACCCAGTCCTCCATACAAGTGGCGTAGCCTGAGCGCGGTTGATACTCGCACTCCTGGGGTGGGTGGGAATCACCGAAAACGGGGAGGGATGACGAAACGGGAGAACGGAACGGAGGTTGGGGAGGTCACTGGCATGGGTGATGGCTTCGAAACATGAGTGCTAGAAAGTAGGAAATCGACTCACCTGAGGGCCTATTTTTGAGGCGCCTCAAAAATAGACTCCTCACGCACGGCTGATGGCTTGTAAACATGAGTGCTAGCAAGTAGGAAATCGACTCTCCTGAGAGTCGATGGCAATGAGCATAGGGTGAGCAGGGGAGTATAGGGGAACAGAGCTCCCTTGTTCACGGGCCCAGACCGTGGACCGTGGTTGAATGAGCAATAGCAATGAGCTCATGGTCCGTGCCCGTGGGGAGCCAAGGGGAGCAATCGAGATGGTCAAGTGGGATTCACCTGCAGCCGGTTCAAGTGGGATTCCCTTGACAGCCGGTTCAAGTGGGATTCCCTTGACAGCCGGTTCAAGTGGGATTCACTTGACAGCCGGTTCAAGTGGGATTCACTTGCAGCCGGTTCAAGTGGGATTCACTTGACAGTCGGTTCAAGTGGGATTCAATTGACAGCCGGTTTGTGCAAGTCTGCTTTCTTACAATCAGACCAGAAAGGCGACTCACGTGAGAGCAGATTGCTATAAGCTCGTGATCCATGCCCTTAGGGAGCCATGGGGAGAGGTCGTCTGGCTGCATGGGGCATGTGCTGTGCGGTGCACATAAGATACAGGCTGGGCTGCCTTCTGAGAGGGCGCTATGCTCACCTGGGTCATTTGCCTGGCCCACCTGGGATCCAATGGCTATAAGCTCGTGATCCGTGCCCTTAGGGAGCCATGGGGAGAGGTCGTCTGGCTGCATGGGCCATGTGCACACAGGGATTCCCATGCACATGCATGCAGATACATGCACACATACATGCACTCATGCACATACACATGCACATACACATACACATGCACATACGCATGCACCCATACATGCGCATACACATGCGCATTCACGCATTCACGTGCACATGCACACAATCAAGGGGTAATACAGAGTGACTCGTTGAAAGACGGCACAGAGAGGAACACGCGCCGTCCCACCACTTCCACTAACCGCCCCTCCCCCCTCCATTCCAGCACGGGCTGCTGTGGTGGGGTGCTCATGGTATGCAGACTACCTCACAGGCTACGCCACGTGCCCACCCCACACTAACCCCAACATGTCCCGCCGTCCCCCTTCCTTCTCCCCATCCTACCGGGGGCGCGTTGCCGACGTTCCAGGAGCCAATGAACAGCTTGATTGGCTGCTGAGGTGGCGCTCGCGCTGCCACCACGTGCAGCAGCACCTGGGGGGGGTTACAGGCAGGGAGGAGGGAAGGTGGGGAAAGTTTATGCTGGCTCGGAATCCTCAGACTGGAAGCCTGAATGACTGCTGTGGGCCGCTTGCGCTGCCACCACGTGCAGCAGCACCTGGGGGAAATGGGATGCAGGAGAAGGAGAGGATGGAACTACCTTCTTCCCTCTCCCCCACACCCCCCCAACCTTCTTCCCTCCCCCTCCCCCTCCCCCTCTCGCCTCCCTCCCTCCCTCCCTCCCTCCTCCCTCCCTCCCTCCCTCCCTCCCTCCCTCCTCCCTCCCTCCCTCCCTCCCTCCCTCCCTCCCTCCCTCCCTCCCTCCCTCCCTCCCTCCCTCCCTCCCTCCCTCCCTCCCTCCCTCCCTCCCTCCCTCCCTCCCTCCCTCCCTCCCTCCTCCCTCCCTCCCTCCCTCCCTCCCTCCCTCCCTCCCTCCCTCCCTCCCTCCTCCCTCCCTCCCTCCCTCCCTCCCTCCCTCCCTCCCTCCCTCCCTCCCTCCCTCCCTCCCTCCCTCCCTCCCTCCCTCCCTCCCTCCCTCCCTCCCTCCCTCCCTCCCTCCCCTCCCTCCCTCCCTCCCTCCCTCCCTCCCTCCCTCCCTCCCTCCCTCCCTCCCTCCCTCCCTCCTCCCTCCCTCCCCTCCCTCCCTCCCTCCCTCCCTCCTCCCTCCCTCCCTCCCTCCCTCCCTCCCTCCCTCCCCCCTCCCTCCCTCCCTCCCTCCCTCCCTCCCTCCCTCCCTCCCTCCCTCCCTCCCTCCCTCCCTCCCTCCCTCCCTCCCTCCCTCCCCTCCCTCCCTCCCTCCCTCCCCTCCCTCCCTCCCTCCCTCCCTCCCTCCCTCCCTCCCTCCCTCCCTCCCTCCCTCCCTCCCTCCCTCCCTCCCTCCCTCCCTCCCTCCACCTCTCACCTTCCCCACACTTGACTTCTTCCCCTCCTTGGCCACTATATCGTACCACTCAGGCTCCAGAGTGCGGTCTGTGGCAGCACAGGAGGAAAAAAACAGTAGAAGACGTTAGCAAAGAGAGGCTACACGTCCACCCCAGCACCTTGCGCATGCCCACATGCACTCCTTCACACCGACTCCCCCCGTACTCTCCTCTGCCTCTCCCCTTCCCTTACCAGGGTCGGTCTCCAGCAGGTCCGCCACGCGCAGCGGCTTGATGGACCCCAGCACCTTGCGCATGCCCATGGACGTCTTCCCCGCCACCGCCACCCGCACCTCCGCCGACTGGGGGGAGAGGGAGAAGGAAAGGGGGGAGGAGGTGGGGGGGGGGGGGGGGCATCAGCGGGATGGGAGGAGGGGAAGAGATGGGGTAGGAGGGGGGGACGAGTCACGCCAGGGAGAAGCGCAGATAATGCGAGGGGGGGAATGGGGGACGGGGATGAGAAGGCGAGAAGGGAAAGAAGCGCCCATGGTGGACGTCGACCCCGCCACCACCACCCGCACCTCCGCCGACCTGGGAATAACAGGGGGAAAGACAGGGGGGAAGAGGCGGGGAAGCGGGAAATGGGGGGCGTAGAAGGGGAGACCAGACGTCCTCCCCCCACAGCCAGACCTCGCCGACAGGAGGGGGAGAGGGGGGGTTGGGGTGGGGGGTGGGGGGTGGGGGTGGGGGAGACGCGCAAGGGGAACAAACGGACGCGACGACAGGACGAACGGCGAGGAGAGAGCGAGCGAGAGCACGAAAGAGAGAGGGTGGGGGGAGTGGGGGGGAGATGGGGGAAACGGGGGATCGAGGAAGGAGTGGTGGGGGTGGGAGGACGGGAGGGGAGGAAGAAGAGGAGGGCTCGCGGGAGAGCACTGCAGGGGGGGGAGAAAGGAGCAGGGGAGTGCTCTTGAGTCGACTCAAAAGAGCAGGGCTCGCGGGAGCACTGCAGGAGGAGGAGAAAGGAGCAGGCAAGGCTGGAGGGGAAACGGACGAGCAAACGAGAAATCAGACGGGAGACGGGGAATCAGACGGGGGATCAGACGGGGGATCAGGCGGGAGATCAGACGGGGAATTAGACGGGGAATTAGACGGGAAATCAAACGGAAAATCAGACGGGAGATAAACATTGGGCGTTACCTTTTCATCCTTGACGTCGAACGAGTGGCCTTGGTCGAACGTGATCAGACCATCCTCCGCCTTCTCCTTCACCTGCATGCACCCCCAGCCAACACCATGGGTTACCATGGGTTACAATGGGTTACCATGGGTTACAATGGGTTACCATGGGTTACAATGGGTTACCTTTTCCGTGCTGTTAAAACGCCACCGGAACCCCCCGACAAACGCAACCCGATGCGGACACAACAAATGTGCAACGCTAGATGCAACACGTGGGGTGCGCGGAGCGTTACGCCTGAGGTTGGAAGTAGCTGTCCTCCACTAGGACTTGGACTACTGGTATACTCAGGGTCTGCTTTTGAGTCGACTCAAAATACATATACATATATATTTATATTTATCAATAGAAAAAAAAGAGCGTGGGGAGCATTTGGAGCGTTACATCTGAGGTTCGGAAGTAGCTGTCCTCCACGAGAACTTGAACCACGGGGTTGCTCAGCGACCCGACGTCCCTTATAGCCACCACCTTTACAGTCACTCGGCACGCCCGAAGGCCTCCCTGCGACACGAGGAAGCAGCGAATGGAAGAAGCGATGGGACGCGATGACGCGGGGAGAACGCAGCATCACGTGACACGGCTGAGCGTAATGCAGCGCTACGAGCGGGGGGGAAAAATATAACGTGACACTGCTCTGCGTAGTGCAAGAAACGTTTTTTAAGTGCCGCCTCAAATATCGTAACATCGCCGCTGAGCGTAATGCAGGGGCGCAAGTAGTACTACTTGACCTAGTAACAGTCGCATTGCAATGAAATGTGTCGAAGTTAGGAAAACACGGCATCGCCTTTCTAACAGTCGCATTGCATGAACAGTGTCTCAAGTCCTATGAAACGATGCGAGACTAAATTGGCGAAAAGCAGTGACTAACTGAAGCAGGTGCTATAAGTACCCTAGAAGACATCGTCGTAGATGCAGGTTGACTGTGACTTTGCGTCGGCCCGAAAGCGTAGCTGCGATTGTGAGGAGACTTGGATCAAATGCGAACAGTAGCCTCCTTAGTCGACTCGCTAAGAGCCGGAAAAAAAAAAAAAAAAAAAAAAAAAAAAATCGGTCCTAAGATAAGTACGCGATCCGCAGCTGTACTAATCCCAGCTACTTTTCAATGCGACGTAAACAGCTACTAGAGGCCAAGGAAAAGGTCTCAGCAGCTATAAATACGGCTTCAGCAGCTAAATATATATTCTGTTGTGTGAGAGAGAGGAGCTAAGCTGCACTGACATAGGCATGTTCTGGGCTGGGCATGCTTTGAGCGCTTGGTGGTGGGAGGGTGCACGGCATCCTATCTTTGAGCGTAGTGCCTGGTTTTGCTGATTGATGGGTGGCCCACTGGGGCACTGGGCCTAGCTGCTCTTGTCCCTCGCTCTACTACCTTTCGCTCTCTATCGCGTATTTTTGTTCGCAAGATGTGGTCGTTCTAGACGGTGCAGTGAGCTGCCTTAAGTTTTACAACGATGCAGTGCTTTACCATGCGGCTTTTTTTAGCTCCAATACACAATAGATGGAGTAACGGTGGTAACCAACCACCACCTGGTTTGAAAGGACGGACGGATGAATGGGAGGAGGCATGCGCACTCCACTGTAGCGATCTCACCTCTTATCGGGTCCCTTCTCTTGTGTTGGAGGATTTGGTGCAGCTCCTCCCAACCCGTGACTTTTGCCCTCCCGACTTGGCTCGAAGATTCTGCGACATCGAAGTGTGTGTTGGAGGAGCTACACCAATCCTGCGCTATTTCCTCAATCCGTTGAGGCTTGTCGTGTCATGAACTGTAGCTTGTCGATTGCCCAACAAGGCCTTGTCGTATGCGTAACTGTAGCTCGTCGTTTGCGCAAGTGTAGCACGGCTAGAGAAGTTGCTGGGTGCGAATATGGAGCGAGTAAAGTGTACCAGGGAAATCAAACCTCGTAGCTAAATTTCATGGGGAGACGGCTAATGGGACCAAGATGACATGACGTGGCGCCAGCTTGGTGAACTGGTTTGGCCAGACTGATGTACACCTGACGTCCTGTCAATGCTTATTCAACAAATGCTACTTGTCTACTTACAGTTCTATTGGCCCGAACGCACGGGCAAAGGCCCAAACGACACAGGCCCGAATGTCTGCAGCAGTTACCACATCTTATATGGAGACCCCCAAATGTGCAGAAGGGACGTTCTACCGCAAAACAAACAACAACGGTCACCCGCTTTAGACTGGAAATGCCAACGAGGTAACTAGACTACCCTATTTTGGCCCAAATCACCCGAGAAAAAAAATCTTGATTCTGAAACACTCGCTTGAAAAACAATTAGGCCTGAAAAGGAATTCATGTGTATGGCCGAACCAGAAGCCAAACCCAGAGCACACAAGTTGCTTGGGTTTTTAGGTTAGCGGTAACCCTTACTGGAGTTTTACTCTTTTGAGTAACATTTAGCCCTTTCACGGAAGGGTTTCTCATTGTTCCAACCCTCCCGGGCCAGTTTTTTGTTCTTTGAGGTTAGTTCGCACCACAGAAGACCACGCGTCACAATCTCCTTGCTCCGTCACTTTGGGGCTACTGAACTCTGTTTTCCTGCGATATTGTGGGATCTGTAGTGCTACTGAAAATGGCTGACAACATTCGGGCAGGCTAGCTGGCAAGAAAAAAACTAAAACCCATAGGGGCGAGTATGCCATTCTGGTGGGCATCAACCCTAAATTCGTGGCCCTTTTGCGAGTTTAGGGTTGATGCCATCCAGAATGCCATGCCAGGCCCATAAGGGTTTTATTGTTTCTGCCCTCTGCCCAAGATGAAGGAGATTGTTACACGTGGTTCGCTGTGGAGAGAACTAACCTCGAAGAACAAAAAACTGTCCCTGGGGGGTTTGATCGGCGAGAAACCCTTCCGTAATAGGGGCTAAACGTGATCCCAAAGAGTAAAACGCTAGTAAGGGTTACCGGTAATCTAAAAACCCCAAGTTGCTTGCTTAGGTGCGCGAAAGTCAGCGTTTTTGTCTTGTAGGGAAATAGTTTCTCAAACGCGGACCGCGATACGCACCGCAGCAAAACACTGACCCATTGCTGTAGAGACTGCAGTTTCATTGCCATAACATTTGCGCCAATAGCTGCTCCACGCAGTATGCATAAGTTTGTGTATTGCACACGTCAATTTCCAGGTTGTTGTGTCACATAAACATTAGTTCTTTTGTATTTAGGCATATGTTAAAAAAATCATATATGCTTGCTTCACATTCTTCCACAATCAGCTTCACACATCCAGGGTTCCGGTACTCACCCCCTCACTCCATATATGCAGCACTCTTGTCCATTCTGCTTGTGCCAAATGGTGATGGGTATTATTGGATTCCCATCCTTTGACGGCCTTGCAAGTTAGACAATGGCTTCCAATCTATCCTACCAATTGATAAGGTATAAGTGTAGAGTGGTTGTGATTGTGCACAATCAAATCAATCACAATCATACGCACAATCATCCAATCTCAGCCATTTCACAAAGCTGCTAACCCGAACATGCTGTCAACTTATATATATGCATTGTATGTTGAAGTTATAGGCTAGACGGGGTTGCGTTCTTAAAGGTACAACCCAACCCTATATCCCACCAGTACTGCATTATTTCTAGTTCAATTCGTTACTCGAAGATGGTATCAGTTTATGTAGGTCCTCCCACCCGCGCTTCCGCTCTAGCCTACCATAGCGCACGCCACCCTAGTCTGCCGCGCCGCCCTAGTCTCGTCGTGCTGCCCTAGCCGACTGCACTGGCCCCGTCCCGCCGCGCTGTCCTAGCCCACAGCATGAGCCCCGTCGTGCAGCACTGCCCTAGCCCGCCGCGCTGGCCACGTTTCGTCGCGCTGCCCTCGATCGCCGTGCCGGCCTGATCTCGCCATGCCGCCGTAACCCGCTGTGCCTGCCCCGTTATGGCGCGCTGCCCTAGTCCGCCGCACTAGCCCTGTTCGCCGCGCTGCCCTAGTCCGCCGCGCTGGCCCCGTTCCGCCGCATTGGCCCCGTCTCGCTGTGCAGGCCCTGTCTCGCCGCACTATCCTAGCTCGTCGCGCCGGCCCCTGCTAGATACTGGCCCCCAGCTCGCCGCCGGCCCCAACTCGCCGCGCTGCCCCAGCTCGACGCTGGCCCCAGCTTGCAGCCGGTCCCAGCTCACCGGGCCGCCCCAGCTCGACACCAGCCCCAGCTTGCCGCCGGCCCAGCCCGCCGTGCCGCCTCAGCTCGCCATGCCACCTAAGCTCGCCGCCGCCCCAGCTAACAGCGGTCCCCGCTCGCCACCGGCCCTTGCTCGCCGCCGGCCCCCCCTCGCCGCCGGCCCCAGCTCGCCGCGCGGCCCTCAGCTTGCCGCCTGCCCCAGCTCCCCGTGCCGCCCAGCTCACCGCTGGCCCCAGCCCTCCGTGCCGCCTCAGCTCACCTTGCCGGCCCTTCTACGCTGCCGGCCCTGGTTCCACTCTAAGCCAGCGCCTCGGCCGGCTGTCTCCGGTATCGGGGTTTTACTGCGCCCCATCGTATATTACCGCACTCCACCGCTCTCCATCGCTCTCCACTTCTCTCCACTGCTCTCCACCGCTCTCCACCACTCTCCGCTGCGCTCCACCGCACTTCACCGTTCTTCACTGCAATCGCCTGCCCTCTGCTCCTCCTCCTCTTGTGGCCCTCAGCTGATGCAGCTGTGGTGATGGCGGACGCTGTGCTTTGCCTAGACGCGGAGGGTCGAACGGTTCACTTTGAGGCGTGACTCGCCGACCTCCACTGCCAGCTGAAGGGTCAGCGCCAGGACGGCCAGTCCCTTGCCATCCATGTCGACGGTAAGCTTCCCTGCCCCGACCCGTCTGCTGCCCTCCCTGATGCCCCCACGTCTGCTGAGCGTGAGGCTTTCACGACTGCTGAGCTTGCCCGCTCTGTCTGGGAGTCGTGTGACGCTGTTGCACAGCTTGCTATCATTCACACCATCCCCCTATCCAAGCGTCCCCGCTTTCAGGCCGTAGAGACTCTGAATGAGTTTCTAGATGCAGTCATTACTCGCTATTCCACTCCCTCCTCTGCCTTTGCGGGCCATCTCCTCCTGCCCTTGCTCTTCCATGATCTTTTGTCCTTCCTCATTGTCGCTGATCTTGCCACTCACCTACGCTACTTACTGTACTTACTGTAGTCCCTATCGCCGAGACCGCCACCGCGGCCTCAGCGCAGCCTCGCGAAGTTAAGGGTCATCGCTCCAGAGGGGGTCGCATGGGAGGGAGGGGTGGCAGGGGAGGGAGGGGTGGCGGGGGTGGCGGGGGTGGTGGAGGCAGTGGCGGTGGTGCTGGCGCAGGAGGTGCTGATGAGGGGGTGGGCGCGGAGCAGCAGCAGCACTCGCTGCCCGTTTCCGCCCTTCACTTCTCCTCCTCCTCCTCTCTACGGTCTTGTGTTTCCTCTGCCGGACTCATCCCCGGCTCGTATCCCTCCTCGTTCTCCTCTGGTGTCTCCTCTGTTGTCCCCTGACCCTACACCCCCCTCTTGCTGGTAGTCTCACCTCCCTTCTTGTGCTCGTCCCGTCTCTCCCGCTCCGAGTGTTCACCCTATGTGTCACCGTTCTCACGTGTCTCGTGCTTCTCCCCCTCCTCTTCTCCCGTCGCCTCCTCAGTCGTCCCTCACTGTCTCCGTGCCTCCTTTCTCTGACTTCTTCTGTGTTGTTTGCCCTCTTGTTGCTCGTGTCCCCGCCTCTCTTGTTACTGACCCATCGATTCCTGTCTCCAGTCCGGACACTCTTGTCGCTGCCGTCGCTGACTTTGCCTCTATCTACCGCCTTGACTGCGCCGCGGCTCTGGTCGTTGACCCTGCCCGTCCTCCGTCCGTCGGGGGTGCACCTGCCCTTGGCAGTGACGTCCTAGAGGACAGGCAGTACGAGCTAGCTTTCCTGTCCGAGGCCGCTCCTCATCTCTGCTCCATGCTGCTAGCCCTTGAGGGTGACCCAGACGCCCTTAATATCCCGACCCCTCGCACCTACGCTAAGGCGACTTCGGGACCCCGGGAGTAAGAGTACGACCCCTTTACACTTCTCTTTTATTTCCATTTTTCTCCTCTATCTCATTCTCATTTTTATCCTACATCATTTGGTCTTTATCTCATCTCATTTGGATTCATATTCCTCATTTTCCATTATCCTTTGGGTTATCCTATTATTATTATTATATCACCGACCAAGCTCGGGATGTACTGGCGCGCTATATCAAGCATAATCCTGCCGAAATACCTTAAAGCCAATAGCATCGCGTGGCTATATAAAGGGTGATTATATTTCTAGAAGGGTATATTTTCTTTGTATAGGATAAACCTGGTTACCTGATGTACCTTGGAAGTATAAAAGCGCCTTGTATCAATCGATAGTGCAACTTTTCCTCGACAAATTCGATCTTGTGACAATTGGTAAACAAAGCTTTTCTGACTCGGCCGCGCTCAGGTAAGCAGCAACAGCGGGGAAACCTGCCTCGAAAAACCAGCGGGGGCGAATAATTCGGCGCCGATTCTGGTAAGCACCAGCTCCGCATTTTTTTGAATTAACCCCTCCGCGCGTGTTTTGAACAGGATGGCGATCTTCGACAACGCCGAGTTTATCCAGCAGCTCTTCGCGCGCATCACCGCCCTACAGGAGGAGATGCGAGCCGACCGCGAAGCTTGGCGAAACGAGTTCGAGCGAGTAACTCGATTCGTCGGCACGCAGCACAAAACGACAACGGCGACGACGCAAAAGTCGTTGCAATTTCTCGAGGCTCCGAATGCGCGCCCACCTACGCCGTTTGATCTGAACGATCGAAATCCCAACGTCCGCAGATGGATTGCCACCATGGAGATCTACTTCGCAGTCGTCGGATGGAGCTCGCCGGTCTGGGACGGTCAACGCGTGCGACTCGCGGCAACGCTGATGCGAGGGTCGGCACTCGGGTGGATCGGCGGCAAGATTACCTTCATCTATGACGAAGCCACGTGGCAGCAGTTCCGCATCGACCTGCTAAAATGTTTCGAGCCGATTAATTCCGGTTTCCTTGCCTGGGGAAAAAATCATCGCCATCGACAGTTCGAGAGTGTAGCGCAGTACACGAAGCAGATGGAAGAATTTTATAACCGCATTCCCAACCTGAACGAAGGGGAAAAAGTACAGTCGTATCTCGCCGGGCTGAGACCGAAGTCAAATGACAACTAGCAGCGTTAAATTACGCGAGCTACAGTGATGTCGCTTCGGCAGCGGAGCAGTTTGATATGGTCAACGCCGGAACACGACGGGCGCACGTCGAAAGTACGCAATAGGGCGACCGCTCGGCTCACCCCACGTACGCCGACCCGATGGAAATCGACAGGTTCGACAGGCAGCCACGTCCGAAAAACACTAACTCCACGTGTGATTTTTGCAGGGTGCCGGATCATCGAATATTCGACTGTAATAAAATGAAAGACGCACATGTAGAGTATCGGGCTTGCAACAGTGGCGGAAAGTCTTCGGCTAATCAGAATACAAAAAACGGGAATCGCCAGCGATTGCGGATCTAGCTGGTGAAAATGAAAACATCCGAAAGCGGCCGCGGGATTCCAGAAAAATCAACTGCAACGAAGCTAATTCGATGCGAGCAGGAGGAAATGATGGGGGAAAAACTCCACCCCATGACCAATCTTCTTCAGGGAAAATTCCCGAAAAAAAATCTGACTCTGCCGAGACAGGGAAACTCCTAGAAGACCCAAGAAATTATAAGGATTCGTTAAAGTTATCTTACAAAGATGATTCTCGAGGGGCTAGAGCCTTGGAGAAATTTCGAGAGGGACTCCAGAAGAAGCAGAAAATTGTGGAGATTGTACCGGTACCGGAAAACTTGGGGAAAAAAATAAGGAGTGACAAGAAGCCGAGTCGACGTCCTCTCCTGACACCAGCCCACAACGAATACACGTTCCCTAGGGAAGACGTCGGTGGAGCTGAAGCAGCTCAAGAGGAATCTGGGGGTCTACAAGAAGCTGCAAAGGCCCCAAACCCCTCCTTCGGATTTATCCAACTCAGCAAATTCGACATCAACGACAGACAATCGTCAAAGCAACTCCGAGCCTTGGAGAAGAGGCTTTCTCTAAGCAGCCGCAGCCAGCTGCTAGATCACGAGTAGATAGCAATGAAAATGTGTGTACGGAATATTGGGATGTACCCTACGATCCTATTAATGAAACTATCTTTGGGTACTCCGTGCAACGCCTGCCCCTCGTGCTTGAGGTCATCTGCAAAGAACGACGCCTTCAAGCACTCTTGGACAGTGGAGCATCACACACCGTATGCGACAAGGCAGCAATGGACCGCCCTGTAAGTGGGAACCAAAACATCAGGAAGTCATGGAGCAGTTGAAAGAAGCACTCACGTCCGCACCCGTACTCATCTTGCTAGACCCCAAACGCAACTACGTCATCGATTGTGACGCTAGTGGCCCGGCAGAGGGAGTAGTCTTGATGCAAGACCAGGGGAATGGACTGCAACCAATCTCCTTCCTCAGCAAGAAATTGCAAAGGGCAGAACTAAATTACCCGATACACGACAAAGAAGCCCTTGCTATTATCATCGCATTCAAAACATGGAAATGTTATCTCTAAGGATGAAAAACAGTCGTGTACACCGACCACTGCAGCCTGAAATATTTGAAGGCATAGTCAAACCTCTCCAGACGGCAGGTCCGGTGGATTGATTTCTTCGAGACGCCCTTCCACTACAACATCGTGTACAAGCCCGGCCACAAAAACAAAGCAGACGCTCTTAGCCGGCCTGCACACATTGCCGCTATCTAAGTCGAAGGGTTGAACACACTACTCATACACGGGTACGCCATTGATTCCAAAATTCCCTTGGTAGAAAAACGACACCTGCTACAGTGAGACAGTGACATCGCGTACCGGAAAGGATCAACAAAAATCTGGGTACCCAATGGGACACTTCATCCCGACACACTTGACAATACGCACCGAGGAGGCAGCACAACTGTTCGTTCTCTACATCATCTCACAGCATGGCATTCCAACCACACTCCTCTCCGACCGAGATCCTAAGTTCACCAGCAAGTTCTGGAAGGAACTGATGTCTCTACTCGGGACCAAACTAGCCATGTCATCCGCCTACCATCCACAGACAGATGGAAAGACCAAGCGCCTCAACCAAATTGTAGAGCAACTCCTCAACGCAGCATGCAAGGACAAAATCACTAAATGGGACTTGCATCTACCCACCCTGGAGTTTGCCTACAACAACGACACACATGCCGCTACTGGACAGACGTCGTTCTTCCTCTGTTACAGATGCAACCTGCTCACGCCAAAGAAACCAACAATATCAGCCATAGTCCAACCCGCACACGACTTCATCACGACCATGCATCAGCTTTGGGATCGGACCCACAAGCGCCTCCTCGACATTTAGCGGCAACAGAAGCACGTGCCAATCGACACCGCATTGATCGCACCATCACCGTGGGAGACCGGGTTCTACTCGACACCCGCAATCTCGACATCAGTCATCTCCCATTCAAACTTCGACCTCGCTTTTGCGGGCCCTTCCTCGTTGAAGCACATGTCACTCCTGTTACCTTCCACTTATGCCTGCCAGCCACATGAAAGATTCACAACGCCTTCCATGTCCAGCTTATGAAGCCCTACAGCGATCCCAGCACGGTCTTCACCGGACGCCAACCGCAGACCGTCCTCGTCCATGATGAACCCGAATACGAGGTCGAGTCCGTGCTTGCACACCGCTTGGGAATGGCACCTTGGAGCTTCTCATCCATTGGAAGGGTTATGATCCTTCTAAGGATAGCTGGGTCTCTGAATCTGATATGGGTAACGCTCGTCATCCTCTTCGCAACTACCTTGTCAAGCAGGGTGTTACTGTACTTGTACCACCCCCAACTTTGAAGGGGGGAAGTGTGAGAGTACGACCCTTTTACATTTTTTTCTCATTTCCATATTTCTCCCCTATCTTATTCTCATTATTATCCTACATCATTTGGTCTTTATCTCATCTTATTCGGATTCCCATTCCTCCTTTTCCATTATCCTTTGGGTTCTCCTAATATTATAATTCAATCACCGATCAGGCTCCTGATGTACTGGCGCACTATATCTAGGGTAATCCTGCCGTAATCCCTGAAAGCCAATAGCCTCGCTTGGCTATACGCAGGTGATTCTATTTCTAGAAGGGTCTATTCCCTTTGGATAGGATAATCCTGGTTACCTGATGTACCTTGGAAGTATAAAAGTGTCTTGTACTGTATCAATCGATAGTGCAACTTTTCCTCGACAAATTCTATCATGTGACACTGGGCCTCTCAGTGGACAGTTGTCATGTGCGCACAGATGGCATCTTAGAGATCCACCAGCACTGTGGCTCTTGTCCCAGTTGCAGGACTAGTCTGTTGGTTACTTATGGTTTGTTTGTACTCTTGCTGACTGGTCTTCGGACCCTTGCCTCGGCAGTTGGACTAGTAGTGTCGCCTTGAGCTGCGTGTCTCTTGCTAGGCACTGCCCCTTGTCTAGCCTAGGGGGTGTGTCAACTTATACATGTGCATTACTTGTAGAAGTTTTAGGCTAGACAAGGTTACGTTCTTAGAGGGTACAACCCAACCCTATATCCCACCTGTACTGCATTGTTTCGAGTTTAATTCGCTACTCTAAGACAGGCAACACCAGAAAGAACCAACCAACCAGTAGTCATGTTCGGATCACTCCTCGGGCCCATCTTGGGCCTTGGCCAGCCGGATCATGTCATCGATCCTGAGAATGGTGATGGCGGCTTCTGTGGCAAACTGTGGCCACAGTGGCAAGGGCAAGGCAAATCGGGAAAGTGGAGGACAAGGCGAACGGGGAAAGAGGGATAGCGCACAAGGACTCAGTAAAGAAGCACTGCAGGCCAACAGCATTCCAGCAGGAGCGGCATGGTATGATAGAGGGCATGCAGTGCAACCGACTCCCAAGGAGCACTAATTTCTACCTGCAGGATCTTTGTACTGCTCACAATAGGGTCCACAAAGCGCACTGCATGTTGCCTCCATACTAGCTGGTGCGTATGTCAAGAGAGACAAGGTGTAGTCCGCAGCTTTACCTGCAGGATCTTGGTTTTGCTCACAGCCGGCTCCAGCACTCCCCATGCACTACAGATTGACTCGGTATTAGCAGAAGCCATAGTGAATAAAGTGTAAAATAGGCCGAGTAGTTACCTGCAGGATCTTGGTTTTGCTCATAGCCGGCTCCAGCACTCCCGCCTCCACATTGTTCCTCAGCACCCCGTTGATCAGATCCAAGCCGTACCTGCCAGCAGCAGGGCACGGGAAGAAGAAAAACCAATACGAATGAACAGGACAGGGGAGAAAGACTAGCATTGAGAAAGGGAAGGGGGTGAGGCTCCAGCACCCCTGCCTCCACGTTGCTCCTCAGCACCCCGTTGATCAGATCCAGCCCGTACCTGCCAGCAGCAGAAGCGACGGCGAGATGGAGGAGAAGGGGAGGAGGGAAGGAGGGGGGTTGGGGAGGTGCTATTTGCCACATGTCTACAACATGTGATGGTACGCGGTCACAAGACACGACGCTGCAATGGCCTCACAATTCAAGCTGCTGCAATGGCCTCACAATTCAAGCTGGTGCAGTGGCCTCACCCCAGACTCACTTCGCCGGATGCTGCTCGTCGCTGTGTGTCTGCGACATGTGGTGACACGCCAGCAAATCACATGCTATGGCGCTATACCCTCACCACATCTGTCTAAACTCACTCTGCCAAGTGCTGCTTGTCGCTCTTGGTCTGCGACATGTGGTGGTACGCCCTCAGCTTGGCCACTAGGTCCGTGGCGTCCTTGGCAGCATTCACTGCCAGCACCTGCAACGGCACACGGAGCCAAGGGTAGAGAGGCACGAGGGGAGAAACAGCACAAGGGGGAAGCACGCAGCATGCGATGACGAGCAGGTTCTGCAAGATGCACGCCTCTGCAAACTCAGCAGGTTCTCAAGATGCACTGAGACAGCAGCCGCCATGGCATGGCGCCATCCCCCGCCACGCTACCCACACCACACAGCACTGTTTATCTCACCTTGGGAATGACGAGCAGCGCCTCTGCAAATTCGGCAATAGCCAGCTGCTCCCGGGATCCGAGCGTAGTGGCGAGGTTCTCCAGATGCACAGACAGCGCTGCCTCCACGGCGCCACCCCCCGCCACGACAGTGTTGGACTCCAGGGTTCGCTTGACGATGCAGATGGCATCGTGCAGGGAGCGGTCCATCTCGTCCAGCATGTAGTCGTTGGCTCCACGGAGCAACAAGGTCGCCTGTGGTGTGGAGTGTAGGGGAGCAAACGAGAGGGTGGAGTTGGGCTCCAGGGTTCGATTCACAATGCGGATGGCATCATGCAGGGAGCAGTCCGTCTCATCCAGCATGCACTCGTTGGCCCCACGGAGGAGTCGGATTGCCTGTGAAGGGGCGGAGGAGAGGGGAGCGTTGGTTGGCACACAAGGAAGATGGGCAGTCCTGACAATGCGGATGGCATCGTGCAGGGAGCGGTCCATCTCGTGCAGCATGCAGTCATTGGCACCGCAGAGGAGGAGAGTGGCCTGTGGTATGGGACACAAGGAGGGTGGGAGGCAGTCTCGACAATGCAGATGGCATCGTGCAGTGATCGGTCCATCTTACATCGTACACCTCCTCTGCTTGGTCCTACATCCCTTTGCTTGCCCAACCTTTGTCCTCCCTAGCTCTCCACTCACCGCTTTGGCTGACTTGAACCCCTTGAAGATGAGGATGTTGTCGTCAGACACTCTCTCCTCGTACACCTCCTCTGCTTGGCCCAGCATGGACGCGTCAAACGTCTCTCCCCCCTCCATGTCTGCGAATGTAAGCATCTGAGGGGGGTTTGGCGAAGGGTGGGGGGGGTGGGGGTTGGGGGATGGGGAATGGGTGTATGCATACCCTCGCCTTGCAGGGAGGGAGGAAGGAGGGAGGGAGGAGAGCGGGGAGAGGGGTGCATGCATACCCTATCCAGAATAGGGCCTCCCACACCTCCTTGGCTTGGGCCAACATAAAAACGTATCATGTCTCAGCCCCCTCATGTCTGCGGATGTTGGCACATGGGGGAAGAAGGAAAGGGGAAGGGGGAGAGGGAGCGGTGGGGACAGGAGGAGGCGGGTGAGTGAATGGCAGGCATGTAGCTCAATTTTTTAGGCGCCTCAAAAATAGACTCCTCGAGCATGCAGCTCAGTCACACTTGCTTCCCTCCTCCACCTACGCGAGCTGACCTTTGAGTCGGCTCAAAAGGGAGGGGGAGGGGCGGGGGGACGGGAGGGGGCGGGTGAGTGAATGGCAAGCATGCAGCTCAATCACACTTGCTTCCCTCCTCCACCTACACTTGCCGTAATCTAGGTGTGTCTTGAGTCGACTCAAAACTTCCCTCCTCCACCTACACGTGCCGTAGTCTCTCTCCAAACACCCTCTGAGAACCTTATTAAGAGCGATCATCCCCCCTTCTAAAACCCACAGAGGGGTCCGCAAGCTTCCGGCTGGGGTTTTGGGTTCTGGCGCAACCTCTCAGGGGCATTGAAGGTACACATCCCACAAACGCTTGCAGGGTGTAGCTATATCTCATCTGAGGACCCCCATAACACCATCACCACACTCCCTCCCTCCTCTCACCATGGTAGCCCTAGACGCCTTTCCAATGTGCCTCAGGTCGTCCTTCGCTGCTCACCTACTATCTCCGTCTTCACAGAAAACCGTTTCGTACTCCCATACCCACCTCATAAGGCCCCCTCATCTCACCATGGTAGCCCCAGACGCCTTGGCAATGTGCCTCAGATCGTCGTTCCTCACCCATCAATCTCCCCCTCACAGCAGCCTGCCTAACACCCGCCATCACCGCACACCCTCATCTCACCATGGTAGCGCCCGACGCCTTGGCAATGTGCCTCAGATCGTCCTTCTTCACTCTCCTCACTGCAATCGCCCCTGCCTCCACGAAATACTGTTCAAAGGGGGGGAAAGGGGGCCGGGGGGGCGGGGAGGGGGCGAGGAGGGGGTGGGAGAGAAGGGAGGAGGAGAGACAAAAGGGTGAGGCGACAAGGGAATAGAGAAGAGAACAATTGCCTGAAGTCATCCCTGTCCATTCGCCGCACTGCACCATGTCGTTGATGCCCTTGGTGGTGAGAATCACACTGGCACACCCTCTAAGGATCACATTAGCAGATCAGCATATTACGCCAACAGCTCAAGCCAAGCCTCTCAAACCTATTACCCTAACATCTCAAGCCAAGCCTCTCAAATCCATTACCCCAACAGCTCAAGCCAAGCCTCTCAAACCTATTACCCTACCAGCTCAAGCCAAGCCTCTCAAACCTATTACCCTACCAGCTCAAGCCAAGCCTCTCAAACCTATTACCCTACCCTACCAGCTCAAGCCAAGCCTCTCAAACCTATTACCCTACCCTACCAGCTCAAGCCAAGCCTCTCAAACCTATTACCCTACGAGCTCAAGCCAAGCCTCTCAAACCTATTACCCTACCATCTCAAGCCAAGCCTCTAAAACGTATTACCCTACCAGCTCGCCATCAGCTCACCTTGAGCGACATATCGTCGATGCCCTTGGTGGTCAGAATGACATTGGCGCCCGCTTTGAGCATCTTCTGAATGCGCTCCTTAGTGATGTCCGACTCCCTGACTCGAGCAGAACACAGAACAGACCAGAACCCACAGATTGTAAGCAGAGAGCATGCAGATTTGAATGGCCAGCACACACTACTTTGAGCATCTTCTGAATGCGCTCCTTGGTGATGTCCGACTCCCTGCCAGGCCCGGGAAACATGCAGAACACAGGGTAACATGTTACCGCAACCACACCAAGTGCCGCTTTGAGCATCTTCTGAATGCGCTCCTTGATGATGTCCGACTCCCTGCCATGGCAAAGAGCACCAAGACGCACCGTTCCCTAATCCTGTCGAGCTCCCTCGAGTCCTTCACCAGCAACTACATTCCCATCTGCAAACGCGTGCGCTGCACGTTGAAGCTAAGGCCCCTGCCAAGACTCAAGGCCCCTGACAAGACTCAAGGCCCCTGACAAGTCTCAAGGCCCCTGCCAAGTCTCAAGGCCCCTGCCAAGACTCAAGGCCCCTGCCAAGGCTCAAGGCCCCTGCCAAGGCTCAAGGCCCCTACCAAGACTCAAGGCCCCTGCCAAGACTCAAGGCCATGCCAAAACTGCCAAGACCCCAGTGAAAACCCAAACCCCCTCCCCCCCCCCCCATCTCTATCATTCCCTCACCTTTCCCTGGTCTTATCGAGCTCCTTGGGGTCAGTCGCCAGCACCTGTACGCTCATCTGCAAGTGTGTGCGCTGCACGTTGAAGCCAAGGCTCCTGTCAAGAACTCCCCTATGAAGACCCCCTGTCAAGGCCCTCGCCACTCTTGTTCTCTCTCGTTCTCTCACCTCTCGCTGATTTTATCGAGCTCCTTGGGATCCATGACAACAACTTGCACGCCCATCTGCATGCGTGTGCGCTGCAGGTTGATGTCAAGGCACGCAATGCGTGCGGGCCCCAGTCTCCTCTCCTTGTGCCCTCCCACTCACCCATGCACACACGCACGCATGCACGCTGCGCACGCACCTCTCTCTGAACTTCTCCAGTTCCTTGGGGCCCGTCACTAGCACCTGCACGCCCATCTGCATGGGCGTGCGCTGCAGGTTGAAGTCAACACCCCGAGACCCATGTCAAGACTCCTGAGAAGACTCCTTTCCCCGCTTCTCTCTCGTTGTCTTACCTCTCTCGAATCTTGTCCAGCTCCTTGGGGTCCGTGACAAGCACTTGCACGCCCATCTGCATGCGCGTGCGCTGCAGGTTGAAGTCAAGGCATGCGATCCGTGCGGGCCCCACGCGTCGCGGCATGCCCTGGGCTGCCCGTGTGGTGTTGAGCGCATAGCCGTTGATTAGCGTGCTCTCCTTGGCACTCTTGCCGTGCGCCTTGAGGATGTTGATGGCCTGAGGGGAGTAGTGGGGGAGGTGGGGGGGAGGCCGGAGACGGGGGGGATGGGAAACGCAAGGAAAAAAAATGACTACTGAGTGGCTTTTGAGGGTATAGCCGCTGATAAGCGTGCTCTCCTTGGCACTCTTGCCGTGCGCCTTGAGGATGTTGATGGCCTGAGGGGAGTAGTGGGGGAGGTGGGGGGGAGGCCGGAGACGGGGGGGATGGGAAATGCAAGGAAAAAAAATGACTACTGAGTGGCTTTTGAGGGTATAGCCGCTGATAAGCGTGCTCTCCTTGGCACTCTTGCCGTGCGCCTTGAGGATGTTGATGGCCTGAGGGGGAGCAAGGGGCCTGGGGGAACGGGAGGCACGAGGGAGAAAGTGCAACTGGTGGGTGGTGTTGAGTGCGTAGCCGCTGATCACCATCCTCTCCTCTCCTTGGCGCTCTTTCCATGCGCCTTGAGAGTGTTGATAGCGTGAGGAGTCTATTTTTGAGGCGCCTCAAAAATAGACTCCTCTCCTTGGCGCTCTTTCCATGCGCCTTGAGAGTGTTGATAGCCTGACTGAGGGGAGTATTGGGATGGGGTGGGGGGGAGGAGGGGCGCGGGAGAGGGGGGAGGACGGGAGGTACAACAAGGGGGAAAGTGTGGCCTTTGGGTGATGCAGAGCGTCTATTCGTTGATCAGATCAGAGTACTTTCCTCTTGCAGGTGATTTTTGGAAATTCTCAAAGAGCAGACTACTGTCCTTGGCGCTCTCGCCATGGGCCTTGTTGATGGCTGAGGGGGTATGGGGGCATGGGGCGAGACGTGAGACAGGAAAAAGCGATGACTTTTGGTATCTGACTTCGCCGTACCTTGATGGGGTATCTGACTTAGCCGTACCTTGATGGGGTATCTGACTTCGCCGTACCTTGATGGGGTATCTGACTTCGCCGTACCTTGATGGGGTATCTGACTTCGCCGTACCTTGATGGGGTATCTGACTTCGCCGTACCTTGATGGGGTATCTGACTTCGCCCTTCTCATTGGTGCTCTTCACGGCTTGCACCGCGTCCACCACCATCTTGCCGAAGAAGTCGCTATCCATGTCCACGATCTTGGACGCCATGCTCGTCTTGGCCGCGTTCAGCAGCGTCGACTTCCCTAGCTTCTCCACCTGGTACCGTGCAGTGGTGGGGGATAGTGGGGAGCAGTGGGGAGCAGTGGGGGGCAGTGGGGAGCAGTGGGGAGCAGTGGGGAGCAGTGGGGGGCAGTGGGGAGCAATGGGGAGCAGTGGGGAGCAGTGGGGGGCAGTGGGGAGCAGTGGGGGGGGGGGCAAACAGAAATGGGTGAAGGGGCACTGAGCAGCAGGGTCAACTTGCCCATGATCTTGGACGCCATGCTTGGCGTTCAGCAGCGTCGACTTGCGTAGCTCCTCCACCTGGTGGTGGGGGAAGTGGGGGGGGCAGTGGGGGGCAGTGGGGGGCAGTGGGGGGCAGTGGGGGCAGTGGGGGGCAGTGGGGGGCAGTGGGGGGCAGTGGTTCAACTGTGATGATTCCATGGTGCAGCTCAATGATCACCACCACCACCACCACCACCACCACCATCATCCCTGGAAACCCCTACTGCTGGAAATCACTATCATTGGAGTCCGCCACACCCACCTTGACTGCGAGCTTGCTATCCACATACTTGCACGCCTCCCTCCCTCATCATACCTAGCTGCACCGGTTCCATGGTTCAACTCAACAATGAACACCAATATCACCGGGAACCCCTTATTTCCGGAAGCCACTATCACTGGAGCCCACCGCACCCACCTTGACTGCAAGCTTGCTATCCACATACTTGCACGCCTCCCTCATTGCCAGCTGTGCCAAAACAAACAGGGCGTATGAGGCAGGGAGGTCGAGAGTAAGAGAGGAAAGAGGAGGAGGGAAGTGGGAGAGGAGAGGAGGTAAGCTAAAGACCTCCGATCTGATCCAGGCAGGGATTGGTTTCCAGGGTTTTAAGATCAAGTTTCGACGTTTGGGGTTTCGGTTAAAAAAAAATAGGGTTTAAAAATGGATCCAGAATCAGGGTTTGGGGTTCAAAGTCAGAAAGGAGAAAGCACCATGATGTTGCAATGGACGTTAAACCCATCGGGGATATTCATAAAAAAGGGGCCTCAAACCCAGGACGAGATTGCAAACCGGGCAGTTTGAGTTACTCACACGGTACCCGCTGATGATCGACGTTGGGTGAATGCGGTTGCGCACAAGGTCGTCCGCCCTCTGCTCAGCGTAAGCAGTCAGTGTAAGAAGAAGGACGGGGGAGGGAAAGGGACATGGTGTGGGGTATGTATGGCGTGTCAGCACATTGACCGTGCACGCTACCGAGATGAGTTTTGAGACGTCTCAAACCTAATGGGACATGGTGTGGGTATGTGTATGGTGTGTCGGCACATTGACCATGCGCTACCAAGATGCTGAGATTGCTACAAAGGGTTTCTCTTTGTCGAGGATTTCACAACCCGGGAAGAAGCGTGGAACCCAAACTCCCTGTCCTGCAGCTAGCACACACGCTCATACCTTGACACGCATGCCATGCGGGCAGCACAGGCATGCACACACACACACACACACACACACACACACACACACACACACACACACACACACACACACACACACACACACACACACACACACACTCAGTCCCACGCACCTTGAGCAGCTCAGCTGCGATGATGACGACCGACGTGGTGCCATCCCCCACCTCTCTGTCCTGGAGCTCTGCCAGGTCCACCAGCACCTGGCGAAGAGGGAGAGGGAAAGGGGAAAGTGCCTTCAAACGCAGCCCCCGCCTCTCTATCCTGGAGCTCCACCGCATCCACCAGCACCTGCAGGGGGGGGCGAGAAAGAGAAGCGGGGGGGAAGGGGGGAGGGGGTACGGAGGAGAGGGCGGAGAACTCAGGGCACGTCCCCCAGCTCTCTGTCCTAGAGCTGCGCCACAGCCACCAGCACCTGCAGGGGGGGGCGCGAAAGAGAAGCGGGGGGGGAGGAGGAGTTGGGAGGAGGGGGAGCAAGACGGGGATGTGCAGCGGCCAACAATACAGGGTCCCCCCGCCTCCCTGCCCTGCAGCGCCGCCAGATCCACCAAAAACCAGGCGAGCAGGGGAGGCAGAGATCGAGACGGGAACATGCCTACACTTCCACTGTTGGGTGCCTTAGCTGCTGGGTGCTCTACTTCCAGCTGCTTCACGACGGGATGAGTAAATTCCTCAGGATTACCTTTGCTGCGGGGTGCTCTACTCCCAGCTGCTTCAGAATGGTGGCAACAGCGAGAGATGCCAAGATATGGTTGCACTCGCTTTGTCGTCTCCCTTTCAGCGCCTCAAAACCCTGCCTTGGCTGCGGGGTGCTCCACTTCCAGCTGCTTCAGACTGGGATGAGTAGATTCGCCAGAAGACCACTAGGCGAACCAGCGAGAGACGCCAAGGCATGGTTACAGTCGCCTTACCATCTCCCTCCAGGCGCCTCAAACCCTACCTTTGCTGCGGGGTCTTCCACTTCCAGCTGCTTCAGAATGGTGGCTCCAGTGAGCGTGAGAGGCGCCAAGTCATGGTTGCCCGCGTTTTCATCTCACCTTTCGCAGGACCAACACTCGTCAGAGCCCTACCTTGGCTGCGGGATGCTCCACTTCCAGCTGCTTCAGAATGGTGGCGCCGTCGTTGGTGATGGTGATGTCGCCAATGTCGTCCACCAGCATCTGACCAGGATTACGTGAAGGGCATCGGGGGGAGGGAGGAGGGGGTTGAACGCAAGGGCGCGAGCGGGCAGGGGCAGAGTGGGCAGGGCTTTTAAGACAAGATCGGAAACGTGTAATTCGTGTCGAGGAACGGGTTCTGTGCAACGGGTTTTGCGAACAGGGAAAACCGAGAGCGGGAAAGCGCAAAGCAGGAGGCATGCGCAATTCACCACACGATAGTTCTGACACGTGCAAGATCGGCATCGACCAATAGGATGCATCCACGTGGACTCGCTCACCTTATCCAATCCCACGGGACCCAGCGAGCTCTTGACGATGTTGGCGATGGCCATGCACGCCGTTACTGCAGATCGAGGCATTTCGAGCATGCAATGGGAATGGGGAATGGGGAGTAAGGGGAGAGGGAAGTCAAGACAGGAGACGGGAGCTATGGCATGGTCGCTAGCGAGCTCTTGACGATGTTAGCATGGCCAGACACGCCGTTACTGCAGATCGAGGCATTTCGAGCAGGAGGGAGGGAACGTGGAGGGAGGAATGCGAATGTTAAGCAGTCGCTACGGCACTGACATTGACCAGAGAGGTCATGGCGAGAAAAACAACGGCTTATGCCTTCAAAAAGAGCCTGCTTTGAAAAGGGACAACCTACTATCCCGCCTGACCCCAGACACTACGCTGCAACTCGCAAAATCCGCTCCATTTGGAATCGAACCCTCAGGCCCGCATCAGCGACCTCATTAAATCCTGATCTCCACACTTTCGTCGCCGTACCTCCAGACTTTGAACCCTCGACGACCACAACGCGATGCTAAGGATGACACGAAGACGCGAAAACCAGCAAGAACGCCGCGGAAAGTCGTCGAAGGATGCAAAGAAGATGACGGGAAGGACGCCGGCTCGAGCTCAGATAAATCAGAATACGGCTGACCGAAAAGCGAGTTGCGACCGAATTCAGCCGTTCCGTGCTTTCTTGGAGACCTGCAACCGGACTTGCACCGTTCCGTGCAATCTGTAACCGGAATCGTACCGTTCTCTACAACCTGTAACCAGACTCGTACCGTTCTGGGTTCGGACATCTTGACCCGTGATGCGCTCGCCGGCGATCTCCAGCCCTTGAGGAGACATCTGTGCTCGCAGCTATCCGGATCAACGGTCTAGATCCGCAGAGACGGAAGAACGGGAGTGGTAAAGGCGGAAAGAAAGAAGAGTCACTCCTTATGCGTAACGGCAGCTGTCAATGAAGCGAAGGCAAGCTGACAGATATTGCGAGCTCGTAGCGGCCGTCTAAGCGGGAAAGCGTTTCGAACACCGCGCGGGAAAAGAGATTCGAACAGATAAGAAGCAACTTGGACAGATCGCGAATGGATCGTCGAGCGACCAACCTAAATTCGAGGAGTGATCCCTTGAACAACCTCCAGATCCTAGAACGCCCTTGCACGTGCGTCGCAACGGATCTCCAGGGCTGAGTAAACGATGGAGCTGTGAGCAGACAAGCGGGCCAGGACCTGGGACCGTGCGAGTCTGACAGCGAGGAGAATTCAAGCAGCAACTGGCGGCCACTCTGAGTGATGCGGAATGGGGAGACTGGTATTTCTCTGCCGAGTTCCGAAGCCCCTCTGGTCGGGTGTCTGAGAGGAGCTCGAGTTGAGCGAGATTCAAGGTGCAAGCCAACCCTGTGGTCGGGCAACAGAAACAGATCTCATCAGCAGGCCGTCCCCTCCACCCAGCTAGACTCGAGGTTTTCTTTAGCGAAGCAGGTGATCAATATTGTTATCATTACAAAGATACACTGCGAGGTCACCACCCCCCTGGTTCGTTCTTATGCCGTACAAAGCATGAAATGTACCAAAGTAGTGTCCATGTGATGTCTGCAAGCGAGGGGCTTCGCTGGTCAATCCTGATGTGTAGGCGGCTTATAAAATATTTAAAATCTGAAGGAAAATTAGCGAAGGGGCTTGCCATACAACTTCCTATTCTCAGTCTAAAAAATATAGGTCGAAGTCAGTTAGCTCTTTCACCAACTCCTTTTCTTGCTTGTCGTACAGCTTGCATCTGAAGCCCTGGTCGTCCTAGCAGCTTCCTTTTGCCATTCTGCCTCGTGTCCTCTTCTGCAGCTACTCTCTCCTTGCGACTTGAACCTGCATGCAGCCCCAAACCACCCCCCGCACCACCTCCTCTCACAGCTCCTTCCTTCACAGCCTCATCCACCTTAATCTTCTCAGCAGTCACCGGTAACGTAGCATTCGTAACACGAGCAATCCGCCCAATCAGCCCCGCCCGGGCCTCGTGGCTCGACCCGTTCTTCACCCAGTCATAAGTGGGGATGCGGTAGGTGCTGTGCTCCGGCCGCCAGTCCACGGGGTACTTGGCCCAGGAAAGGTCTTCCGTGTGCTTATGCCATACCCACACTTCTCTACACCCATCTGCCAGCAGCTCAAAGTCGTCCTCATGCGTCACCAGCTGCTCCAGGAAATCAGTCTCGAGGAACCTGCGAGGAAACAGGGGAAGGGATGTAGAGGGAGGAGCCATAAGCTGTCAGCCAGCAGCTCAAAATCGTCCTCATGCGTCACCAGCTGCTGCTGGAAAACATGTTCGTCCTCATGCTTCAGGAAATCAAAGTAGAGGGAGATCCAGATGGAATTATGATTGAGTCGACTCAAGAATCAGCTCAAAGTCGTACTCATGCATCACCAGCTGCTCCAGGGAATCATGTGGAGTAGAGGGAGATGCGGACGGAATGCATGTCTAGGCATCAGCAAGCACCGCACTTTGATGAACACAGGCGAGCCTAGAGGAGCTTGGGTCAACCACAGTTGCGGTAAACTTCCCCCTATGCATGGGTGGGCGGTCAATGCATGGGTGGGCGGTCAATGCATGGGTGGGCGGTCAATGCATGGGCGGCGGGCAGTCAACGCATGGGTGGGCAGTCAATGTATGGGTGGGCGGTCAATGTATGGGTGACCCAGGGGCAAGGAGGAGAACTGTGGGAGAGCTGCACCTGCAGCACGGGAGCAGTGTCAAAGGGTGGCAAAGATGGCATACATACCCTCGTTTCGACGGCCGGAACCGAATCGGCCGCTTCTCTCCTTGGACCGTGCCGTTCCGAAGTGCCTCAGTGCTGCAAGGAGCAACAGGAGCACAGGCGAGAAAGGGAGACAGCAACACCAAGGGAGATTGGTATGTGGCCCCGTGATAGGACCGCTTCTCTTCTCGGGCGGTGCCCTTCCGAAGCGCCTCGGTGCTGCACGGAGCACAGCACTGGCGGGAAGGGGAGAAAGAAACTCCAAGGGAGAATCAGCAGGGGTGCCTGAAACACCCGTCCATACCGAACCCAAACAGGGAAGAATGGTTGAGGGGTGCTTCTGATTCATGCACCCTTCTGCACACCGCACCCATGGTGACTAACCACACAATGCGGATCAGGTTCGACCCCAAACTGTGCAAGGCCTAATCCGAGCACGCACCCACATGAGAGCAGACCCAACCAACCATGTCCACCCATGATCTACCGCCGTGCCTCAGGGTCCCTCTAGCGTTTGGATCATGGGCATGGCTGGACTCAGCTGATCAGACACGTGTCAACCCAACCCAACCCATCCCAACCCAACCCAACCCAACCCAAACCAACAGAACCCAACCTAAACCAACAGAACCCAACCTAAACCAACACAACCCAACCATATGGGTAACATACCTGAACGCAAACCCAGCCATGTGCATGATATACCGCCACGCCTCGGAGTCTCTCTGCAGCGTTGGAGGTGGGTGGACTCAACTTATCGACGATGTGAGCCCTACCCAACCCAACCCAACCCAACCCAACCGAATTCCCGAGGCATACCTGAACGCGAACCCAGCCATGTCCATGATATACCGCCGCGCCTCGGGGTCTCTCTGCAGTGGAACGCGCCGGCCGAACGCCTCCCACCCGACGATCCGCGGGCGGGTCACCGGCTCCATCTCCTCACCCTCGTAGTCACCGCCGCCACCACCACCACCACCACCTGCTGCTGCTGTAACGTTCGCGGATGGTGCTTCCCTGACATCCCCAGAGGAGATTCCTTTGCTGCTGCTGCTGCCGTTGCTGCTGCTGTTGCCGTTGCCGCCATCGCCGGTACCCACAGCAGCGCCACGCTCCCCAACAGCCGCCGCCGGCGGCGACAACGGGGGGAGGCGCACAATGGGGCGGCCGACGTACGACCTGAGCGGGCTGTCCTTGTGGAAGAGGAAGCCCACCGGCAGCACCCCGATGCGGCGAATCTTCCGCAGCTCGTCAAAGAGCTGCAGCGCGTACGTGTTGTCGTCGTCCATGAAGTAGACCACGCCCTCCAACCCTTGCTGCTCGATGTATTCCAGCGCCAGGTTGCGCTGCCCCACTCCCCGGAACCACCGCTGATCCTCGCTCTGCGAAGGGGGGGAGGAGACGAAGGGGGGGAGGAGACGAAGGGGGGGAGGAGAAGAAGGGGGGGAGGAGAAGAAGGGGGGGAGGAGAAGAAGGGGGGGAGGAGAAGAAGGCGCAGGCACGGGCGGAAAGCGTCACACAGCTGCAGTGCGTAGAGCAAGAGAAGGAGTCCATTGTCGTCATCCATGAAGTAGAGGAGGAGAGGAGAAGAGCGGGGGGGCAAGGAGAGAAGGCGAGGCATCACACATTGTCCGCTATTGTCCCATGGAAATGAGGTCACACGTATTGCCGACCCAACAACCATGGGAAGGAACTGGCTCGAGTGAATCCAACGAGACACTCGTCTAACAGGAACTACTCCTCCAGCTAACAGCAACTTACATCTCCAGTCGCTATATGAACATAGTCCAGTGTTCGACAGCCGCCAGTCTCCTCTGCCGCGCAGTACCCCGCCGTCCGGTTCAGCAGCATGGCAGTCTCGGCCGTCTGCACGCCACAGTAACGCACGAGACGACGGCGGCATGCACAGGGCGTTTGAGTCGACTCAAAAGCAGACGGCGGCATGCACGAGAAGACGGTGGCATGCACAGGGCGTCAACAGAATACTCAAAAGCAGACGGCGGCATGCACGAGAAGACGGCGGTATGCACAGGGTGTCAACAGAATATCCGCGTGAGCGGCGGAGGCACCAGGCTCCCATGAAACAAACCAAGGCGAGGGGTGATGGCCCAATACCAAGCGAACATGCGCAAACTCCCATGAAGAAAGAAAGAAGAAAACAACGGCAAGTGGCGCACCTTGTTCGCGCTCTCCACGGCTATCCACGTGAGCGGCGGAGGTGACTTTTGAGTCGACTCAAAAGTCACGTGAAGAAAAAAACAACGAATCGGCAAGTGACGCACCTTGTTTCCGCTCTCCACGACTATCCACGTGAGCGGCGGAGGCACGAGGCGCAACGTGTGAGTCAACTCCGTGACATACGCCGCCTGGAACGCGCGCGTGTACGTGGGAGTGACGAGGATGAGGCGGGGACGGGGGACGGCCGTGGACGTCCACGAGACCGTTGGCGCCTGCAGCGAGAGAGCAAGGGGGAGAATAGCCGGGACGGACACACACAGGTTGGAGTGACGAGGTTGGAGTGACGAGGATGAGGCGGGGGACGGGGGACGGCCGTCGACGTCCACGAGACCGTTGGCGCCTGCAGCGAGAGAGCAAGGGGGAGAATAGCCGGGACGGACACACACAGGTTGGAGTGACGAGGTTGGAGTGACGAGGATGAGGCGGGGGACGGGGGACGGCCGTCGACGTCCACGAGACCGTTGGCGCCTGCAGCGAGAGAGCAAGGGGGGGAATAGCCAGGACGGACACACACAGGTTGGAGTGACGAGGTTGGAGTGACGAGGATGAGCCGGGGGACGGGGGACGGCCGTGGACGTCCACGAGACCGTTGGGGACCAACTGTGAGGAATGCACACAGGCCGTGAGTGCGAGGCGTGTGGTTAAGCTTGGTGACAAGGATTAGCCGGGGAGGGGGGACGGTCAGGGCAAATTCGAAATCAGCGCAATTGAAGGTTCGGAGCGGTATAGGGAGGGATTTGACACCTATAGGGAGGGATTTGACACCTATAGGGAGGGATTTGACACCTATAGGGAGGGATTTGACACCAATAGGGAGGGATTTGACACCAATAGGGAGGGATTTGACACCAATAGGGAGGGATTTGACACCAATAGGGAGGGATTTGACACCTATAGGGAGGGATTTGACACCAATAGGGAGGGATTTGACACCAATAGGGAGGGATTTGACACCAATAGGGAGGGATTTGACACCTATAGGGAGGGATTTGACACCTATAGGGAGGGATTTGACACCTATAGGGAGGGATTTGACACCTATAGGGAGGGATTTGACACCTATAGGGAGGGATTTGACACCTATAGGGAGGGATTTGACACCTATAGGGAGGGATTTGACACCTATAGGGAGGGATTTGACACCTATAGGGAGGGATTTGACACCTATAGGGAGGGATTTGACACCTATAGGGAGGGATTTGACACCTATAGGGAGGGATTTGACACCTATAGGGAGGGATTTGACACCTATAGGGAGGGATTTGACACCTATAGGGAGGGATTTGACACCTATAGGGAGGGATTTGACACCTATAGGGAGGGATTTGACACCTATAGGGAGGGATTTGACACCTATAGGGAGGGATTTGACACCTATAGGGAGGGATTTGACACCTATAGGGAGGGATTTGACACCTATAGGGAGGGATTTGACACCTATAGGGAGGGATTTGACACCTATAGGGAGGGATTTGACACCTATAGGGAGGGATTTGACACCTATAGGGAGGGATTTGACACCTATAGGGAGGGATTTGACACCTATAGGGAGGGATTTGACACCTATAGGGAGGGATTTGACACCTATAGGGAGGGATTTGACACCTATAGGGAGGGATTTGACACCTATAGGGAGGGATTTGACACCTATAGGGAGGGATTTGACACCTATAGGGAGGGATTTGACACCTATAGGGAGGGATTTGACACCTATAGGGAGGGATTTGACACCTATAGGGAGGGATTTGACACCTATAGGGAGGGATTTGACACCTATAGGGAGGGATTTGACACCTATAGGGAGGGATTTGACACCTATAGGGAGGGATTTGACACCTATAGGGAGGGATTTGACACCTATAGGGAGGGATTTGACACCTATAGGGAGGGATTTGACACCTATAGGGAGGGATTTGACACCTATAGGGAGGGATTTGACACCTATAGGGAGGGATTTGACACCTATAGGGAGGGATTTGACACCTATAGGGAGGGATTTGACACCTATAGGGAGGGATTTGACACCTATAGGGAGGGATTTGACACCTATAGGGAAGGATTTGACACCTATAGGGAAGGATTTGACACCTATAGGGAGGGATTTGACACCTGTAGGGAGGGATTTGACACCTATAGGGAGGGATTTGACACCTATAGGGAGGGATTTGACACCTATAGGGAGGGATTTGACACCTATAGGGAGGGATTTGACACCTATAGGGAGGGATTTGACACCTATAGGGAGGGATTTGACACCAATAGGGAGGGATTTGACACCTACCAGGAGCCGAGCCAGAGCTGGAAGTGCGCCGCCAGAGGAGCCGAGCGCTCGCAGCCCGTGTCATTGCACGAGCCGCGGTGCATTTCACGACTACGGGAATTGACGCAGACATCGGAGAGAATACATGCAGCACAAGAGAGCATCATCATACCAAGAGCCAGATGGAGGCGCAGGAGAAGAGCGCGAGGAGCCCCAGCCACTGCACGAGCTGCGACGACTTCATGCGAGACCCGGGCGTCGGAAGCACCGGGAGCTCTCGCAAACCAGGCGGCAGGTACGCGACCACTTGCGACACTCCCCATTTCGTCGAAAAGGAAGAGTCGGGTACCCCGCTTATTCGTCCGCCGATCGCGTCGCAGAGCGAGCCGCAAGCGCAGAGCTTTCGCGGCTTTTTGGATTGGGATCCTGGAGCGGAGGTGGTTCCAGCGGCGGCCTCTTTATCGTCGAGGACCTTTTTAGAGGCGAGAAACTCGGAGCCCGTGTCGGCCTTCTCCAGATCGATACCGGTTTTACCGGCGTAAGCAGGGTTACCGGCGTTATCGGTGCTAACGGCGGTTCTGGCAGTTCCGGCGACGACACGATTGGATCGCGTGGACGGATGGGAGGAGGTCATATTCCGGTCAGGCGTTAAGTTCCGATGGTGGCTTATGTCGTGCAGTGGGCTCATGGTTCTTGCCGGGGTGCGGGTGGGGTGAGAGCTGACCGACCGCTACTATTTTTATTTTTGATATATAGTTTCCCCCTTGGACTGACGAGCTGTTCAGCAAAAAAAAAGTGGAGGGCTTCTCATTGCAATGTCATTGCTAAGGAGGAAAACGAGGAATTCGAGTGAATAAGATCCTCGTAGAGCTCAACGAGGCGGCGCGACGGACTCCGCAGAGTATCAAATAGACCTACTGTAGTAGAAGCTTGCTCTATAGCGTCAGTACTGGAGAGATAAACGCTTGCTGGATCAAATACTTCTCATGCGGCAATTCTGACGCCGATGTGTAACAGATGGACCTACGACGGCTCTACACCGGCGTCAGTACTGACCTCGCGGCTCTCTCGAAACAAGTTAGTCTAGGCCACGGACTAAGTTTGCGCTTTCAACAAGCAGCATCACGAGTTGCCAGCAGCACCAGGCACTACCAGTACTACAAGAGGACACCTCGTGACCAGCGAAATTAGGCCAAAGCCTGTAAATGTTGGAGTCAGGTGAAGTTACGCGGCCAGCGGAGCTAGTCTCTCACGCGGAAGGTTTGAATGTGGAAGGTGATAAGGAAAATCTGTGTGAACGGAATGTGGTGGCTGGATGGGTTGATTCAGTGCACTTATCAGATGAGAAGCGACGGCTGAAACGAGAGTCAGTCGGATTCGTTGAACGACTTGCGGAGCTCTCTCCACAGAGGAATCGAGAGCTCCGCAACGAGACGGCTGCAAGGAGCGGCAGCCAGCATTGCTTCTGACACAACGGAGTATGGGTGCTCGGGGATAGCATGGCTCGTCGTTACCGCTGCTTGCCATGGACGACGAGTTTGTCGAAGTTCTTGTTCTCGCAGCTCCTGCTACCCTGTCACTAAGGAAAACTCTTATCGGTCTTATCACATCAAATGCGTTCTGGCTACCGGCTTGTCTTGTGTGTCAGAGCGAGGAGCAAGCAGGAAGTGTAGCAAGCAGAGCGATCAAGGCGCTTCGAAGGGTACCCTGGCGAAACGGTTGGCGGGAACTGTGTCAGACGCGTGTAGGCCTCTGAAGACAGCTGGTTGGCGCGTGGGGGTGGAGGTGCGCGTGTCTTGTGCTTCACATATTGCCAAGAATGAGGCGTGTACTGTATTCGAGAAAATCCAAACCTTGTTTCACCTCAAATTCAGTGTACGAGCCTTGTATCATACGACCAGTGCTATCGTTACATGCAGACGTCGACACGACACCGACCGCTGATAAGCAGAGGTCAGGTTTGGGGTCCCAGAAGGCGGCTTTGGAGCTGTTGAAAGGTAGTTGAATGAACACGATCCAATGGCCCAGATGCAGTCACTGTCTGACAAGGGCGCGCGGAGAGGCTGAGAGTCCCAGAAATGCGCCTCGGAGGCTGGGCCAGGTCCCCAAAAGCAGCGGGACCAGTTTGGCGCAAATTACTGAAGGCAATACTCGATGCTGAATGTCCCGTGTTTCAAAGAATGGCCATATTCCGCACTACACGAATAAATAATCATATTCTCTATCTCCAGCAGACTCTTAAATGCAAGGTTTTCGTATCATCAACTCTTATGTACCTAGACATGCCAAATTCTATTTTGTTTTGTTTTTTATTTGAAATAAAGCAGCATGTTAAAGGCTTCAATTCATGAGCTATGGCTAGGATTCCTCACTCGCATGATTATAAGCTAGGTAAACAATCAGATATGTTCAATAATGAAGCGTGCAATAGCAGTGAGATGACAATCAGACCAGGATGAACAACGAAAATGCCTCCCTGTCTCTTCCTCGACTGACGGGAATCTCATCCTCGACTGACAGGAATCTCTTTCTCAACGGACAGGAATCTGACGGCCAAGTTTATGCAGTCACTTGTGCTGAATAGTTCCACCGAAGATTAACTATTGACGTCGTCATTTCCCCCGAGATACATCCTCATAAGCCGTTCCTCATCCGTCGATTTCCGTTCGCCAGCCATGTCCTCTGCTCTCTCCAGCCTGACAACAGCAGCAGGCCATGCGCGTCTCGTGTTCGTCGGACACAGAGGCGTCGGCCAGAACCGACCTCCCCCGGTCGCCACCGCGGCGACGGAAGCAGCGTCCGTGGCGACGGGAACTTCTAGAGTGTCGCCGGATATTAGGGAGAACACGGTTCTGTCGATAAACCGGGCGGCGAAGCTTGGAGTAGATTTCGTGGAGTTTGATGTTCAGGTGAGTTCGGATTGCTTATTTTGAGATGCAGAGTGGTGCATCGGATTCAAGCCATCCATCACCACTCTGCAGGTCAGCTGTCAGGTGCACTGCAGATGTTAGTGCACTTCACTTTTTCTTCCCCCGTTGTAGTGTCTGGTTGAAATATCCATTTGCCGAATCTTTTTATCTTCCATTTACTGTGCAGGTGACTAAAGACGGCATCCCTGTCATCTTTCACGATAATCACATTCTCACAGCAGATGGGGTGAGTGAGATATGACTGATATCTCCAAGCAGAATAATATCACAGCAGAAGTTGAAATAAGGTATGACTTATATGTATCAAGCCCAGTGAATGGCGTGCAACAGGCATATTTGTCTCAAACCCACCAATCTGTGTCAATCGGCAAACTTGTCTCTTAAGTCAGAAACTTTATTAGACACTACCGTTCCTCACTCAGCCATTGCTTCGGCCATCACCGTTCGACTCGACGTTATTAAACACCACCATAGATGGCATATAGTCTTTTACGCCATTGTCAGTGGCATTCTAACTGCTAACGCCTCTCACTTACCTCATGGACATTGTTGGAACCCGCTAGAATACATACCTGTCTACTCTCTCATCTCAATACGACACGTGGAAGCAAACTTAATATGTCCGTGAGCTCTCACACACTTCGACACGCAATATGGGACTGAGATCTACTGTAATTGTGTTATTAATGCCGTCCTTCCCCCCCCCCCCTCTCCTCCTCTTTTTCTCCCTCCTTTCAGCTCGACTGCAAGATCTCCGACCTCACACTGGCTGAGTTCCAATCAATTGGGCCGTCCAAGACCCCTGGGGAGGTATGAGGGTGGGATGAAACAGTAGATGGGTGGATGTATAGAGAGACAGGTGCCATCCATTGTATAGGTGTCTCAAAAATAGAGCCCGAGATCCTTGGGGAGACCCCTGGGGAGGTATGAGGGTGGGATGAAACAGTAGGTGGATGTATAGATAGACAGGTGCCACCTGAAATTGGGGCGCCTAAAAAATAGAGTCATAGACCTTTGGGAAGGTAAGAGGGTGGGGTGAAACGGTAGGTTTATGTATAGACAGACAGGTGCCAGCTCGACTGCAAGACCTCGGGCGCAGGCCCACACTGGTCTAATTCCAATTGATTGGGCGGGCCGTCCAAGACCCATAGGGAGGTAAGAGGGAGGGTTTTTTTGTCAGCTTTAAATTCATCTGGAGGGGTATGAGGTTTGGTTGGGATCAGACGGTGGGTGGGTGGTTGGATGCTCACACAGGTGCCAGCAGGAGGTGCAGCTGGAACTCAAAAGAATTGAAAGTCGTTGAAAGCCAGGCCTGCTCTCTCACCAGCCCTCTGGCCTGCTCTCTCACCAGCCCTCTGGCCAGCTCTCTGGCCAGCTCTCTCGCTAGCTTTCTGGCCAGCCCTCTGGCCAGCCCTCTGGCCAGCTCTCTGGCCAGCTCTCTGGCCAGCTCTCTGGCCAGCTCATCTGGCCTCTCTGGCCAGCTTATCTGGGTACATTCAACGACTTGCAGGTCTCTGGCCTCGCTTTCATCCACTTCCAATTCTTTTGAGTGTAGTCGTTCTCTCAAAAGCAGGTGCCAGCAGGAGCTGCAGATTCAGTGTTCTCACTCCTCCTCCCCCTCCCCCTCCCCCCCCGGGCCCCCTCCCCTTCCCTGCCCTCAGACGGGAAGGCAGCTGATGAGAAGGCGTAAGGACGCAGCAGCACGTACACGAGACCCTCGTGGGTGGCAGAGGAGGAGGACGCGATGCCGACCCTCGTTGACCTGTTTGACCGCGTTGACCTGATTGACCTTGTTCCCATTCATAAGCCTTCCCATTCTTCCTTGCCTTGTCACCCAGATGGGAAGGCGTTTGATGAGAAAGCGAAAGGAGGGTAGCACGTACACATGGGTGGTGCCTGTTGCTTTATCTTCCCTGTGTCTTTCTCTAACCCTCATGCGCTACTCAGATGGGAAGGCAGCTTATACGGAGGCGGCAGCACATGTACATGGGTGGCAGAGGATGAGGACGCCATGCAAGCCATGCAGCTTGTTCTCTTTACCCCCTCCCCCCCCCTTCCTCCCTTCCCCTCCCCCCTCCATCCTTTGCCTCAGATGGGCAGGCAGCTGATCAGGAGGCGAAAGGACGGCAACACATACACGTGGGTGGCAGAGGAGGAGGACGCGATGCCGACCCTCGTTGACCTGTTTGACTGCGTTGACCCCCGCATTGGCTTTAATGTTGAGGTCAAATTCGCTGCGGATGATTCTAAGGATGCTGGGGGCCCTGAAGAAATCGATCGGATTCTCTCAGCATTACTCCCTGTAAGCTCCGTTTGACCCCATTTGGACCTGTGTTGAATGCGTTGACTGCGGTGACTGCGGTGACTGCGGTGACTGCGGTGACCGCGGTGACTCCATTGATTGACTGCGGTGACTGCGGTGGCCACGCCATTGGGTGCAATATCAAGGCAAATTTCGCTTCCAAACTCGTGCTGTGTGCTGCGAGTGATTGACCACTCATGCTGTGTGCTGCGAGTGATTGACCACTCATGCTGTGTGCTGCGAGTGATTGACCACTCATGCTGTGTGCTGCGAGCGATTGACCACTCATGCTGTGTGCTGCGAGTGATTGACCACTCATGCTGTGTGCTGCGAGGGATTGACCACTCATGCTGTGTGCTGCTTGCTGCGGGTGGTTGACCACTCGCTGTGTGCTGCGGGTGGTTGACCACTCGTGCTGCGTGCCTCTCTTCTGTTGCGTGCAGGTGGTGGATTCGCATTGTGGCTCGCGCCCTCTCTTCTTCTCCTCTTTTATGCCTGATGCTGTAGTGGCGCTGAGGAAGAGGCAAACCAAGCACGAGGTGAGGGCAGTTGAACAAAGCACGAGGTGAGGGCAGTTGAACAAAGCACGAGGTGAGGGCAGTTAAACAAAGCGCGAGGTGAGGAGAGGTGGGGGCAGGGTAAGCCCTGACACCTGGGGAGACTCTGCTCGCGCCCTTCTTCTCCTCCTTTGCGCCAGATGCTGTAGTGGCGCTGAGGAAGAGGCAAACCAAGCACGAGGTGAGGGCAGTTGAACCAAGCACGTGCATCACGTGTGCTTATATAGGCTCTCTTTCTGACTGGGGGAGCGGCAGCTTCAGCGACGAGAGGATGAGTTCCGTGCAGGCTGCTGCTTGTCATGCTCTCACCCAGTGTCTTGTGCGTCCCTTTCTGCTGCCTTTCCTTCCACTCCCGTGCTATTCTGTGTGGTGCTGTGCTGTTCCGCGTGCCACAAGGTCCTCTTTCTGACTGTGGGGAGTGGCAGCTTCAGTGACGACAGGATGAACTCTGTTCAGGCTGCTGTGGCGCACTGCAAAGCCCGTGAGTCTATCCGTGCGAATGGATGCTTGTGGGATTAAAACACCCACTAGAATCTGCCTTGTTAGCGAAGAACGCGCGTGTACCCTCAGACGAATGAATCAGATGAACTTAGGGCGCATAACTGGTGCTTTTATTGATCTGGGTGTGCGAGCAGCAAACAGTGCAATTACCTCCAATCGAACTTTGCAGGCGAACAGAGCCAGCATCCGTCAGAACGAGAAGCAGTAGTGATTTTCAGAACGAGAAACAGTGGCGAGTGTCCGCAAAGCAAGGCTTGCCAACACCCTTTTTTGAGGCGCCTCAAAAGCGCGCGATAGGAGTCTAGTTTTGAGGCGCCTCAAAGCAAAGCAAGGCTTTGCAAACACCCTTTTTTCTTGGGCCAAAGCGATCTTGCAAAAGCGTTTCGGCCTCGACGAAACCATCTCGTGAGATCATGTTTAAATGGGAACGTTTGAACGAAGCCTGCCAACATCTGGTGCAGTTTTCGGACTTCCAAATTTGCGTTATTATGATGGAAAGGATAACAGATTTACAACTTAAATGAGGGAGGTTACCCGGAAAAAAATCGAGCACCCGCAAATGAACCGAGTGATAAGTTCCGCGCCCATATGAAACCCCAGCTCACGTGCGCTTTTTTTTTGTCTGCCCCTTCGCATCCTGCTCTTTCCTTCGTCGAGCCTTCACCCCACACTCTTCTTAGCCTGTAATGCACGTGCCCAATGCGCGTGTTTTTCAAACTCCTCTGCTCAGAAGGTTTATCTGGCGTTGTGTCTGAAGTGAAGACTCTCCTTGCTGCCTCTCCTTGCTGCCTGAGCCACCATTCGAGCACTCGCCTTGCACTCCATGTGATCCCGCAAACCCCTATTGCGCTCAGGTGGCCTATCCGGCATTGTGTCTGATGTGAAGCTTCCCCTTTCTGACTCAGCCACCTTTCAAACACTCTCCGTTTTCCTTGCCATCCAACAAACCCCTACGCTTCAAAGCCTTAGCAGGCATATTGTCTGGGCCACCATTCGAGCACTCTCCTTGTGCTCCATGCCATCCCACAACCCAAACTGCGCTCAGATGCCCTATCGGGCGTTGTGTCCAAAGTGAAGACTCCCCTTGCTGACTCTCCTTGCTGACTCCCCTTGCTGACTCCCCTTGCTGACTCCCCTTGCTGACTCACCTTGCTGACTCACCTTGCTGACTCACCTTGCTGACTCACCTTGTGCTCCATACCACCCTGTGAATCCCTACTGTGCTCAGATGCCTTATCTGGCATTGTGTCGGAAGTGAAGACACTCCTGGCTGACTCAGCCACCATTCGATTGGTGAAGGATGCTGGCCTGCTGCTCTACTCCTATGGCACCACCAAGTGAGTGCACACATGATGGTCGCTGACTGTTTCACCAATGCTTACACGTGGTGACCCATGCTCTCTATCGTGATCTCATCTGGTGAAGGATGCTGGCCTGCTGCTCTACTCCTACGGCACCACTATGTGAGTGAACATGGTGACCTGTTGCTTCCATTGATGCACACACCACTTGTTAATCCATGCTTTTTATTCATGAGCTATCTGGTGAAGGACACTGGTTGTTGCTCTTCTCCCACCACCAAGTGACATGTGGCCAAGTCGGCCAAGCCAGTACACCTAGCCTTGTGACGTGTGGCCAAGCCAGTACACCTAGCCTTGCGACATGTGGCCAAGTCAGTACACCTTACATTGTGAAATGCGTTCAAGTCAGTACACCTAACCTTGTGAGCCTGTGCTTGTCGTTGCAAGAACACCTGCTGGTCCATGCTCTATTGGTTGCGAGTACACCCAGAGATGGATGCTTCTGTTTGTGAGGATACTTCCTTGATCCATGTGTGCTAGCGGATTGCTCATGTGCCACCCACTGCATGAGTGACGCTTCACCACAGTTTCCATCTTCCGCACGTTATCTCTTGAGTATTGACACCTGCTCCTCTATCTTTCACATTTACATGTGTTATGCTGATGGCAGTGATGACGTGGATGCAGCCCATTTCCAGCAGTACCATGGCGTGGATGGCATCATTGTTGATGACGTGGCGGCCATGTCAGATCATGTGCTGAACGTTACACCAGAGGATTTACAACCACCATTTGGTAGATATGGAGTGTAGTTTAGAGGTTGCGCTCAGGGCCCAAAATTGGTTTCAGAGTATGTGGGCTGATAATAGCCCTAGGATCTTTTCAGAATGCTAAGTCCTTGCAACAGAGTGCTCGATCACAAACTGAATGAATGACTAGAATGTGAGAGTAGAAGGCATTATAACCAAGGGGGCTGTACTTCCTAAAGCACAATCCTATATGGTCTACAACATCACACACAAATATGTTTGACACTCTTAGAACTGAATAATGGATGGAGTAGCGAGAGAGTACAAGTGAATATACCGAAGTGTTGTACCCTCTAAGAGGTGACCCTATACAGTCTATGCAAACATAACAGATACACATGTTTGACACACCCCCTAGACTGCATAGGGGCAAGTCGTGAAGAAGCAGCTCATGGCGGCACTACTAGTCAAGCCACTGAGACAAGGGTCTAAAAGACCAGTCAGAAGGAGTACAGGAAAGGCAAGATCAAGACCAAGGCGGCACTACTAGTCCAGCCACTGGGAGAGGACACAAGTCCAGTCTGAGTACATATAGATATATAGGACAGTACAAAGTCAAGGCCCTAGCAAGTGAGAGGCTACAGGAACTAGACCGAGCAATACACAGTGCCGCTGATGATCTTTAGGCGCAAGCGCCTTCGTAAAGATATCAGCTGTGTTGGCACCGGAGGCCAAGTGTACTACGCATGCCTAGCGGTGCTGCTGTAGCTCACGCAGGAGGAAGTACCGCAGCTGGATATGCTTCGCTCTGCCCTCGAGTCGAGGCTCCTGACACAGAAGGATCATGGCCCTGTTGTCAGCGTACAGGACCGGGGCAGAGCTAGGCCGCTCACCTAAGTCAGTGAGCAAGAAGGTCAGCCAGCGGAGCTCCTGTGCCGCCATGGCACCAGCGTAGATCTCGGCCTCACACCTGGACTGGGCAACAGACGAGGAGCGGTTAGCTCTCCACGAGACGACACGTGAACCAAGGCTGAAGCAGTAGCCCTGGGTAGACCTGAGTGTCTCGGCGTCGTCTGCCCAAGAAGCGTCTGTGTGTCCTGTAAGGACCACTAGCCTGCGTCCTCCTAGCACTAACCCCATGCCCGATGTACTTGCAAGATAACGCAAAACCCTCTTAGCGGCAGACCAGTGCTGCGGTCGGTGTCTGCTTGTGGCCACAAAGCGAGCCAAGATGTTGAGAGGGTATGCGAGATCTGGGCGAGTGCAAGTCATCAGGTACATGAGGCAACCCACCAGCTCTGCGTAAGGGCCACTGGGCTCTACTGACTCCTCAGGAACCGGAGCACAGAGTCTGTGGGCTACAGGCAGAGGGGTGGGCTGTGCAGAGGAGAACTTAAGGCCGAACCTCTGAAGGACCTGGCGCACCAAGTGTGACTAAGTCAAGGTGATGGTGCGCGCTGCTCTGTCCCTGGAGATCTGCAAGCCAAGGTAACGGCGCAGTTCTCCAAGGTCAGTGCAAGTGTGTCTCTTCAGCAGCTCTGCCTTCACGGAGGCTAGTGCGTCCCTGTCTGCTGTGGCAAAGGCCAGATCGTCCACGTAAACAAGGATGTAGAACGGAGTCTGGCCAGCACGAACGAAGAGTGAGGGGTCTGCGGAAGACGGAAAGAACTGCAGGTCAGCAAGGGTAGCACGCAACGTGTCGTGCCACTCACGGGGGGCCTGCCGCAGGCCGTAGACGGGACGCCGCAGGAGCCACTGGGTCCCAGGAGGGAAGGTGCCAGTAAAGCCCTGAGGGCGACGCAGGTAGACCTGCTCGTGTAGGCTGCCCTGAAGGAAAGCAGTGGAGATGTCAAGGGAGTGAAGCTCGTAGTCATGCTGAGCAGCTAGGTGTAACAGAACCCGAAGAGTAGTCATCTTCGGGGTCGGAGCGAAGGTCTGGAAGAAGTCCACCCCCTCACGCTGACTGAAGCCACTAGCCACGTAGCGCACCTTGAACACAGACGGCTCTCAAGGAGGGCGCTTCAGCTTGAAGAGCCAGCGGCCATCGACTACGTTCACCCCAGGCGGGGGAACTGCGTCGACAAAGGTGCCGGTGGATCTCCAAGATGCCATCTTCTGCTCCATGGCAGCTATCCATTGCGAGGCCCATGGTCCCGAGGTCGCCTCAGCGTAAGTGCGAGGGGTCGGGATGTCGAAAGCATCTGGGTCACCCTCAAGGACTAGCAGCATGGAACAGAGATAGGGAGCAGCCTCGGACAGGAAAGCAAGCTCGAACTGGCGGTCCTCCAGGACGTCACTGCCGAGGGTAGGAGCACCCCCGACAGACGGAGGACAGGCAGGGTCAGAGACCAGAGCGGTGGCGTAGTCAAGGTGGCGGGTAGAGGTGAAGTCAGCGACCGCAGCGACAAGAGCGTCAAGACACGAGAGAGGAACAGACGGGTCGGTAACGAGAGAGGCGAGGACCCGAGGAACAAGAGGACGAGCGGCACGAAGGTAGTCAGACAGAGGAGGAGGCGCAACGGTAAGAGAGGACAGAGGAGGCGACGGTAGAAGGGGAGGACGAGATGCGTCGGAACGGAGCAACATAGGGTGAGAGCGCGTGACAGGACGAGCGAGGGAGGGACAGTGGGACCAGACGTGAGACAGAGGCGTCGGGTCAGGAGACAGAGGAGGGGACACAAGGGGGGAGCGGGGGGGAAGACGAGCCGGGGACGAGTCCGGCGGAGGGAACACAGGGCCGTAGATAGGAAGAGGAGGAGACGGCAAGAGGGGAACAGACGCAGGGTCAGGGGATGGAAGGCCGAGCAGGCGAAGGGTTGACACCGACGGGGACTGCGGCTGCGGTGGCACAACACCAACACCGGGACCGCAAGCTGCTCCTCGGCTAGCTCCGGGACACTCCACTCCGGCACCCCAAGAAGGAACACCCCCAGAGCCCGAAACCCCTCGAGCACCAGTGCCACCCGAAGGGGCACCGGGGCAGGCTACAACTGGAACCCCAGGACGAGCACCCACCCCAACGCGAGCACCACCAGAGTCGACGAACTGAGGCAGCGACGGCAGCGGCGGCGGCGGCGGTAACGACGGGTGCGGCGGCGGCGGCGGCGGAGACGACGGCTGCGACAGCAGAGGCGACGTCGGCTGCAGAGGCTGTGGAGGAGGAGACACCTGGGGGGGAGCAGACGGCGAGGACTGCGCCGCAGGACCACCAGAGTCAGAGGACTCCTCGACCGGGACAACCGACAGGAGAGGGGTGACGTGGGACACACCAGAGGGGGCAGGACGGGGAGGGGGAGGGGGGGGGGCAGGGACCACCGGGGAAGGAGTGACCAGGAACAGGGGTGGAGTAACCGGGGGACCACGGTAGGGGAAGCAACGGTAGAAGTGAAAGAGTGGTAGAGTGAAAGAACCAGTGAGACGGCGGGTGGTAGAAGTGCCAGTCGGACGCGTCAAGGTGGTAACCGAGGAAGACACAGGGAAGGGTGCGGGCAGTAAGTTTGTCCGTGCCAGAGGCACGAACGTGAGCAAGGCAGCCCCAGACGTGGAACGCAGACGCGTCACCAGGGGACCCAGTCGAAAGAAGGGTCGGCGAAACCTGCGGCCGCTGGGGGTGCGGCCACAAGTTAAGCTGGTGAGCAGTTTTGCGCACGGTGAACGGCCACAGAAAATGGGGTGCACCGGCATGGATCATGGAGGTGCGAGCCACCTCCATGACCAAACCGATGCGTCGCTCAGCGACCCCATTCTGCTGTGGGGAGTCCGGTAGGGTGAACGTCTGGGTGATGCCCTCCGCACGACAGAAGCGACCAAGGACACCTGAGGCAAACTCGCCACCACGGTCGGAGTGAAGACGCAGGACAGGGAGACCTGTGTGGACACGGGCAGAGACAAGCCAGGGGATGAGAGTGTCAGGCACGTCGGCCTTGCGCTCCAGGGGAAAGACTGTGGTGTAGCGAGTGAAGTCGTCGACAAGCACGAGGAAGTAGCGCTCTCGACGCGGCCCATGGACGGGGGCGGGGCCCCAGACGTCCATGTGCAGGGTCTGCAGCGGCGTAGCGGTAGGGGGAAACAAGGAGGAGTGAGGGGCACGGCGAAGCCGACCCTCGACACAAGGCGTGCAAGGTGGGGCGGGGGAGGAGGGAAAAGCCGGGAAAGAACCAGGGAGACCAAGGACGAGACCGTGCTGGGACATGTGACGCAGACGTGAAAGCATAGGGTGACCTAGGCGGTGGTGCCAAAGGAGAGTCAGGTGAGTGAGGGACCGACAGGAGCAGGCAGCAGCAACCTGTGAGAGAGCCCGAAGGAACCGCTGGACAGGGGAGGGTGGTGGAACTACGAGAGACTACTAGACCGCCGGAGGGGTCAGCAAGACAAACTGCAGCAGGAACAGGAAGCGGCGTCAGCGTAGTAGAGTCGCGGAAGAAACACCGGGAAGCGCCAGAGTCCAAGGTGAAGGAAAGCGAAGCAGTGGCATCTGGCGATGGGGCGACGGCAGAAGCACCAAGGCTAAACAAAGCAGAAGCTCCTACGCCTGACGCAGCAGGGGAGGCTAAGCTAGGCACACCTACACTAGGCGACAAGGAATAATAGGAAGGGAGCACACTAGAGTCATTAGCATACATCACATGCAGAGCATAAACAATGGCATCCATGTCCATGTAAAAAATCTGAACTCTACGACTAAGCAAACTGTGCCACTCCGGGAGGTCGGGCGACGGGCCGAAGCACTGACGAAACAGGTTGTCCAGGCGACGAAAACAGTGAGCACTGGCGTGACCGATCTTACCGCAAACGAAGCCGCGGCGAGGATCGGTATGGATCTGGTACTGACAGCGCACGCCTCCCGAACCGCCATCCGGTACACCACCACGCGCACGACCACCACCAGCGCCAGGCCACCCGGGCGGGAGGGCACTCGCCTGCCTCGTGTGTGGCGGCTGCTGCGGCTGGTGCGGCTACTGCGACTGCTGGGGTGGCTGCTCCAACTGGACTTGGCAGGGTCCCCTCATCCACTCCACCACCAGACGACCCGACTCCACCACCACCTCGACTGGCACCCCCACTACCTCCGCCGCCCCCAGCCTTGGGGCGGCGGCCCTTCCCCAGACGAAACTGCGCTGCATCGGCGGTCTCAGCCATAGCTGCAGAACCATCGGAGAAGGTGCACTGAGCGGGGGCACAACCCTGAAAGATAGGGACCGGCACTGTACCGCTCACCTGGGCGATAGAGCGGTGGCGGGTCTCAATAACAGTCAGGGTGT